ATAAAAATCAAACGAATATTCATATTTGACCTGATTGTTTATAGTTCATAATGTGTGATCAAAACCGGAAGTTTCTGTGATGAATGCCCTTGCACTGTTCACCATGTAAGAACTTATTCACTATGTAAGAATTCGTTCACCATGTAAGAACTTGTTCGTTATGCTTCAGAAGATTGGAGACTGACGAGAATTAGGCTTGAGATGGATTAATGATTGTGCATTGAGCATTGACCCCACCCCCATACAGAATTTTATTGTTGTTAACAACCATTTGATCAATAAATATGAGAGATGCCCTCTCAAAAAAAAAATCAGTGTCTCTGTCCTGTCTCTCTCTCCACACACATACAAACAAACACACACACATGCTTTCATACACATCCTATTGTTTATTTCTCTGAAGAACCCTAACACAGCCCAAGACCAATGGCTTCATTGGTGAACTCTACCCACACCTGAAGAGTTAACACCAACTCTTCTCAAATTCTTCCAAACATGGGATGGCAAAACACTTCCTAACTCATTCTAGGAGATCAGCATCGCTGATGCCTAAGCCAGATAAAGACATCACAAGAAATTTGCAGTCCAATATCCTTCATGCACATATTGCAACAATTCTCAGCAAAATACTAGCAAACCAGACCCAACAGCATAGTAAAAGGATTATAGACCATGCAAGAGATTTGTCCCACGAATGCAAGGGTGGTTCAACATAAGAAAATTAATCAGTGTAAAACACTGCATTAACAGAACAAATGGGGGGGAAAATGTGATCATTAATTGATGCAGAAAAGACATTTGACCAAATCCAACACCCTTTCATGATAAAAACATTCTAAAAAACAGGAAGAGAAGGGAACTCCCTCAGTACAACATATGGATTTAGGCAAACCCGCCTTGTTGTGCCATATTCAGTGGTGAAAGACTGAATGCTTTCTCCCTAAAATCAGGAAGCAGACAAGGATATCTGCTGTCACCACTGCCATTCATCACTGTACTGGCAACTCTAGCCAGAGCAGCAGGACAAGGAAGAAATAAAAACACTCAAATTGGAAAAGAAGGTATAGTTTTCACAGATGGCATATTTCTATATATAGACAGTCCCAAAGCATGCCCAGGAAAAGCTACTAGATCTAATAAACAGATTCAGCAAAGTTGTAGGGTCACAAAATCAACATAAAAAATCAGTTGAGTTTCTATACACCTGCAAAGAACAATTTGAGAGGGAAATTTCAAAAATAACCACATTTACAAAAGCATCTAAAAAAATACCTAAGAATAAATTTATCCAAGGAAATGAAAGATTTGTACACTGAACATCACAGAACATTGCTGAAAGAATTGAAAGATCTAAATAAATCAGAAGACATCTAGTGTTATGGGTAAGAAGGCTTCATAAGTTAGGATGTCACTAATACCTAAAGCTATAGATTCAATGCAATCCCTATCAAAACCCCAATAACCTTTTTTTCAGAAGTAAAAAAGATGATCCTCTAATTCATATGGAATTGCAAGACACTGTAAAGAGCCAAACCATCTTGGAAAAAAAAAAAAAGAAGTCGGAGAACTCACACTTTCCAATTTCAAAACCTACTAAAAGAAATTTTAATGGGTAAAGAGGATATACAAATAACCAATAAATACATAAAAGATGCTTAGCATCATGAATCGTTAGGGAAAAGCAAATCAAAGCCACATGAGATATCACTTCACATCTGTTAGGATGGCTATTATAAAAAAAAACAAACAGAAAGTTGCAAGTGTGTTGGAGGGAATGTGAAGAAATTGTAACTGTTGTGTATTGGTGGTGGGAATGTAAAATGTTTTACCTATTATGGAAAACTGTCTGGCAGTTCCTCAAAAGTTGAACACAGAATTACCATATGAACCAGCAATTCCAGCAATTCCACTTACAGGTACATTCCCAAAGGAACTGAAAGCATGAATTTGAGCAGATATTTGTACACCCAAGTTCACAGCAGCATTATTCACAACAGCCAAAAGGTGGAAGCAACCCAAGTGCCCCTCAACAGACAACAGATAAAGAAAATGTGATCGGTGCATGCAGTGGAGTGTTTTTCAACCTTAAAGAGGAGTGAAATTTTCATACATGCTAAAACATGGATGAACTGTGCAAACATGCTAATGAAATAAGTCAGGCACAAAAAGACAAATGTTGTATGATGCCTCTTACATGAAGTACCTAGAGTGGGCCAATTGAGAGACACAGAAAGTAGAATAGTGATTTGCAGGGCCATTGGGAGGGAGGGCAGAGAAGTTATCATTTAATGGTTAGAGAGTGTTTGGGATGATTAAAAAATATTTTGGAACTAAACTAAAGTTGTAATGCAGAACATTGTGAATGTAATATAAATTGAATTGTGTACTTAAAAATGGTTGAAATGGTAAATTTTATGTTATATATCTTTAACCACAAGAAAATATGGTTTTTTTTTTTAAAAAAAGGAAGATTAAAACCACAATGAGATATCACCTCACACCACTAAGGATGGCCAGCATCGAAAAGACTAAGAACAAATGCTGGCGAGGATGCGGAGAAAGGGGGACCCTCCTACGCTGCTGGTAGGAATGTCAATTAATTCAACCATTGTGGAAAGCAATATGGAGGTTCCTTAAAAAACTAAAAATAGAAATACCATTTGACCCAGTAATTCCACTCCTAGGAATTTACATAAAAAAAACAAAGTCCCTGATTCAAAAAGACATATGCACCCCTATACTCACTGTAGCATTATTTGCAATAGCCAAGATATGGAAACAACCTAAGTGTCCATCAAGAGATGAATGGGTAAAGATATGGTACATATACACAATGGAATACTATTCAGCCATAAAAAGAAAAGAATCCTACCATTTGCAACAATATGGATGGATCTAGAGGGTATTATGCTCAGTGAAATAAGCCAGGTGGAGAAATACAAATAGCATATGATTTCACTTATTTGTGGAGTATAAAACAAAGTGAAACAGAAGGAACAAAATAGCAGCAGACTCACAGACACAGAGAAGGGCCTAGTGGTTACCAAGGGGGAGTGGGGAGGAGGAGGGGCTAAAGGGGCACAATAATTCGCAATCATTATATAAGTTGGTCCCGGGAACAGCAGTACAGCACGGAAAATGCAGTTAAGGATTCTGTAACATCTTACTACGTTGATAGACAGTGGCTGCAATTGAAGCGGTGAGGACTTGACAATATGGGTAACTGTTGAACCACTTGTATAATTGAAACCAACGTAAGGTTGTATATCAATGATACTTTAATAAAAATAAAAAGGAAGGGCGTATATAGTATGTGGAGGCAGGGATGGCAGGAAGGAGGCGGGCAAACAGAGGTGAGCAGCTATTCCACCGTCCCCATGGGGAGGGCAGGGGTGCTGCCAGGGAGAGCACAGGGCCTGGCCCTCTTGTCTTGTGGCAAATGCTGCTCAGGCCCCACAGTGGGCACCCCGGACAGCGAGCCTGAATCTTAAAGGGATGGTCACACAGTCACTCAACTCACATGGTGAGCGGGGCGGTAAGCACCTCCTCCACGCTGGCATCATTTCAGGCCTGACTCACGGGTCCGGGAGCCTCCTGATGTGCCCCTGCCCCACCCCCTGCCCCTTCAGCTCATCCTGATGCTGAGGGCTGAGCTGCCTCAAGAACATCGAGTCCTGCTGCCTCAGCCCCCGGGCGTCTCCGCTGGCTCCCTTGCTGGCAGCCTGTCATCTCCTTGGCTCTCTGAAGACCCCTCACATGCCAGTGCTGACACATCCCTCTGGCCTTGCCCCACATCCCTCCCCTGCACCAGCCCTGAGTTCCATGTGGCCGGGCTGAGCTTCTCCCGGTCCCTTAGCAGGATGCCTCCAGCCCGTTCCCTCAGCAAACTCCTAGGTGATCTGCAAGACCTGCTACAGATGTCCGCACTCAGGTGGGTCACCCTGCTCTTCGTCAGGCAGGTGGGGTGTGCTCCCCTGACCTCTCGTGGAGTCCCTTGTAGGTAACGGTGAGGGTCCTGGAGTTTCTCACCACCCCTGGGATGGAATCTTGAGCCATTCTGGAAAATGTTGATGGAAATGGCAGCCCTCTGAGGTGGTGGTCTTGGGGCCACCTGAGAAACTGGCATCTGAGTCACAGATGTGTGGCCTAATTTGACCCTGACACTCAGGTGCCCCTCCACTCCCACCCACGTGGCTCTAAGGAAGGGCATGGGCAGGTGGCACCAGCTGAGACAGAAGCAGAAGAGGAGAAAAAGTCCAAAGTTGGAGGTGGTGAGGGGGTGTGGCCATGTGTAGGCCAGGCTCACATCCCCTCAGGCGGCCGCACCTCAAACCTGGACTTTGGCTGCCCTGAGTAGGCAGGCAAGCCAGGCTGTGCCCCAGCCAGCAGGAGGGGCCTGGACTTGCTCATTCGCCACAGCCACAGGCACCATGCCTGGGGACTCCTGGGAGCTGGGCCTGCTGCTTCTGCTGGGGCTGGGGTCCCAGGCCGCCCTGCCCCCACCCTGTGAGAGGTAGGGGCAGAAAAGACATCTGGGGGCTGCGCAGGAAGGCCAGGCTGAAAGGCTGGGATGAGCTGAGTGCTGGGGTCAGCCCTCTGGAGGGAGGGGGGTGGGGGAGCTGGGTTTCCCACGCAGCAAGCCCTGTGCCAGGCACCAGAGCTGCGGTGCTGGGAGGAGATGGAGCTGCCGGAGGGCGACCACGTGTGGTCCAGGAGCCTGCTGGCCAGAGCCTCTCTCTCTCCTGCCCTCCCCACAAGCTGCTTCTCTGTCTGTGCAGGGCTGTTCTCAGCTTTTTTCTAGGAAACTTTCTGCCCAATTTCCCTAGCCTGGGTGTGACAGGGGTTGTAAGGTCGAGAAGAGCTCCTGGGTTAATCCCTGACCTCTGTGATCAAGGGCAAGTGCGACCTCCTTCCAGAGCCATAGTGTCCATCTCCAAGTAATAGAGACAGGGGACCTGTCCTGCCTCCGGGGCTCACAAGGCGTTACCCACTCTTCACCTGATGTGGATTTATTGAGTCCTCACTCCATCTCTTGACTGCAGCAGTGAACAAGAAAAGCGAGGTCCCTACCTTCATGGGCCTTACCTAGTAAGCAAGAAAAGTAATACTAGAAGCTAAATACTGATAGAAGCACAATTAAAAGTAAAATGAAACTAGGGAGCCGCTCATGGGGGTGAGCAGAGCTGTTTCAGATAGGATGGGGAGGGGACGCGTCTCTGAGGAGGTGACGTTCGAGCAGGGCTATGGAAGGAACCATCCCTGTGCGGATCTGGGAGAAGACAGCCCACACATGGAAACTGCAATGCAAAGGCCCTGAGGTCACCTTTTAAGGATCTGGGGTGGTCTGCGTGGTTGAGACAGGTAGGAATAGGCCAGGGCATAGGCTGCGGGGAAAAGGGGCCAGGGCTTGGGCTCCAGCCGTAGGACCACAGAGGTGAGAAGTGCTTCAATATGGAATATAGTTTGAAGGTTAGACTGATAAGACTTGCTGATGATTGATTGTGGAATATAGAGAAAGGACATATCTGGGGTAATTCATGGGTTTTGTCCGGAACAATTGTAGTAGGGATTTCAGAGAAGCCGTGGATCAAGAGGTTTGTCAAGTACTAGGTCAGTTGCCAAAGGGCAGAAAGACAGCCCTGCTGGCAGCCCTGAGACCGCCCTCAGCCTCCGCAGCTTACCAGTGCTCACCGGACCATTATATCCATGATCGTAGTTTATAGCAGTGAAAGGATACAGATTAAAATCAGGAAAGGTAAAAGGCATTTAGGGCAGAGTCCAGGAGAGAAGAAACACAGCCTTCCAATCGTCCGCTCCCAGTGGACTTAGGTGGATAGCATTTAATTTTTCCAGCCACAATGTGTGACAACAGGAAGCTCCCCTGGTGTCCAGGAGTTTTACTGGGGACCCATTACAGAGGCATGGAATCCGCATGGCCGATCTTAGTTACTCAGTCTCCAGGTTTCTAAAGGTCCAGGTGATACTGGGCGGTCCTCAGCCCCCACCATAAATCACATAAAATATCATATATTATAAGTGCATTAAACATCTGGTATGGCCCAAAGTCCCAGGTAAACAAAGATTTATTAGGCGAGGCTCCAGCAGCTGAGAGGTTATCTCTCAGGCGTCAGGCACACACCAGACTCTTTAAAATGTGCAGGGTTGCAGGGTTGAATACAGCAGACCTGCTAAGTCAACCCTTTACTGTTGAAGCTACTTGTTGTATAATGAAGAATTTGTCTAGTCATTGTCCTGGGTCCTGGGAGGTAACCTCTAAGCTCTGGGACTTTCAAGTGACAGGAGTGCATCTGGTATTCGGGGCAGGTCCTGACAGTTTATGTTAATGAGGTGACTATGGTGGGCCCTACATGGGTCCTGCTAATGAGAGGACTCAGGAAAAGAGCAGGCCACCCCAGGAGGACCATGTGATCACACGGCCGGGGCTTTGGGCCACATGAGCCTGAGCTCCAGGGAGGAGAGGAGGCTGGAGATTGGAGTCAATCACACGGCCAGTGATTCAGTCAGTCATCCCTGTGTAATGAGACACCAAAGCTCAGTGGAGTCTCCTGTTTGCTGAGCACTTCAATGTGCCAGGAGGGTGATACGTCCTGATTTATTCCTTATAATAAAACTATAATCATATAAATATAGTGCTTTCCTGGGTCCTATGAGTCATTCTAGCAAATTATTGAACCTGAGGAGTTTGCTGCTAAATTTGTAGCCAGTTGGTCAGAAGTGGGATAACTTGGGGACCTCTGAGCTTGCAACTGGAGGTGGAGTGAGGGGTCTTACTGGGGACTGGACCCTCGGCCTGGGGGCGGTGTCTGAGCTAGCTTGTCGTGCCACTTATATCACAGCACTGCAGCTGATGGTCAGGAAATATATGATTTGCTAGAATGACCTACCCCACTGAAACATGTGGCTGAAACATGTGAAGAGCAACACGACAGCAAGGGGTGAGGTTCCTTTGATTCCTTGACAGCCACAGGGTCACCCATGGTTCTGAACAGCAGTTGGGCTGTGATCAGTTAACTGGAGGTAAAAGCTGCCAAGGGAACGTAGAGATCATAATCCAGATCCTGGGGTGTTGGCTCAGGGGATGCAGAAGAAAATGCAAAATATTAAGGAAAAATTGTTCCCCAGGGCAGACATCTAAATGGGTTATTAAAACGGGGGGAGTAAATCAAACACTGATGGGGGGCAAAACAAAGGTTTTAATGCAGGACTCTTAGGGGTTTAGTGAACCAGTGAGGTCTCTGAAGGTCCCCCAAATGGAAGGGCCCTTAACAAATCTGCTTTATTCCCCACTTTGGAGGAATTGGGAAACAGCAAGGCAACGCCAGCAACGAGAAGCCCGCCCTCCTGCTGGGGCAGCGTCTGGAAATTCAATCAAGACAGAGAGTTATGAAGGGGTCGGGGTCCCTTAGCTCTAGCCCCTGCTGGGGGCTCAAAGCCTCACGCATGTGAGTGGGCGAATGGTGAGAGGGCAGAGAAATTTCTAAGACTGTGACCTCTGAACCCCATGCACTGTGGTACCAAAAGCCACTGGGGAGGCCCGGAAAGGGGCTATATAATCGGACGGAGAGGATACAGAAATGCAAGGATTGCTGGGATTAAGGTGAGAGTTCAGATGAAAATTGGAATGTTTAAATAGGCTTACATCAAGTGGTTGCTTCTCCTTCACCCAAATATTTTATGGGAATGCATATTAAGTCTGACTGGGGAACACGTACCCTACCTGGCATTGTAAAACCAAAACCTGTTGGTGAAATCCTCCTGGGGGGGCCACAGTTAAGAATGAAAGAGTTGATGAGGCCACGATGAGAGTTTGGGTGAAAGTTGATTTATGTGGACACTTTTTATGGAAAGTGATTGCTTCTGTTTTCCCTGAATGTATTACCCAGTTGGATATTGTATCTGCCTGGGAAATGTTTCCACTCTCTAGTATTATAAAAACAAAAGGCATGTAAATCTGCCCATCAAGCAATATTAATTGGACATTCCTAATGGGAGTCAAGTCCACACAGATCATAGCCTTCCATGGAGTGTAGAACGGGTCTTAGAGCAAACACCTGTGTGCACCTCCCTGCACGACTGCTGAGACTTTGGACTAGAGAATTTCCACCTGAGAGGCAATTACTAACTTGCTATCAGACATTAATTGAAACTGCCCTAATGACTGATAAAGACATTTTATCACCTGGGTGATATTGGAGAAGTGCTCTAAGAGGAAGGGCAGTGCCCAGGAGAACTCCATAATAAGGTGGGAATGGTTCGTGCAGCCCGTGCTGCTGGTGGGGGACGCGCTCAAGAGCAGGTCGACTCGTGTCCCCCAGGACTGACTTGGGAACCACCCGCGGAGCTGCTGGATTCTGTGTCCACGTGGACAGCGCTCTACGAACAGCTCTCAACTGACCGACGAAGAGCTGCTTGGTTTATGAACGGCAGCTCCAAGGTGGCCAGACAGCGTGCTGTTTAGAAGACTACCGCTCTGATCAAAGATGAGACCGCACCACCCTGGCGGGCTTGATGGCCTGGTATTTGCCACTGTGTTTGGGTTTTTATCTACTCTTGGTCGGTGACCAATGGCTGGACCTACGCAACACACTCTGTGTGGGTGGGAGGGAACACCCAGCGAGGCACTTGCTAGACTAGTATTGCTGCCTGCAGTCTGGACCAGCCCAGTGGCCAAACCTGATGTTCTTTCCAAAGTGGAAAAGTTTGGCTATAAATGGAGAAAAGGAGAAGTAGGGGCAAGGGGAAAGGAATGAATAGATTAATCATGAATGCAATGAAAGAAATCCACTATTCCATGAACACTGTAAAAGAAGCTCGGAGCAGGAAATGATACTGTCTCTTGGCCCAGTATCGCTGAGACTTCTCCTGCTTTGGAAGTTGACGGGATTGAATGGAAGCCTGCAAAGCTGAGTGGTCTCGACCCCAGAGACATTTTAGTCATATATGATATGATATTGGACTAGACTAATTATTAAAGAGTGTAGGAGAATCTTGAAATGCGCCAACCTCTTTGACTTGATCTTCAGGTAACATCTACTACAGTGTAATGTGGTAAAACACTGGCATTGTTAGTTAGATCATATTAATGTTGATGGTCAAATGTATTAGGATATTGAGTTAAAAGCCTCCTAGTGCTACCGAACACGAGCTCTAGATGTTAGGTATATTCATGTTGATATGCTACAGCAAATGGAGATGTTCAAACAGTTAAAGTTGTTTTGCTAAAAGGAACCAGCGGCCAGGGGTGGCCTGTTGTATAACACAGAATCTGTCTGTCCTTTGGCCTGATTTCCTGGAATGTGACTTCTCAGATCTTGGGATTTCCCAAGTGGTAGGAGCATCTTTGGTATTCAGAGTGTGTTCTGGTGGTAATGTTCATGAGGTGGCTCATGGTGGCCCCCAGATGCGTCATGCTAATGAGATGACCCAGGAAGGGACGCAGCCACACCAGAGAGACTGTGTGATTACAGGGTAGGGGCTTTGGGTGCCATGATATCAGTCTGAGCTCCAGGGAGGGGGGCAGGGCCAGGGATTGAGCTCAGTCACATGGCCAGTGAGTCAATCAATCATACTTATGTAATGAAACCCTAATAAAACCTCTGGACACTGAAGCACAGTGGAGCTTCCTGGTTGGAAGCCTTACCAATGTGCCAGATTGGTTGTGTGTCCTGATTCCATGGGGAAGGGACACAGAAGCTCTGTGTTCAGGACCCTCCCAGGCCTTGCCCTACATGTCTTGGGAAAATGAACTGAGTGAGGGCAATTATGTTGGAGGCTGTGCCCCTAAGCCTGTGGAGTCTGCAGGGACCAGATGGTTGGCATCGGGAGTGAACTCCCCAGCACCCCTCTGGCCTGGCACTAGGCCCTCTTAGAGCAAAACCATCACCATCACATCTGTCTGAGCATCTGTGTTTGGCACAGCCATTACATAATGAACAGCCATGGTATGATGATGCCTGGCATTGGGCAGAGCCAGAGCAGAGAAGGGGTAGATTGAAAGAAACAACTGATCGAGCCTATAAAGCTTTACATCTTCATATTTTTGTACTGATTTTATTACTCATTTCCCTCCTAGATCTGCCACTGTCTGTAGCTTATGATAAATTTGTGAGCTATTTAGCATAGAAATTAGCTAAATTCAATTCTTCCTCAAGCCAGTCACTTCCCTTGATACTACATTTTGAGGAGGCTTTAACTCAACCTCCCAATATATGTAATCATCAATATTACTATCATTATATGGCTTTTTTACATAAAGTAGTTGAATCATACCAAAAAACCAGCATCAAACCACATCCTAGTACAGCCATAGTATAATTCAGTTTCATCATGGAGGCTATAAGAGTTACAGAGGCATGTTCTATGCCTTCCCATTGGAATTGCACTTTGCCCATATACCAAATATTTTACAGACAGGCATCATCACAAGTGGCCATGATTTGTAATTGTTACTTTTCCACTGAGAGCTTGTTAGATAGCAGAGCCCACCTCCTTCCAAGGGGAGGACGCAGGTGGTATTCCGAAGATTCTGACCCCTGCCAACTGTACTACGGGGTGTGGCTCTTGATCTGTTCCCAGAGCAGGAGCAGTCACAGAGCCCCAGAGAAAGGGTGCAAGCGCCCCAGAGGACGTCCTGAGGTCCGCACATCCCTAAGGTTCCGATTGGAGCTCTCCTTGAGCCACGGCAGCTCGTGTGGAGGCCTCGGTCGGCAGCCAGGAGGCCCTGTTGGACGAGGGTGGGAGTCCTTTTCCAGGGCTGGGCCCTCGCACTATCCAGCGTCATTTCTTCCCTTGGCTCAATGCCCTTCACCAAAGCCGCCTCAGCCTTCCAAGCTGACTCTGCTTTCCTCCTGGAAGAGGACTCCTTCCAATCTGCTTATTCTCGTTAACAACTGTTTTTCTCCTCCGAGTCCCTCTTCTCAGTAACAGCAAACTCAGTTTATTCCACTGCAGGGGACGTTTCTCTCCCAAAGCCGTTTCTGTCTCATGGGCCAGTGCTTTTTGATCCACCATGCATGTTGTTGCCATCGTGCACTAAAGACCTGGGTACAGTCAGGGTACATGTTTTATACCCCAAAATGGTGGGTCCCCCCCATACTAGGGGTAGATGGGTGGTAGCCACACCTAGGTGTAATCTGAGTATGCCATAAGGCCTCCCATAGCCTTCTTCACCCAGGACAGGGCCATCCCCAGGAGAGTTGGGGTGTGTCATGTGACACCAACTGCTTTAAGCCCGTAAGAGGCCCTTCTTTTTCCTATTATACCTAACAGCTTCTATCCACAAAAACAAGGGCGATCTGTGTCTGTGCACATGGCACACTGTGGCACGTTGGCCGTGCAGCTGCTGTATTTGTCCGTTAAAACCAGGGGCTTTCTCAGCTTCAGCTCTCAAGGTTTATAGTTACACAGTGATCGGTCTGCCAGGAGTTCTATAAAGACCCAGTAGGGAGCAGTTCCTGGAAACTTCTTCCGCGGTGATACCGTTTGTAGTAAGTATAACCCGAGAGCTTAGAGTCCAAAGACACTGGCATGTTATCAGAGCGCTGTTCAGTCGTCAAAAATCAGTCCATCCCATCGTCACTCCCAAGACCAAAATATCTCCTGGAACAGGGCCCCTTAGGTTTGCAGGCCATGTACCACAGGCAAGGTGGTCGTGGCGGACATGGGGCCTCACCGTTCCAGGCCTCTGGTGCAGCTGTGCTATAGACGCTGTTACCCCTGGTCTGAGCCTCTCTCCAGGCACCAGTGCAGAGCTGGACCTCCCACCCCTGCCGCACACCCACTCCTTCACCCTGGACCCTCAGCTGCTAGATCTCCTCTCCATTTGTCACTGATATTTGCAAATGTCTCCCCTGTCTGCAAGGGACTTTAGGTTTGACCACCATACTGACTGCCCACAGCAATACCAATCGTGCAAGGGCCCCCACCCTGCCCCTTCCTGTTCATATAGGATAGGGTTACACAGGTCCAGAGTGGATGGAATACTCCTACCCCTAGGCAACCCAGCTGCACCCGCTGGGAGGCCCCGTTTAGCACAACCCACCTCGTCAGGCCCTTAGGAGTTCTGACATACAGGTTTGAAAAGAGGGTTACCGTTTCTTGCTTAGGAATCATCCCTGCTTCTGCCACCACAGTTGCTACCTTGGACAGGGACCAAGGACAGGGACCACTGTGTCCCGCAGGAAAAAGTAAGTTGAGGTGCTGTGGGGAAGAACAGTGCCGTCTTACTAGCAACCTCTCTGCAGAGTCCCCAGAAAAGCACAGGGACCTCTCCAGTGGGGATCTTGCCCGGAGCCCCTCATGCTGAGTGTGAACACACACTCATGAAGGTAGTAAGCCAGCCCTTCGTGCTTTTGTCTCTCCCCATTTATTCAACAAATGTTTCAACTGCCTGATGCAATTCTCCACCCAGCCGCCACTCTGAGGACCATATGCAGCATGGGACGTGCACTTGACATGACACCTCTTGGCCCATGTTGGAACTATGACCCAGCCACGCTGGTAGAGTGTCTCCTATTCCGATAGAGCTTTTACAGTATTCTAGGCATTTTCATCTACAAGCAGGGCTACTGTAATGTGCCCTTTAAACTCCCAGAGTAATTCCCTTAGCGTTATGCCCCACATGGCCTGCCTCTAATAATCCAGTTTTTCCCACCCATTTTCCAGGCCATTGGCTACTGCCTATGAGTCAATAAAACCCCAAACGTGGGGGCTTTTCTCTTTCATCTCCCATCTGGAAGGGGACAGCATGCGATTCCGCCCACTAAACTGATTTTTTCTGATGTTCTTCAAAAATTTCCATCAGTCAGTCAGAGGGCCGTGGGCTTCCAAACAAGACACTGTTCACTCGGGACCGCCCTCCCTAAGCCCAGCGGCTTTTTGTTGGTCAACAGAGAGCTGGTCACAGGGCTGGTGGCTCCTCCAGTGCCTCCAAAGCCAGCCCTGGGAGAAAAGAGGCCCCCTGCTCACGGATGCAGACATATTCCCGGAGGAGCATGCTTCTGTGCAAGCCATTTGCATCTTATTAAGGAACTTGCTGGGGCGCTGCCTTCCTTAGCAGGGCTTCTCTGACATCGCCCAAGACATTATAGGTATTTCAGGTTTCAGGAATATTTTCTGTCCTTCAGTCACAGGGGTGGTTTCAATCAACAGCAATAACAAGTTAGTAACTATCTCCTCAATGGCTTACATGGTATCCTGCACCTGGAAATTTGCATCTGAGGTGCAAAATCTCAGCAATTGCTACTGTGTGCAACTCACAGACTTTTGCCCTAAGCCCTTCGGGTCAAGTCTGCACAGGGCTGCTGTACAGAGAATTGGTCCATTCCATGTCAACGTGCCACTGACATGGTTTTGCCCACCGGGTATTCTACACAGTTTCAAATTACCAACTAGTGTGGGCTCGGCAATTGTTTAGGTCCTTTACTGCACAAGGTCCCACCTCATGCTGTCAGCCCTGAATGTCACCCCCACCCAGGAACACCTGCCACACACGGGCACACACACATGTACACAGACAGACGCGGGCACACACAGCCTCTGTCCAGCCCTAGAGACATGCTGCGGGCGCTAGCCTTTCTGCCCCACTTATGGTGGCACCTACTCTGCTCCCTCCCCACTTCTCTCTGCAGCCAGATTTACTGCCATGGGGAGATCCTGCACCAAGTTCAGATGGCCAAGCTCTACCAGGATGACAAGCAGTTTGTGGACATGCCACTGTCCTCAGCTCCCGGTGAGGCACCGGGGGGCCCACCTCCTCCTGAACCTCCCACCAAAGATGACAGGGGGCCAAACCCAGGCGGAGAGGAGCCTTTGATCAGGGAGAGGCTCCTGGGGTCCCACTCATCCTTTCCTGTCGCCTGTCCCCAGACCAAGTCCTGAAGTACTTCAACGAGCTGGCCAAGGCGCACAACTCCAGCATCCCCCAGAAGCAGCTGCAGGCTTTCGTCCAAGAACACTTCCAGCCCGTGGGGCAGGAGCTGCAGCCCTGGATGCCTGAGGACTGGAAAGACAGGTGCCTCCCTGAACAGTGACCAAGAGAGGGCCCTTCATGCTGGCCTGCCCCCCTCATCCATGCGGGGTGGGTGCTTTTCCAGCCCCCGGATCCTACAGAAGATCTCGGACCCCAAGCTGCGGGCCTGGGCAGGGCAGCTGCACCAGCTCTGGAAGAAGCTGGGAAAGAAGGTATCAGGGTGCTGGGCCACCTGAGGCTTGGCTCAGGGGCTGGGGCTGGGAGAGGGCTGTGCCAGCACGGGGCTCACACCACCCTGACCACACAGAAGGGGACTCATTTCCGAGAACCCAGCCTCTCCCCGCTGGTCCCTTGAACAGAAGCTCTGTGGAAAGAATTCCTCGGAGGGTGAGGAGGAGCACCTACTTATACCTCCTCGCCTCCTCCCTGAAGGCCTCGAGCCTCCCCAAGGCAAACGGCCTGCCCTGCCGCCTCCAGGCTGCCCAGGCCTGCCTCCCACACCCATGGTGGTGGCTCCTCCCTGGCCGGGCTCCCGCTCTCCTGAGCTCCCGGCAGGGCCTCTGCGCAGGAACGAGTGACCAGCACGGTCTGCCAGGCATTTCCTCTCCTCTCCCGAGGCTCCGAGCAGGCAGCAGTTTGCCCAAGGCTGCACAGCACCCGTCCCCCCGCCGGCCCCAGCGCCCTGGCGCCCCTGGCACCCAGTGGGGATCTGGGCTCCTTTGCCTGCTTGGCCTGCTTCCTCCCCAAGCCTTCAGGAACAAGCCCGCCCCCTTCTGCTGCTCCCCTCAAAACAACTGACAGGCTGACCTCCCCTCTAACACCGTGCTACCCCCCCACTCGGACAGAGCTAGGAGGGAATGCACAGAGAAATTTCCAGATCCGGACACACGGCGAGACCCCCGGTCCTACTGTGGCTCTGTCTCGGCCACGTCAGCCACATTCACCTCGCTGGGCCAAAGGGTTTGGGGCTTCCTGCACAGGAAGGGTGGGCCAGACAATGGGGGTCTAGTGTCTGGGCCTGGCTTGGTGGGAGCAGCAGAGACCTGGGAGACAAGGGGAGCTGGAGGAGACTGTCCCCTCCTGGGTCCTGACAGGAGACAGATGCTGCTTGGTGAGCACCTGCCAGGGCCAGGTGGGGTGCCCAGGGCTCCTGCACACCCCCGAGCTTAGCTGGGACTCCAGACGCCAGCAGGTGGGGACCAGCAGCCCAGGGCCCCACGGCTCAGGCCTTGAGCAAAGCCACATGGCAGGGCAGCAGCAGAGAAGAGCTCAAGCCTGGGCCGCCAGGCCCCAAAGCCAGCAGCTGCCAGGGCCTCTGCTGCTGAAGCCCCTCCAGCCTCCACCCCCTGGGGCCTCTGGGCTCCCTGTGCCCTCTCCCCCTGCAGGTGAAGCCAGCGGTCTCCAGCCACCCTGAGCAGTTCTCCCTGATTTACTCGGAGCACCCCTTCATTGTGCCCGGCGGGCGCTTTGTTGAATTCTACTACTGGTGTGAGGCGGGCGCTGCGGGGTGGCGCGGGGCAGGGAGGTGGGAGCCAGGGCCAGCGGGGTGCCTTGAGCGGGGCGGGCATGCAGGGCAGAGGGTGGCATGGGCGATGCCTGAGCGGGCCCTTCCCCCAGGGACTCCTACTGGGTGATGGAGGGGCTGCTCCTCTCTGAGATGACTGGGACGGTGAAGGGCATGCTGCAGAACTTCCTGGACCTGGTGAAAAAGTAAGGGGGGCCTGGGAGCCTCACGGCCACATGGAGGAGAAGCAGTGCCCTGGGCTTGTGGCTGGATCGCCCTGGAGGCCGGGCAGCTGCGTCTCAGCCAGCCTCCGTGTTGGCAGCTACGGGCATGTCCCCAACGGGGCCCGCGTGTACTACCTGCAGCGGAGCCAGCCGCCCCTCCTGACCCTCATGATGGAGCGCTACGTGACTCACACCAACGACACGGCCTTCCTGCGGTGGGTCCGTGACCCTGCTGCCCTGCGGGCCCCCACCCGAGACCCCCAAGGCAGGGCTGAGCAGGTGTGCGTGGGCTGAGGTGTGGCCTGCTCACCCCAGGGACAACATTGGGACCTTGGCCTTGGAACTGGACTTCTGGACTGTGAACAGGAGCGTCTCCGTGAGCTTGGGGGGGAAGAGCTACATCCTGAATCGCTACTATGTCCCTTATGGGGGCCCCAGGTGAGGATCTGCGGGGCAGCCTCCCGGCCTCTGGTCTCTCCACTCTGCTTGGAGTGTCATGACCTCCTGGGCAGGGAGTAAGGGACTCAGCCCCCGTCAGTGGTGGGCAGCCCAGGGCTATGGGGCCTACGGGCAGCGGAGTCTACATGGGTCAGCCTCCAGCCTGAGCAAGAGGCTTAGAGCCTCCTAGCGCCAGGCTGCCCACCCTCCTCTGGGCAGGCCGGAGTCCTACAGCAAAGATGCGGAGCTGGCAGGCGCACTGCCGGAAGGTGAGCAGCAACAGGGTAAGCAGGTCTGGGTGGGCCGGGCACCTGCAGCTGCGTCAGGCCTGGCCCTGGTCTGCTGCTGCCTGTCCTCACAGGGGACCGTGATGCCCTGTGGGCTGAACTCAAGGCTGGGGCCGAGTCCGGCTGGGATTTCTCTTCACGCTGGCTCGCGGGAAGCCCAAACCCCAAACTGCTGAGCAGCATTCGAACCAGCAAATTCGTGCCTGTTGACCTCAATGCCTTCCTATGCCAGGCGGAGGGGCTGATGAGCAACTTCTATTCCAGGCTGGGTGAGCACGCCAGCGGGAGGCGAGGGGAGGGGCCCACTGGGGGTGCCCACCACAGCCTTAGCAATAGAGCTGCAAGTAGGAGCCTGGCCTCCAGCTCCCCGGCATGCTCAGTACCTCAGCCCTTGCCGCCAGGGCAAGAGTGCCCTCGGAGCCCACAGTCACCTTCACTGCAGGGCGGGATTCCAGGGCCTACGAGAGGGTCCCCAAGCCACACCTCCAGACAGGCTCTGCTCCTTCTCCCCAAACATAACCTTTTGACCCCTCAGAGTGGGGGAATCCTCATGGGCAGTGCCCTCCTGAGGAAGAGGGCACTGCAGGGCCCCTCATTCAGGGAATTCAGGGTCCTCGAGGCCTAAAGTGTGGGCTCCAGGTAGGCATGCCCCCTCGGTGCCCAGGCCTTCTTGGGGAGGACAAGGGGAGGCCAAAGCAGACTAGGGAATGGGGCCCAAAGGGGACACCCTGGTCACTGAGCCTAAAGGCAGTGTCCACACAGGGAATGAATCCCAAGCCACGAAGTACAGACAGTTGCGGGAACAGCGCTTGGCTGCCCTGCAGGCCGTCCTGTGGGATGAGGAGATGGGTGCCTGGTTTGACTTTGACCTCGAGAATAGAAAGAAGAACCAGGAGTTTTACCCGTCCAACCTCGCTCCTCTCTGGACCAGCTGCTTCTCTGACGTGGGTGTCGTGGACAAGGCTTTGAAATACCTGGAGGTGAGGGGGACAGCAGGTGGGCTGGGACCCTGGGGCAGGACCCCGCTCTCTCCCTGACTCTGACAAGTCACCTCTGGCAAGTGGCAGCCACTCCCTCCTCCTCTTCGGCCCTGTCTCAGCCTGCGGGCCCCGCCAGGGCCACCAGGGGGCAGCCGTGAGCCACGGAGAGAAAGCCCAGCAAAGGGACATGTGCCTTTAGGAGGGCCCAGCCTCCTGGCTCCCCCAGCAGCCCCAACCCGCAGTCCTAGTGACTCTGGAACCTTATAGGCCAACCAGATCCTGACCTACCAGTACGGGGTGCCGACCTCTCTCCAGAAGACAGGCCAACAGTGGGACTTCCCCAATGCCTGGGCGCCCCTGCAGGACCTCATCATCAGAGGTAGGGAGGCAGGGATGCGGCAGATCCCAGGGCCCTCCCCGCCACCCCCTGCCCGTGGAGGTAGAGGCTTGGCCTCCCTGGTACAGGGGAGACATGGACAAAGGATGGGAGGGGGGCTTTCTCCGGCTCCTCTGCTCTCTTAGCCTCCCGTCCAGCAAACACTTACGTCCACCCCCACCTGTCAGGGGAATCAGCCCTCCTCTCTCCCTCCAAGCCTGGGCCCGGATGAAGAGCAGCCTGGCCTGCGGTCCCAGGAAGGTCGTGGGACCTGGGCCTCTTTCCCTCCTTGAGGCCAGTAAGGCCTCTGCTGCCCCTGGGAAGGGGGCTCTGGAGGCTCAGGGTCCTGCCTGGGGTGGGATCTAGGTCTGGCCAAGTCTCCTTCCCCTCGGACCCAGGAGGTAGCTTTCCAGCTGGCCCAGAATTGGATCCTAACCAACTTTGACGTCTACTCCAAAAAGTCAGCCATGTACGAGAAGGTGAGCGGGCCCTGAGCCCAGCCCCCTGGGGCCTCCTCCCCCGGTGAGCTGGAGGAGGGTCAGGCTTTGCAAAGCCCAGGCCCAGCCCAGCAGGGACACTGGCGGCGCCCAGTGGCCATTCGTAGGCACTGCAGGGTCAGACTGCAGACAGACAAGCTTCTCCCAAAGGGGCTCCCAGTTCTTGCTTCCCCTGGAGGGCTGCGGAGGGGCCTGGGCTAGTGCCTGACCTTGGAACCCGTCCTCTTGTCCCTAGTATGACATCAGCAGCGGTGGGCAGCCAGGCGGTGGAGGGGAGTATGAAGTTCAGGTGAGCGGGCCAACATGCCGCAGGGAACCACAGGGTTCCGCTGTCCCCACAGCTCCCCGCGACCTCCCCAAGCTAGGCCTGGCTCCTCCCCCTGTGTGGTCCACAGGGAGCGTGGCTGTGCTCCCTGGAACCCCCGGGGGGCTGGCGGGACCACAGCCCCTGGGTGGGGACCCACACCCCCCCGGCGTGCCTCTGCAGGAAGGGTTTGGCTGGACCAATGGAGTGGTCCTGATGCTGCTGGACCGTTACGGCGACCGGCTGAGCTCGGGGACCCAGGGAGCCTTCCTGGCGCCTGGCTGCCTCCCAGGTGCCCTTCTGCTTGGCCTCCTGCTCAGCTTTCTGCCGCAGTGACACCGTCCGCCTTCACGCCCTCACCCAGCCCCAGCGGCTGCTCATTAAACCTCTGCATGAGTTCCTACCTTGCCTGCCTCTTCCCCCTGGAGGCCCTCATGCCCCTCCACACCTCAAGCCCCCAGCCAGTGCTGGTCACAGTGGAGTGGGGTCAAGGTAGGGACCTGGAGGCCCTGGCTTGGGCCCTGGATCCCTCCTGGAAATTTAGCAAGGGAAAAATCCTGTCTTGTGGGGACGATCTAGCCTTTCTACTCCACGTATCCCGGCCCCAAACCCACACATCCTGGCCCCCCAAACACATACTCCAAATGCTTTATTGTTCTTCTGAGATGCTTACAAATACTGAAAAACACCCAGCCCAGGCCCAGCAACCACGGCCCAGTGCTGGGAGGGACAGGGAGGCGGGCTTAGTGTTAAGGCGAGAAGGGCTGAGGCCAGACGGCTGGACACCTGGTCCTTTGCTCCCCGTTTTCATCAACCTGCTAAGGCCAAAGGGACGGCAGTTGGCCCTCAGGGCCCTCTCCCTCTGCTGCTTCCTCTCCTGCTCAGGCTCTCCCCGGGGGCCTCTGAGCGGCCAGTCCATGTCAGAAACAGCCCTGAACAGAACCCCTTCTAGCTTCCTCTCCGTCCACGCTGCCCCTGCCCTGGAATCTAGATCCTCCAGCTTCTTCCCTTGTGGCTCTAAGCAAGGCACGAGTGGAAGGGAGAGGGCTGGACTGAGGGCCAGCAGTCTGTGCCTCGGAACCTGGAGATACAGGCAAGGGGCAGGGAGAGGGCGTTCAGTCCCCGGCCCCCAGCAGGAAACGCCCAAGGGCCAGGCTGGAGAGATGATGGCTCGTACTCTCAGACGGGCCCACAGCGGGAGCAGTGGGCTAAGCCACAGAGCCATGGCAATTAGTATGTAACCATGGTGATGAAGCAGTTACTATGGTGACCACGGTGGCGGTCTGCACAAAGGGGATGGGGCTGGGACCTCAAGGATGACACCTGTGGTCTCTGGCCCTGGAGCAAAGTAATAAAAACTACAAATGCGGGAGGACAATGAGGCGGAACGGGGTCGGAGAAGCACACTGCCTGAGCTGTTACCCCACTCTGGGTGTGGCTCTGCTTAGCCCCCAAGGCCCCTGTAAAGGGGGCTGAAGCAAGAGGGGATCTTTGGCAGATTCTGGTACCATAATCTGTTCTTTGCAAAAAAGAACACAGGGTGGGGAGTGCAGGTGCCAGGTCGGAGCTGAGAGGCCCCCTCTGTGACAGCCCCTCTGCCCTGGTGGGCCCAGCACAGGACCCAGAGGGTCACTGCAAGTTCTGGGCTCCCGGGAAGAAGCAAAACCCCGACCCCACCTTCGTCTCCTTGCCGGTTCTTCGGAGGCCTGAGCTCAGAAATTCACGGGCGAGCTCCTTCTGGGACATTACCAAGTCTCCTTGCACAAAAGCGCCGGACACACCGCACCCTCCGGGGGCTTCTGGGAGCACCCCCGCTAGGTCGGGTGAGCAGTGCAGCAGATGGTCAGGCACGGGTCCTGGGGCGGCCGGGCGAGGAGGCCCCCCCCCGTCAGTTCATGAACTGAGTGTAGCCCTCGGCCCCGGTGACGATGACATCCATCCAGATGCGCATGGCTTCTGCCGACGGGGCCACCACGTAGTACAGCCGGTCGTGGGTCTTCACGCAGAAGGTGAGGGCTGGGTTTGGGCTCTGCCGCGGGAAGAGGACGGCCTGAGACAGGGCCCACGGGTGTCCTGCCTCCCGACGGCCCTCGCCCCTCCATCTTCAGGACACCCTGGAGCTCGAGGCTGAGTCCTAAATGGACCAAAGGCTAGTCCAGCCACTCACGTGGGCCCAGGCTGAGAGAGTCCCCTCCTCCTCACACCTTGGCCCCTGGCAGGGCCTCACCCTGCCAGGTGGGGGTACTGTGCCCTGGCAACCCAGGCACAAAAGTGAACATGAAGAGAATCAGACCCAAAAGGCTGTTACAGTGAGGACCACAGTCTCCTCTCAGCAAAAGGGGGCAGACGGGAAAAGCTACAAGTGGGACACTGGGCCCCGGACGCCAGAGGAGGAGAGATCGGCCGTTGGGCCTCTGAGGCTGGGTGGGGCGGGTGGGGGAGGCTGCCTGGCATCAAGGCCCAGGGCCCTGGCCTCAAACACTCCTGCTCATCAGTCCCTTCTATCCAGTCTCGTCTCTGAGGGTCCCTACTCCCCTTTAGCCGTCCCTTCCGTGCTGCCCACCCCGCTTAGGGGATGCCCGGACATCATCTCGGGAGGAGGAGGCAGCAAGCAAGCTGTATTCAAGCCTGCAGGGGCTTCCTGTTCTCTGCAGCCCACCGCTGTCCCTCAGGCCTGGGGTAAGGGTCGGACATTTAGGGGAAGGTAAAGGGTGGGGCCAGTAGGGACAGAAAGTGTTAATGCACAGTAGTTCTGGTTACAGGTATATGGGGAGGGTACCTCAGTCACCATAGTGAAGCTGAAAAGCCTCTTCTGGGAAGGGGAGAGGGAGAGAGGAAGAGAAAGTTTACAGAGAGATGGAGGCATGGGGCAGGGCCTCCAAAGAGGACAGGCCTCCCCCTGCCCGGCGGCTGTCCCTCTGGCCCCCTCACCTTGGCCGCACTGCGCAGGTGGTCATAGTACACCTCCTCGATGGCCTGGAAGTAGATGACCCCTTTCAGCTTTGTCTCGTGCTTGTCTGCAAAGGACATAAAGGCCAAGCTAAAGAGGCCTGTCCTACTTCATGTCAAGACCCTCTGACATGGCGCTTCCCCATCTGGGAAAGGGGGTGACTCCCAGGACCCCAAAACAGAGCCAGACATGGAGCCCTAAAGATTGGTCAATGCTCAGTCTTGCTCAGAATTACAGAGTGCAAATGAGAACTCCATCACAATACCACTTCTCACCTATCAGCACAGCAAAAATATACAAAAAATATACAGCAATGCTTTTGGCAAGTCTGGAGAAACAGTCTGATAAGTGATAGGCAGGAATATAAACTGGTAAACACCAGGGATGACTTGGCCACATCTATCAAAATCAGAAAAGTGTTTCCCTTTGAGCCAATGATTACACTTAAGAAAAGTCTATCTTACACATGTGCAAAATAACAAATTTACAAGATTACTCACAGCAGCAGTATTTGTAGTTACAAAAGACTCATACAACCCACGTATCCATCAAGTGGTGATAGGTTAAGAAGTTACAGTGCAGCACACGGTGGAATACTATACAGCTATTACACAGAATGATACAGAAATAGGGTATTGTTTCAGAAATAAATCTTCAAAATATGTCTAGATACAGAGACATTTGATACAGAAAGATCTCTAAGATACATGAGCAGGGAAACAAAGAATGTATTGTATGCTATCTTTTGTGAAAGAAAAGGGGTAAGAAAATGTTTGTATTTGTTTATATTCCATTAAGGAAACTCTAAGATACACAAGAGATTCATAAAAGTGATGACATGCAGTGAGTGGGGTATAATTCTCCATTTAAACCATTTTATGTGTTTTGATTTTTTAACTGTATGAAAGCATTTACCTATTCAACTCTAATAGTTAGAAGTGGAAGGAAGGGCGTATATAGTACGTGGAGGCAGGGATGGCAGGAAGGAGACGGGCAAACAGAGGTGAGCAGTTATTCCACTGTCCCCATGGGGAGGGCAGGGGTGCTGCCAGGGAGAGCACAGGGCCTGGCCCTCTCATCTTGTGGCAAATGCTGCTCAGGCCCCACAGTGGGCACCCCAGACAGCGAGCCTGAATCTTAAAGCAACGGTCACAAAGTCACTCAACTCACATGGTGAGGGGGGCAGTAAGCACCTCCCCCACACTGGCATCATTTCAGGCCTGACTCACGGGTCCGGGAGCCTCCTGATGTGCCCCTGCCCCACCTCCTGCCCCTTCAGCTCATCCTGATGCTGAGGGCTGAGTTTCTCCTGGTCCCTTAGCAGGATGCCTCCAGCCCGTTCCCTTGGCAAACTCCTAAGTCATCTGCAAGACCCGCTGCAGACGTCCGCACTCGGGTGCAGGGCTGCGCTCTGTGCTCCCACAGCACAGCACAGTTCTCCGTCTAGAACTTACGATGCTGAACCTAAAGCCTCCTTTATCTGTTCATGGATCTATACCTCCCCGAACATGAATAACTAGGCACCTGGTGCTCAGTCCACATCGAATGACTGAATCCTAGGCCCTGGGATCCAGGAAAGGCCGAGACTCTTCTCCCAATGGCCTACAATCTAGTGGGGAAGAAAGCACAGACACAGAGCCGTGTATCCCCGTGGGACCGTGGCCGTGGCCCAGGAGAGCCCCTGTGCGTCACGGCTTGTCAGTATTGAGTGGGAGAACACACTCAGTATTCAGCACAGAATCTGGCACATAACACGTGGCATCTGTCATTACATCATTAGGCTCCTGGGCTGATGTCACAAGACATATGGCCCCTGCAGGCCATAGGAGTTAGAGTGGAGGGCAGGAACCGTTCCCAGCAAGATCGGGCCCGGGAAGGCTTCACAGAGTTAGTACCTGGTCTGGACCCTGTCGAACGGAGGGGTTCCATCAGGCAGCTGGGAGGGGGGTCAGGGAAGGGCGGGAGGCGGGGCAAGTTCAAGGCAGGAGCTGGCCAGGCACACCCAGGGCCCTGACCCAGCCACAGGCCCATCTCCATCCAACGCTCCCTCTTTGGGACAGGGACCCAGTCCCATCCTGGCCCTGTGCTCTGTCTCTTCCTTCCCTGGAAACAGTAACACGCTTCTGCCTCCACTTCCTTACCACCCACCTATCCTTGATCTTGTGCAGTCTGGCCCTGTACACAGCAGAAACCTTTCTCTAATCCTGTCCAATCCCCGAATCAAATGGCCTTTGGGTCCACATTGTTCCTGGCCTTTCCGTAGCAACCATCTGCACAGTGACACCCTCTGCTTGTTTGCTGGCTTCCTGCCCCATTTCCACTCCCATCGGAACCTGGTTCCCCTTTGTCTCACAGACATTAAGGAAGGTCACGTATGCCAAGCGCTAGCCAGCATCTGGCCTGTGGCTTCCCGCCTCCTGTCCCATCTCCCTTTGCTGGCCCTTCTTCCCCTTCCCTACAAGGGGAGGCTTGCTCCAGGGTGCAGCTCTCTTCCTTTGCTCTGCCCTGAAGTGTGATTGCCAGGTTCAGTCTTAGCTCTGCCTTTTAGCTGCTGTGAAGCCTTGGGCAATGGACTTAACCTCTCTGAGCCCTTTTCTCCTCCTCTGTAAAAAAGGTGTAAAAATAGTGCTTCCCTCACAAGATTATTAATGAAGATTAAATGAAATGATGCACGCAGAATGCTTAGCAGAGCATCTGGTTCATACAAGCATCCCCTAAGTATGATCCGCTATCACATCATTATCATCACCATTATTATTCCAACAGACTGACTTCCACTCTGCCTCTAATCCTGACCTCTCTCCTAAACCTAGATGTCCCAGGAGCACTTAAACCTTAATATGCCTGAAATGCAGCTCCTCTCAAGCCTGCTAGTCCCAGTCCCAGCGAAATCCCTTCCCAGCCCAGGTGCAAACATGGGCACACTTGGGGCTCTGCCTCCCCACCCCCGGGGCCCAGGTGGTCAGGGGAGGCTTCTGGGAGCGGGTAGCACTTAGCTGGGGGTAAAGGGCTGCAAGGGAAGCAGGGCGCTGCAGGCACAGTATCTCCAGCACCAAACCCCCCAACCCTTTCCTTCCAGGCTCTGAGAAGGACTGTCCTTCCCAGCTTTGCAGGTGGGTGGGGCTGGATGACCGGCTAAGCAGCCCCACTAGCGACTTGTGGGCAGACCCCAGCCGGGGCATTTCACACCAGTGCAAGGCCCCGTTAGGCTTCTCCTTACCCTCTGCCACCGTGACCACCGACGTCCCAGAAAGGGGTGCTCTGAAGAAAGGGAGCACTGGGGCAGAGCCAAGCCCCCCCCCAACCCACAGTGCGCATAGACACGCGTCGGCAGTAAGAAGGAAGACGTGGTGGTTTTGAGCCACGGGTAGAATTGGCTGTGTCCACAGCACCCCTTAGCCTCTCCTGACCATGGCACAGTATGGCACAGCACGCTCCAAGCGGAGCCTCCACAGGGAACCCAGGGATGGGCCGCTAAGCTGGAGGCTGGGGGAGCGAGCTGAGGGGGCAGGACAGGCAGTCCCGAGAGCTCCTTGGCACCGCTCAGCTGCTGTCCTGGAGTCTTTGAAGGAATCCACAGGACTCTGCACCCACAGCCTCTGGGTGCACCCACCATGCTTTGTGTTAATTCTGTGTTCAGTGTCTGCCTCCCTGACAACAAGCTCCAAGGGAGAGAGCTTATCACCAGAGCTTAGATTTATCAGACGCTCAGAAATGGTGCTGAACAAATGCATGAGTAAATGAATGAACAAATAAATGGAGGTGAAACAGGTACCCTCTGAACCAGGTACCATTACAGGGACAGTGGGCAAGACCCAGCCTAAGCCCCTGGCCTCACCAACTTGGAAGCTTGGCCTCGTTCCAGAAGACCAGCTGTCCAGGTGCCAGCCCAGGGTCCTGGCTCTGGGCCAGTCTCATGGGAACTCACCCACATAATAGGAGAGGGTGCGCTTGAGCCGGTCAAAGACAAACCAGCGCTTCTTCCATGATTTGATCTTGCCTCCCATCTTGACCAAGTAGCCGCGGCAGACCTGGCGGGAAGTAGGTGTGAGGAAGGACCCAGGCCTGCAGCCCCTAAACCTTTCTTCCCTGAGCAGCAATGCAAGTGGCACCGCCTATGCCCGTACTCATGGGGGCTGTCCCCAACGCCCCTTCAGGCCAGCACACCAGGTCCTGGGACGGAGACCTCCGGTGTTAGGGCAGGAACTGAAGTCACTCTTCTGAAGACCCAGGATGTGTCTCTGACCATGAGGTTCCCTCCCCAGCACCCCGAGGCCACACATGCCTTGTACCTTGCTGCTGAGCACCACATGCAGACAGGTATCGACACCATGGCCTGATGACTCGATGTGGGTCTTCAGGTCAAAGTCCTCCTTCCGGATTGGCAGGTAGCGGGTCAGGGGTCGTGCCTGGGAGCAGAGCGCAGGTCCAGCAGAGTTCCCCCTCTTCCTCTCTCGCTCCCTCTGCCTGCGGCCCTGAGACCCCGACAGCCTGCCATCACCCCCCCACCCCACCCCACCTCACGGCTGCGATTCTGGTTTCACAGGGCTTGTGGCAAAAGAGAGACCTCACGTGTCTCTGCTGACTCTGCCTAGGCCCCGGCAAACTGGTGAGTGGCTCTATGCCTCAGATTCTCCACCTCTGACCAGGACACAGCCATCCTTGTCTTGTCCCTGCCCCTCCCCTCCCTCCTGGGCTGACAGGAATAAAACAAGAGGCCAGATATGAACATATTCCGGAAAGAAAGCCCAGTATGAAATCTGGCCTTTGACTTCCCATGGGCCACACTCCCTCTCTGGGACTCAGTTTCCTTTAAAACAGAGGCTTTGAACTACATCATCACGAAGGTCTGCTCTGCCCCAAGCATTCTGGTACTAACCAGAATTCTCAGCCAACTGGAATATTTTCCTACACTTCCTTTTTGGGAAGAGTAGTAGAATGGCAAGGAAAGGAACTATCTCAAAATATTTAAAGAAAAAAAAAACCCACAACATTCTTTTTTAAAGAAGAAAACCCCCCAAAGATGTGTTTCCTCCACCCACCTCCCACCCAGGCACTGGTGGCCCCACCACAATGCCTGAGCCCCAGGGCAGGGCCTAGAGGAGAGAGTCCCGAACAGTCCCCAGGGGGCGGAAGCAGAAAAAGGGAGTTGGGCATATGACCAGGGTTCTAAGTACAGAGGTGAAACAGAGTTTCTGATTATTTCTTATTCTCAAACCCAATCCCGGCAGCCTACCCCTTAGAATTGATGTTGCATTGTAGGAAATCAGGTCCAGGACCCCATCTGGGAGGCCTTGTGGAGACCCAGCAGGATGGACCGCGTGTCTGAGTCCCACAGGGTCTCTCAGTAACAGGGATCTGGGGCCAGAGACATGGGTAGATTTCCCTGCCCAGCAGGCTTTCTCCCTCTACCAGCAACTGTTCTGCTCACCTCCTGTGTAAGGAGAAAGCCCAGAGCTGGCTTTGTACAAGAAGGGATTCCTTCCCAAGGAGAAACTAGTACATGTGAACCCAAGGCCGGGGTGAGTCACCTGTTGCTTGCGGTGGGGCCTGGGGCCGAGCTGGAGGAGGCCAGGTGTAGGAGGGCATCAGGGAGTGGGAGAGGGAGGCACAGACTCGAGAAGCAGAGAGAAGACCTCTGAGAGCAGCCAAGGGGGGCCACCCTGGCTCTCGACTCTCAGCACCCATCTTTGGGAGGCCTGCCCAGACCTTCTCAGATGCTGGATGTCACAGGGTGGCCTGCCTTGTCCACACAAGTCACCTACTCCCAACACACTCACACACACACATACATGTACAGCATTGATCAAGCCCCACTGGGTCCCCATTCTTTGGGGCTGACGAGTCCCAGGTAGAAGTCTGTGCTGAGCCAACAGCAGTCTCCTCTGGGGTAGAAGAGGTTGCACAGGGCAGCAGGGACACCCTGGGAGATCCCGCCCCCGCCCAGGGCACCGCCCCACCCCCTCACCTGGGAAAACTGTTTCTCCCGCATCTTGACTTCCTTCTCCACCAGCTGCTGCCTTCTGGCGCTCTCGCTCTGCAGCCTCCGTTCCACCTGCTCCCGCCTCCTCCGCTCTTCGTCCAGGGCCTGCCGCCGAAGCTCCATCTCTCGCTCCTGCTCCCAAAGCAAGGGGTCAGTGCCCGCCGCTGTCCCCTTCCCCCCACCCAACCACCTCTCCCGAGGCAGCCACCCCCGAGGGCGGCCCAGGAGGAGCCTCACGCCATCCTCAAAACCCACCCTCCACAAGGGCCTGGCTGGTGAGGGTACGTGCCTTAAAGTGAGACTGTTCTGGCTCAAACCCTGGCTCTGCCGCCAGTATGAGCTCTGCGACCCTGACAGGATCATTCGGGTTCCCTAAGCCCCAGCCGCCTCCTCTGCAAAATGGGGCCAAGAGCACCCACCCCTGGGATTGTGGTTAAAGTTAAATGAGATCCTGTATGCAAATGCCCATCACTGACTCTGGCAGGAAGGAAGCGCTTAATAAATAAGAGGCTCTTATAATTTTTATCTGAATTCCTAGAACATGGATTATTATCTAAACAACTTTTTTTGACAGCAAACATCCAGTTGTCCTTCCCTCATCTCTAAGGCCCTTGGAAATCAAGTTAGAAACATTTGTAGTTGAACTTCAGATTTTAGGGGAAAAAATATACTTACAAAAGCCATTACTAGAAGATTTTTTAAATCATCAAATAAATCTTTGCATACGGAGCAAGTCTGTGATGTTTTATGTCTTAATCAACAATAGTGACCTTTACACCATTAACTCTCATTTGCTGTTTCTGCTCAGCTCAAAATTTAACAGGACCTCGTTTCTCCCTATTTGCCAAAAGATGCTTGTAAATCTGCCCTCCTCTGATGTGAATGAGACTGAGGCCTTCTGTCCGGCTGGCCTCTCATCCAGGTCTGCCTCTCATCTCAAGAGATGCAGGGAGCCCGGACAGGAGACAGACAGCTCATGCGGGTCCTTTACCTAACTTCCTCCCAGGAAGGGGCTTCCTCAGCCTGGTTGTGCCCAGGGTAAACTGCTGGCCCCTCTTCACTGTGTCCCCGCTCCAGGGCCACATGATGGGGACAGGACTTCCCTCAGCCCCCACCACTCCCCAGGGGCCCCCAGCCCGCACCTTAGCTCTGGCTTGGACATCGATCTGTCTTCTGTCCCTTCCTCTCCATTCTGTTTCCACTCTTCCTAACCAACCTCAAGAGGAATGACCTGCCACTCAGGCAGGCAGGAATGAAGATCCCCACGGTGGCCAACACCTCCACCGAAGTAAACGCACAGGACTGGAAGGGCCCCTCCAGGAAGCTCATGGTCGGACAGTGGTTGCTGTTCGGCCTCCTCCTCTCCGGACTTGTGAGACCTGTAATCTCACCAAGCCACCCTATCGCCCCTGGAGGCACACCAACTTTTGACACACTTTCTTCCTTGAGGCACCATGTGGAGGAGCACAGGCCCTTGGCAGGCGGAGGGCAGTGCAGGCCCCACGGCTGACCCACCCTGGACTCCATGAGCCGGCTCCTCTCGGCACGAGCTTCTTTCAGCATCTTCTCCATCTCCTCCATCTTCCCCAAATCCAGGCCGCTTGCACTGGGGAGGGGAGGGGAAGAGCGGGTGCTCGAATCACCGAGGAGGCATCTGGCAGAGGTGGCGGGCCCAGGTGTTGGGAGGGCAGAGCGGGCCCCGCCAGGCGGGGCACGGCTCAAGTACCTGGACATGTTGTCCGGGGAGCAGGCCGAGTTGGCCCCTGTGGAGATGCTGGTCTCCATGCTGTCGGAGCTCTCCAGGCTCAGGGTGTCATAGGCGTGATCGCCCTCCTCCCCACGCTCCCGCCCAGCTGGCAGGTGGTGCAGGATGGAGTGGTGCATGAGTGGGGGGAAGCCCGAGGGGCCTGTCGGAAAGGGGGCCACCCCATGCAGGGCATCCCACTGGCACTGAGCCTCGGCTGCTGCTTTCTGCTTTAGCTCGGCCAGCCGCCGCCGCTGCTCCTCAATCACCTGCTGCCCTGCAGGAGGGACAGGTGGGGATCACAGTGGGCACCCTGCTCACCCGGGGAGGACCCTGGCCACATCACAGACAGAGGGAAGAGGCGAGCAGGGAGAGGTTTACACAGGGCACGCTCTCCCCCCACAAGCTTCCCTGAAGCCCCCACAGCTCCAGGTCTGACTGCCCCGCCAATGCTTCAGTCGCCTGTACAACTGGCCACAGCCCGCAGTCTGGCTTCAGCGCTGCTTCTGCTCCCGGGGCCCCACAGGGCACTGAGCCTGTCCAGGCGATGCCTGGCAGCGTGACAGCCAGGTGGCTCCAGCTCACAACCAAGGCCTGAATAGCTGGGTGGGACACATGCACCCACCCTGCCTGCTGGGGAAGGGAGAAGGGAGAGGTCCATGAGCACCCCAGGGGTCAGTGCAGGGCCAGCTGCTGTGCAGAAGCAAGAGCGACGGCCACCGCACAGAAGGGAGACAAGCAGAGCACAGCTGGAGCGGGGGTGCTCCGCTCAAGGGGTGAGGCCCGCCGGACACCTGGGCCCACTCAGCCTGGAAGCCTGCCTGCAGGCGGTGGAAACCTGGGCGCAATGCATCATGCAGATGCCCAGGCAGGGGCTGCCTGGCCAAAGCGATGCCCTCAGTGGCCGACGCTCTACCTGCTGGGTCGTCGGCTGGGAGGGGCTCGGCAGGAAGCGACTCGACTGGTGTGAGGGGCCCCCAGGCAGAGGGTAGGGCAGAGAGACACAGAGGGGATGAGAGGAAAGAGAGGCACAGACATGGGCTTTCAAGACAACCAAAATGCACACAAGCAACCAGGACTCCCAGGTCCCCAGAGACAGTATCTTAGAGCACTGTTTCTGGACGTCATCCACTCCATCCCCCTGCCTCCAGACAGGGCAAGGTCTAGCCCCACATCAGGTCCACAAGCATTTCCCTTATTTGCTGGGCTCTCTAGGAAAGATCTCACAGCCCCCCACACCCCTAGTCCCCTGCCCTGAATCTTCTGAGAAATAACCAGGAGGCTGTTCTGCAGGTATCTAACCTAAACACTGTCTGTTCTTGCCTCAATCCTAGTTAAAGGAAGAACACCCTGTTGAAAGGTGCAGGCATGGATGAGATGTGTGCGGGCTGGGGCGGAGGGTTGGCAGATACCCAGGGCCCCCGGGAGAGCAGGGGGGTTGCTACTACAGCCACTCACCCTTCTGCTGCAGGGCCAGTTGGCGCTTGGCTTCGATGTCCTGCAGTGTGGCTGCCAGGTTGCGAGGAAGGCTGCCCGTGCCGTTCTGGGCGAGGAGAGCGCTCTGCGGGGAGACTCGGCGCTGGGACTTGAGGCTCGGAAGACCCCCTCCCCCAACGAGGCTCTCCTGGGTGGCTCCGGCCCTCCCCAGCGTGGCCGGCTTCATCCCCCTACCACCACCCTGGCACACACAGCCCACCCACTGTCCTCAGACCTTCGGGGAGGGGCTACGGCCCAAGGTAGCCACGCTGAGCTGGGAGGAAGAGCCAGAGGAAGACGGGAGGGGGCCGCTGCGGGTCCGCGGCAGGGGGCTGGAGGCTTCACCGTCCACCTTGGAGCGGTAAACCTGGGAAGAGGTGATGCTGCCTGGTGAACTCTGGCCCCCCCGGGCTACCACCCTCACGGCACCCAGACAGCTGTGGTCCAAGGCACTGCCCTGGCACCAGGCCACTGAGGCCTCTCCCTCTAGCTGCCAGCAAGAGGGCCAGCCCGACTGCAGGTGTTATTAGCAGCGGCCAAGCCTCCTTTCTAGGCTGGTCCTCCTTGGGCCAATCCCTGGTCCGACCCCGTACCTTAAGGAAGGACCTTATAAATCGACCCACGAGAGAAGCTAGCACCAGTCCCACAGAGTCGTACAGGAGACCGGCTGGAGGCAGGGGCTCCCTCTGGCCCCAACTCTGCCACTAAGGCTGTGTGACCTTGGGCCATGCACCTCCCCACTCTAGGCCTTGGCTTCCTTATCTGCAAAAGGAAGGGTAGGGCTAGACTAAATGATTGCCAAGCTCTTCACAGCGCTCATGTTTGGGGAACATGGTCATTGGAGTTGGGAACCTGGCTCTTGATGTAGGCCTGGCTACTTTCTAGTCGTGTGGCCTTGAGATTATTTATCTCCTCTGGGCCCAGCATTTGATCTGTAAAGGGGATTTAACTGTGGCGATGATTAAATTAACCGAAGCATGTAAACATCTCTAACCAGCTGGGCACAGAGCAGAGTTGCTGCACGTGTTGTACAAATCAAACCCCTCCCCAAGGGAACACTGTGAGCTGACATCAGTCTTAGAAGTGCAAGCCCTTCCCTCCGGGAGTGACTCTTGAATGGTGGGGTCTCAGCCACCACCGCAGCTCAGGGGAGTGCAGCCCGGGGGGAAGGCCCTCCGACTCCTCTGCCCCCCCGCCCCCCCACAGTCCGCAGCTCGCTGCAGGCTCAATAGAGTGGCTGTCCTGCAGGGCAACAGAGGCTGGGGCACGTCCTCAGGGCTGTCACTTCAAGGTCTTTTCCCCCCTTTGTCCTGCCTCCAAGTCCACCCCTGCGGAGACCAGGAGAGCAAAATGCCGGCCGCTCTCCCAGGACACACTAGTTCCAGATGTAAGAGGCTCAAGAGCGTCAGGTCCCCAGACTGAGTGAGATGCTCTAGGGTTGATGGCCACCAAGGACAGAGCAGAGCCACAGTCCAGCCCAGCATGAGGCACCAGACCGGTCCCAGCCTGACAACTGCTCTCAAAGCCCCTTCCTCTGGACAGTCAATCGTGTCACCCTTGGACTCAGGAGGCTGCCCTCCAGCTGCCCAAGTGCCAGGATGCCTGCCTGTGAGGAGCCCTGTGCTCCTCTCAAGCTCTGAGGCCCACTGTTGCCCTGACGGGACTGGCCCCCTCCATCTGAGGTCACTCTATACGGCTGATGAACCGGCAGGCGGTCCTCCGAGAAGACAGGAGCAGGGACTGGGGGGGGGTGGCAGTGAAGGAGGGGTTACCTGCAGCTGGCGGGAAGCTTTGGCGGGCAGAGGCGGGGGGGAGGAGCGAGGGGAGGCCGCAGTGCGGCCAGTGCCCAGCCCGGCCATCAGCTCCTGGTACCACTGCTCTAAGTCTACAGCAGGGAGCAGCAGCTTCTCCATCTGGAGGGGTACGGGGACAGGGACAGGACACAGCAGGGGGAGGACGGAGGAAGGGTAGAGGAGGGGGCCATTGTCAGGAAAACACGCAGGAACGTAAAGGGAGGAAGGAAGGAAGGAGAGCATGAAGAGAAGAGAAAAACAGTGAGAAAACAGTTGCTGCGAATGTGCTAAGGGCAGAGAGAAATGCACAAACCCCAGACCACAGACACGCGCTATGCCTATGGCGCTGCCGGCCGGAGCCCACGGGCACTGAGCAGTCCCCCGGGGTGGGCCTGGAGCTCAGAGCAGGATGAGCAGAGGCCCAAACCCACACACACGGAGCCCCACGAGTGCCAGGAACACACAGACCACCAACCTTGGGTGAAGCCGTGACAGAAGCGAAGGAGGAGGAAGAGGGCAGCACGGGAGGAAGGCAGGTGGTGGGAACCAGGTCTTGGGAGGCAGAGGCCCAGGCAGGCAGGCCGGGTGCAGGGGCTGTGGGCGTGGGTGAGGCGCCCCACATCGCCTTTAGCTGCTCAAGCGTCAAGTACTTGGGGGAAGGCCAGACGTGGGAGGGAACATGAGATGTTAACTGGACTGGAACCCAAGAGAGGGCCTGGCCCATAGGCAAGGGCAGGGTGATGGGGGGAAGCACAGAGCGGACAGGCTTGCCAAGCCCCGGAAGCCGGAGTCCTCTCGGCACCAGATACCCCCAGGGCCCTCATGCTGGAGCAGGCCTGCCCTTCTGGAACCATCAGGAGCTAAAGAAAGTTCCAAGGCCCTGGGGGAGAGACAGCCGCTCCCAACACCCCCTTCAGCCACCTGACCTTCTCCCTCACGGCTGAAGACAGATCCTACTTTTACCCCAACCCCAACCCAGGCCTGAGGGGCAATCTAGGACACCCACAAGGAGGTCCTTGGGCTCGGGTGGGCTCACTCGGCGGCTGGTACCTCACTGTCAGGCAGGGGCTGGGCGAGCACGCTGGGGGAAGTGGCAGAAGCATAGGGGTCCAAGCGAGAACACAGCTGGACAGCCTCTGCCAGGCTCACATACTCCTAGGGTGCCCGGTGGGAGGAGGAGAAACGGGCAGAGAACAGGTTAGCAGGGCTCAACCACGCACTGACACCCACACTCCATGCCAGAGGGCCACCACTCCGTTCAATACAAAATCCAGGGCTGGGAGGTGGGGAAGGTGAGGGGAGGAGCTCAGCCGCCCACTGTGGTTAGAGATGGCTGTGAGGGAGGGAAGGGCTAGAAAGGTGGGGGAGAACTGGTTGCCATAACGATCTTCTCAGCTCCACTTCTGAGGCTGCCCTGGCCCTGTGTCAAGCAGACTCTGATGGTCCATCCCTGGGTTTGCCCTGAGCTGGGGACAGGAGAAGCCTAGGGAGGGCCTTCCAGGAGTCCACCAAAAATCAGGACCCACCTCCCAGAGAACGCTTCGGTCCTCACCACCTTGGGCATCCCCAGTGGGGCACACACACGGCACAAAGCACCAGTCACACCATCCCAAGGGTTTCCCTGCACCCCTTCTGCCAGGGCAGGAGCTGCAAGGGGTGCGGGTGGAGATACCACCAGGGTCTGAGCAAGATGAGATCTGAGAAAGAGACTTTAACAGAGCTGCTAAAAGCCCAGGCAGAAAAATGTGCCCGCTGCCCAAGGGTTAATACTTGGAAAGATGCTATCACATTAGGTTGTGCGCTGGGAAGACAGGGATATCATAGTCCTGGAGCACACCTCTAGAATGCTTATTTAGGTATTGGAGGCATGGTAGGCATCCAAAATGCATGCTGAATCAAAGCACAGGGTGCTAAGCCTGCCCTATCCAGGGGGAGAGCATCCCGGCCTAGCTCCAGAGGCTGTCCTCCGGGGGTCACAGAGAAGGAAAATAAGCCGGAGCACCCAGGGTGCTGTGGGACTGATGCATGGCATGCAGAACACATGCAAATTAATACATAAATTGGTGCTGATTTTGCATGGGCTGCCCAGATCCTCTATGGTATGCAGGACAGCACACTCACGCAAACTCTTGAAAACTCTGGCCAAAGGATTATTGCCACACGCCCTTCAGATGCACCCCTGGGAGAAGCTATGGGCAGAGGCTCAGCAAGCGGGTGGACAGGCAGTAGGCACAGTGGGACAAGCAGTTCGCTGTGATTACCTCTTGTGCTTTGGGGCAGAGCTGAGTAGAGGCAGGTGGGGCTAAGGGGACAGAGGAGGCCCCAGACTGAGGAGGCCCTGGGAGTGGGCCCCGAGTCACAGGCACCAGCCCCACCTCTGAGGACTCGGAGATGAGCAGTTCCACCTACAGAGAGGGTAGGTGGTGAGGGGCCTCACCCCCACACTCAGCCCAGCCGCCCTACCCAAGGCCTGACTGCTTGGGCCAGGCAGAGAGGAAAGAAAGAGCGTGGGAAGCTGGGCATGTGCTAGCTGGGCACACCAGGCAGGCACACTCAGGGCGGAATGGGTTACGGAGCCTCGGTGCCTGCTTCTGAGCCAAGACCCTAGATCTGTTCTGAAGCCCAGGAAGCTACAAGATCAGGACCCCTAGATTCTTACGCCAAGCTCTGGCCCTCACCAAACCTCTGAGCTACCCACCCCTGCACCCTGAATCCCCCAGATGAATTCAGTCACCCAAAATGGTGAGATCAGTGGACTCCCAGGAGCCAGAAAGGTAACGGAAAAGCAGGGGCTGGTAGCCACAGAGGGTCCAGTCCCAGACCTCAGGGTCATCTCCTACTCAAATCTCTCCAGTTCAGGGAAAGGTCCCCACATTCAACCTCAGCCGCTGGAGTGAAGGTGCCGCAGGTCAGCGCGGTGCCTCCCAGGAGATGGCTGGGCCTGAAGCTGGGGCTGACCCACCCGCGCTACCTCAGCTACCTCTCTGAGCGTTGGTGTAGTCTTCGGGAAAGGCCTGCCCCCTGTGAGCGAGGAGTATCTTCTTTCCAACACGGCCAGTTTTTCCTTCTCCTGCAGGCCCAAAGTGGCAGAGCATCAGGGAGGGAGTGACCCAAGGGGGGAGGCCAAGTGAGGGGGTCCCGCGCAGCTGGCAACCCTTCTGCGCTGATTCCCACGCTCCCTGCCCTCCCTTGCCCTAATCCCCCATCCCAGCCTGACAGCCGCCACCTTCTGCAGCAGCTGCAGGGACGCATTCTTGTCACGGGCCAAGCGCTCCGATTCTTGCACAGCCTGGGCCCGGATCTGCCCGGCCTGACTGTCCAGGACCGCCAGGCGCTCCTGAAAGAGAAGGGGATGTTCAGTCAGGCCTTGGGGAGACAGTGCTGAGCCCAAGGTGAGGCTTGGCTGTCTCTCCTTCCAGAGACCCTGGGCTTGGATGAAGGGCATCAACCAGTTCTGCTTGGCCTCAGCTCACCCCGATGGTCAGCCCTCTCTCTCACCCTCCCCTCAACCAGGGGCCCCTGTGCCACCAGGCAGAACCTAAGTCCCTAAATCTGCTTCTCCTCCTCTCCTGCAGTCAACATGCCCGGAATCCTGGAGATACCGAACAGGTCTCCACCTGCCTCCTGCCCCCATCCCATCCCATCCCAGCTGCCACCACTCAAATCTAGGCCCTCTGCTTGCCCAGCCTGAAGTCCACTCACTAGCCTCCCACTTCCACATCCAATCCACATTGCCACAGACATCTTCCTAAACGGCCTCTGAGGTCTGTTTTTGCTTGCTTATCTGCATTTTCTAATCTTTCTAAAAATAATACATATCACTTGAATAATTTTTTTAAATCCACAAGTAAGGTTCCATCGCTCCTCTTATCACAGTCTTTCAGGGGCTGCTCATTACTCCCAGGACGAAGCGGGCAGTCGAGGGCTCTCGGGGCAGGGCCTACCCGCCGGCCTGCGCCCCCGGGGCCTCTCAGCCCGGCCCTGCTGCCCTCAGCCGGGCAGCTGCAGGTGCTCAGGTCTCTCTTACACTCCTCCTGTGCTCAGGCCAGCTGGCCCTGCCTTCTCCACCCACTAAGAGCTTACTTGTCCTCCAAGGCCAAACCAAATGCTGTCTTCTCGCCTGCATGTTTTCCTTGGTTACCACTCAATTACTCTGTTCCTTCCCCTGTGCTCAAGTTATTCCGTATCACCATTTGCCTTGCGTTACTTTCACTTGTGGATATATGTCTCCACCACCATCACCCTGCCCAGGCTGTCAGATTTCAAAGTGTTTTTCCTTTCTCCATATCCCCAGTAGGGCCCAGCACAGTGCCTGGCTCAACAATCATGTGCTATAAAGAAATGAAAAGATACTAAATGAGAGAAAAGGATGGGGGCTGGGGGAGAGTGGGCTGGGTTAATTCCAGGAGGGCTTCCTGAAAGTGGTCGGCTTAAACTACTACCCTTAACAGCAAGATATGAAGAGGAGAGAGGGAAGAAGGGAGCTGTCCTGAATCTGGGGTCAGCCCAAGCAGACTGAAGCAGACCGGGTGGTGACCCTCACAGCAGGCCGCTGAGCACCTGCTAGGACCCAAGAGCTCTGCTAAAGGCTCTTTTTGCGTTTGTTACCTCATCTAACCTCTTATGAGGCAGGTGCCTTTATGCCCATTTTACTGATAAAAACACGTATTTAGAAGCTAAGGGGTCTTGGCTAGTAAGTGGTAGAGCTCGGATTAGAACCAGATCTTCTGGACTTCAAAACCAGTGCTCCGAACCAGAGTGGACAGGAGAGCATGGGGGCACTGGGACAGATGGAGCCTGGGGTGGGCAGGGCACTGGGAGCCAGGAGATGAAAACCAGCAAGGCCCGTGAGGAGGAGTGTGGGCACGGGTGTGACCTCTGTGGCCCAGCAGCTGGGCACCAGCCTCCTAGGAGCCAGGGTGAGTGGGGGCGGAGGGGGCAGGGGTCCAGTATTGCCGACCCCTCCAGAACTCCCTGGAGCTGAGGCCTACCAGCACCACGGTGCAATGGACCTAGCTCCCTGCCGCGTTCTCTCCAGAAGGAAAGACGGAGAGGCTGGGAAGGGCTGGCCCCAGGCCCCACGCAGGACAGCGAAAGGAACAGGGGCTTCAGGGCCAGGCAGGTCTAGATTCCAATACGATCTGAAGTTTATATACTGGGAGGTTTGGGGCAAATAGGTAGCTTCTCAGAGCCCTCATTTCCTTGTGCATAAAACGGGAATGAGAGTGCTGGCCTCGTCAGACCACCCTAAGGCCAGCATGAGGCAACCCGAGGGAGCCCCCCACACACCCGCGTGCTGGGGGAATGCTGGCGTCCTTCCTTCCTCTCGCCTGCCTCACATCCAGGGTGGGTGCACTTCCAAAGCAGAGCAGTGCCAGGAGAGAAGGGATCTGGATTCAGGGCGAGGTCCAGCGTTCCCCACGTTCCACCAAACTCAAGTAGCCACCAAACCCCCAACTCCCCACTTTCTGACGGTCCTCTCCTGATCTCACCGCCCTCACTTCCCACCCACTCACTCCAGACAAACCGCCTATGCACTCATGTGTGCACGGACACGCTAGCCTCAGCCTCGGGCCTGTGACAGCCTGGCCATCTCCCTGTTTTCCTCCCTGAAGCCTTCCAAACCCCTCCTTAACAAGAGCCTGCTCCTCGCTCTCCTCCCCACTGGCACACGCACACATGCGCGCACACACACCTGTCCCTGCGCTGTCCCCCTGCGGTGGTCTGGCTGAGATCAGGAGCAGATAATCACAACACGTGGAGCTCCAGAACAGGCCAAATCCCCGTTTTATGACTCAGCCAAACCAGGGCTAAGGATGGAAGCCACGTAATGCCCTTGCCAGGACCACTGGCTGGCTCCAATACCCACATCTCAGGTCTTCGTATGTGTCCCAGTTCTTCCATCACACAGAGAGCTCTGCAACACAGGAGTAAGCCCCCCCCCTGTAGAATCCCCCTGCACTGTCTCTCTCTTCCCTGCCCAGCCAGTACCCAGCTCTGAATGTGAGCCCGATCCACTTTCCACTGGCAGACTGAGGGCTTAATGACAACTGCTGCTGGCTGCGTGCTTACCATGACCAGATGCCCTGCTATCTTCACGTACCTCATCTCGTTTAATTCTCACAACAGCCTGTTATTGTTCTTGTCTGGCAAATTAGGAAAGAGGCTCAGAAAGGTGAAGGTAACTTTCGCGCGGTCATCAGCTGGGATGTAAACTCGGGCGCCTGGCCTCTAATCCCAGCTGGCAGGGGGCGGGGGCAAGGAACGGGGTGGGGCGCACCTTCCTCCTGGCGACGCTGCGGAGCAGCTCGGCCTTGCTGCGGAGCAGCCCCTGGCCCGCCAGCTCCCGCTCCTCCTCCGCGCGGCTCTCGCGCTCCAGCTGCTGGAATTCCAAGTCCTCAAAGAGCTTCATCTCAGTCTCCAGGGCCTCTGCCTCCTTGAACAACAGTGACGACGGGGGTTGGGGGTGCTCCCAGTCCCACTCCGGGCCCCGAAGGCCGGGTCACAGAGGTGTCGGTTCTGCACACCGGACCCAGGGAAACCGGGAAGGGGCCCTGCCGCCACCCAACCTCCTTTCCTCTGCCTGGCTTGGCCTCTTTCACAGGTATCACTGCCTGGAGCGGCAGAAAGGAGAAAATCGGTCCCCACCCCCCCGTCCCCCAGTGCTTCCCGGTCCCCTCCAAGCCACAGCGCCGACCCCGGGGTCCAGCAGGCACTACAGGGCCCAGGAGGGCCCACCCCACCGGTCTCCTCTGCTGGGCGGGTGGCCCTCACGGGCCGGGTAAGCCGGGCTGGCGGAACTGACCCTTCTCAGCTGCTCCTGTAACTGTTCCCGCCCTGACTCGGGGCAGTTATCGAGCTGCGTCTGGAGCTCGGCGTACAGTGCCTGGCGGGCCTCCAGGTGCCTCCGTCCCGCGGCCAGCTCCGCCCTCTCCTGGTCGGTGGGCGGGGAGGGAGAGGGCGGGGCACGGGGAGAGAGAACACACACTCCTCAACTCCGGCCTGGCAGGGCGGGGGGCGGGGGGCAGGGAGAGAAAGCGGGGAGCAGGAGTGGGGGGCAAGGGGGAAGGATGGGGAGTAGGACAATAACCAGGAGGGCAGACAGGGGCAGCAAGGATGGCGGAGGTGAAGAGTGGGGGAGACGAGGAGTGGAGGTGCAAGACAGGACTCAGAGGTGCAGGGCGGAGTAACACAGGCGGGGCTGTGTGTCCCGGGCAGAAATGTTGGTCTCCTGGAGCCCCTTGACCAGAGCACTTGGGCGGGTCCTAAGTAAAGGCGCTCTGTTTTCTTTCCAAACCAGTCGAACCCAATGCTGGTTCCACATCACAAACACAGAGCCGCTAGCTCTGGTTCCTTCCCCCTTCCACTGCCCAGAGACCAAAATTTACCCCTGGGAAAAAGGGGTAGACATGGCGAGGGTTAGATCAGGGGTTGGGTGTGAACAGGGAGCTGAGGATGTTAAAGCGACAGCAGTGCAGAGGAAGGGACCCCAGCCACCCCCCTGGCCTCCCTCCCTCCTGCCCAGGGTAGGGGTGGGGTGGGGTGCTGGCACTGCAGGCTCAACTTCAGCAGGATGAGGGTTGCAATTAGTTCGGCCGTTGCCATGGTAATAGGAGCCCCAGGAGTGGGTACAGAGAGGAGGTGGATGGCTCTGTCTGGGGCGAGATGACACTTCTGGGGGCGGGAAAGGGGACGAGGGGAGGAGGTGGTGAGTCACCCCTCCAAAGGACAGGCAGAGGAGAAACTGTGACTACTGATTCCAAAGCCAGAGCCGGGCCATGGGCTGGGGCTGGGGAGGGAAGCCGAGGGAATCTTCCCCACCGCCTCTGCCACCATCACCACCATCACCACCACCACCATCACCACCATCACCATCACCACCACCACCACCACCACCACCACCCCGAATAACTGGGCCCAGAGAGCGGGCAAAGCCCAGGCCTCCAGGCAATGCTGGGTCAGTGAGAAATGATGTTGGGCAGGTTCCTTCTGAAATGCTAGCCTTCACCCCTGGAAGTAAGTCCCTATGCTGAATCCTGCCCCATACCCACCACCCCTCCACCCCATCCCCCATCCCTGAGAGGACCTGCTCCAGCCAGTTACTAGGGTCCAAGTGCTTCCCATCCCTGGACTCAGCCTTTATAATACCATGAATTCTGCATGGCTCAGGGATGGGGGCGGGGAGAGGCCTGCCCATTCCCACCCTGTGGTTGGAGTATTTGAATCTGGGAAGCCCCAGGGGCAAGCTAGGAAGGGTAGCCACTGTGTGGGAGAGAGCCCCCATCCAAGCCCTCCCCAGGCCATGGCCCCACAGCTACACCTCTGCCCCGGAAGGCAGGCAGGCAACGGCCGGATGGCGAGAGGCCATCTGCCTCTCTATGCTCTGCTCTGCGGAGGCAGAGCCCCAGCTCTTCCAAATGGGAGGGGCTCTTCAGGCTAGGAGGCTCCTCAGCCAGGCATGCCCCCAAACTTGTAGCCCTCTTATTGAGTAAAGTTGAGCTGTGCCCCTTGCCCATTCCCTTCTGATCAAAACCCTGGGGTCCCACACCAAGAAAGAAAGGAGGCAGCATTAGAGGGGAGAGGCCGAGGGCAGAGAGGCACCCATGGAGTTAGTGCAAAAGCAGGGCACAGCTCAGCCCTGCGTGGGTGGCACTGGCAGTTAGGGGCATGCGGAGAGCCCAGGACAGCGATTAGAGGGGACGTTAGTGCAGGCCTGGTTGGTAAGCGTGGAGTTAATTTGGCACAGAATTTGGGAGTGTGGTTTTGGGGGGCCAGAGCCAAAGCTCCAAAAAAAAGAGTAGGGGTTCCAAATAATTTTTAAAAGCTTCAAAATTGGGACAGGAGGAAGACACTCAAAAAGTCTGGGAGGGAAATTAATTCTTGGAAAAATACTGTCAAGTCCAGAAATAGGTGGCCCCTCTCCACTTCAGAGCTTTTGGCACGTTGTTGGGCATCTTGGGCATGGCTGGCACGGCCCCTGTGGGACGGAGCAGCCCCTGCAGGCTGGCACGAGATCTGAAAGGGGCAGGGGCAGGAGCTGGGGCCTTTTGGATTGGGAGACTGCAGGTCCTGAAGGCTCAGGGGCAACACAGACCTGACGGCCATCCCCCAAGCCCACGTCCCGGGCACCTAGAAGGAAACATTCCCCAGACGGGGGTGCCCCAGCCTGAATCATTCCCCAGCACCTGTCCCTTCGGCTGTGCTCACGCCCAAGAGGGGGCTGTGGCCCTTCCAGGCACCCAGGCACACAGAGGTAGCACAGAGACCCAGACAGAGAAGATTGCAGACACTGGCCCAGCCCCTGGCAGTGCCCGCCAAGCTGGTACCTTCCACTAAAGACAAGGCTCCCTGCCCTGGGGGAGCACAAAGACTACCTGGTCTGCAGGGTGGATGATGAGGTGAGGGGTAAGGGGTCCCAGAGAAGGCGTTTCTCCTTCTCTCCTGGCACTCAGCCAAGCCAGGCGCAGGTTACCTTGTCCCTCTCCTTTTGGATGGCTGTGTCCAAGGTGACCAGCTTCTCCTGCAGCTGCTCCGCTGCCTTCTGCTCCTTCTGCAGCAGCGCCCTCTCTGCCTCCCTCTCCCCCTGCAGCAACGCGCGCTCCATTTCAGCCTAGGGCCGACACCAGGGTCCACATCAAGGCCCGTCGAGACAGCTGGCGTCAGGCCCTCTCTGGGGGCTTCCCTCTGACTGGGGAGGTGCCTGGCCAGGGCCCTGGCAGCTTACCTCCCGGGCCGACTCCTGCAGCTGCTGCTCCAGCTCCTTCACACGGGCCTTGAGCTGCTCCACTCGGCCCAGCACCTGGGCGCGCTCCTCTTCCAGCGCCAGCACCTCTCCCTGGAGCTTGGGGCTAGGTGCGTCTTCCTGCCCGAGGGGAGGGAAGCCATCACAGGCTGGAGAAGCCCACAGGGCACTTGGAAGGGATAGTGGGCTGAGATAAGAGGCGAACTCCCCTCCCTGCAGGGGGAGCCATACAGGCTCAATGAAGGGTTACCACTGGGTGCCAGGCCTGGGCAGGGCCCCGAGGAAAGGCAGGTCACAAAGCCTGTGTATAGCTCAGAAACACATCAACACCTCCCTCTCTTCCCTGCCCCTCATCTCTACACCCTGTCCCTGCTCTCTTCCCACACTGGATCCTTCAGTTGCTCCCCCAGGGGGCCTTCACGCCACCCACGCCCACCCACTCCAGGTGGGATCCCACCTCCTGCTGGGCGCTCTCTGTGCTGCTCCGCTCCTCCTTGAGATTTTCCTCATCTGAGCGCTCCGCACTCTCCCACAGCCGCGGACCAGCACCCCCAGGCTCCTCGCTACTCCGCCCGGAGACCTGGGTGGCCCCCGGGAGGCCTCGTGAGGGCCTCCGGCCTGTCAGTGCCAAGGCTGCGGCTGCCTCCCGGATGCTGGGCAGCTCCCCGGCCTCGGGACCCCCGTCAGCCCGGCTGTACTCCGCGCACAGGTTCAGGATGGTCTCCAGGCGCTGGCGTTCCTGTGGAGGGTGGACGGAGCAGGGCATGAGGGGTGGGGAGGCCAGGACCGGGCAGGGCCAGAGCCAGGCATGGTGTCCTTTCAGGAGAGAGAAGGAGAACACGATGGGCTCGGGGCACAGAACCAGGCCAGCAGAGCCCCTCAGAACCAAGGTCTGAGCACACAGAGGGAAGGAGGTGCCCCGGAAGCGGGTGGGAGGAGTCAGGCTGTTGGGCCACCTGCCCACAGGGCTAGCCCTTCCTGTCTTCCTGCTTCCCTTCCTTTCTCATTCTATCCCAGGGTGGGCTTCCCCACGGACACACAGGAACGCACCCAGACACGCACAGAGCACACACTGGTGGGCAGACTCAAGACCACAATGAGACAGATAAACAGGTGTCTGTGTGGCACGGAAACATGCACATCTACAGACCCAAGGGAACATAAAGACACCCCACACAGCAGTACTGACACCCAGGACAGAGCATAGAGCATGTGTGCTGGGCCTGCACTGACAGGTGGGTACACACACAGACACCAGCCCTGACATGCACAGATGCACACTGACGCACACGCACACAGATAAACACACACTAGCATACAGACAGGTGGGCACCAGCAGACAGCTGGCAAACCGCCCCACCACCCCACTGGGACCTGACATGGACATGCTCAGCCTATACACCCAGACAGCCAGACCTGGGACCGGTCTCCTCACCCCCACCGCAGCTCCAAGTCCCTCTCAGGCAGCCCCCTCCTCCAGCTCCACGGCCCTCCCCACACACAGGCCCACCCAGACACCACTCAGGGGCCCAGGAGGTCAAGGAGGGACTACAGTCATGCTGCCGATCTGCGTCCCCTCTCCCTTCACGACCCCCCAGCCATGCAGCCTCCCCCAGGCTCCTGTGGCTCTGCAGCGTCCCACAACCTCAGAGGTCCTCACCACGTACGGTGTGGCCACAATCCCCCCAGACGCTTACCCAGGTTCCCTCCTGCTGCCAGCTCAGTTCCATGGCATAAGAAACAGGAACAGAGCCTCAGCACCCACAAGGCTGGGCCTATGCCCCTGTGCCTGCCCCAGGACCCAGATAAGCAGCCGGTGTGGGAGGGGCAGGGCAGGCAGCCTTAAAGATTTAAAGTGGCACGCGGGGCAGGTCAGGGCTGGTGGTGAGGTGTGTGCTGGTGCACAGGGGTGGGGTGGGGGTGGAGGCTGAATGGAGGTGCTGCAGGAGGCCAGCCCCACACTGCCTGTGCCAGGCCCACCATTCTCTCCATAGGATGAGGCCTCAGGGTGGGCCAACCACTCTCCTTCAGGCCAGGGCAGAAACAGTGAAGAGAGGTGTAGCAGTGGAGAAGACACGATCCTGCCTCCTTTCTCCCGCTGACCCAACACAAACATACTGTCACACACCCTCACCTCACCCAAAGCTGTCTCAACATCCTCTGCAAGGGTCTCCAGACAAACCTCCCCAGTCCTGGTTCTCCTCGAACCAATCCCAGGAACCCTGGAACCCCCCGGCAACCCCATTCCTCTGTGCACAAGGGAGAGAGGGCAAGATCCATTCCCCTGTACGGTGTGGCCTACACACCAACCAGAGGCCCTTGAGCTCCCTGCGCTATCTGGGGAATCCCGGCCTCCACCCAGTTCAAATACCATCCCTAGGACAGCTGCCCAGAGCCACGCCCAGCCCCCAAGTGCACCCGCAAGCATGCACGACAATGCACACCATCGCAACCACAGAGGCTGGCCTGGGGTTGCATAAGGGGCTGCCCACCCTGTTCTCTTCCCACACGACCTTTCCTGGGCCAGGTTGAGCAGCTCCCGCCCTTTTGGAGAGGCCAAAAAGAGGTAGAAAGAAGGACTGGGGGCATTTCTAAAGAATAAACCATGGTAAGAGAGACTTGGGTGCCAATTCCAGCTCTGTCAGAATTTGCTGCAATCTTAGACAAACCCATTCCTCCCCTGGGCTGCAGCTTTTCCATTATTAAGACTTGCTTCTCAAACTGAGAGGTATAAGGCCTCACCATCAAAGTGATGTGTTTTCCTAGAACTTCATTACATTCAGGTGAATAATGTGAAACTTAATTTCTGTATTAAAAACAAATGCTGTTATAGAATAAATGCAAAATTAGCATGAATTTAAAATAATGCCATAGAGACTTCAAAGAGTTTTTCAGGGCACGAGCACCTTGAGATACTGGTCACTAAGGTGCATCCTGAAGCAGGTTAGCTTGAAAGGCACAGGCCCTTCCCAAGGGCCGCTCCCCCTCTGCCAGCTGGCCTGCCCGCGGCCTGGCAGGAACCCTGCCATGGAGGGTGGCCGCCTCGCAGCATCTGCTCACCAGTCTCTCCATCTCCTGCTCCCAGAGCCGCTCCTGGCGCTGCCGCCGGTGGTACTCCAGGAGGTCGTCCTCGTCGTCGCTAATCTCTGTGATGCTATTTTTCCGCTCCCGAGCGACAGGCACCCGCAAGTCCCCACTGGAGAGCTTCCTCTGAGCACGGGGGCTCTGACGGGGCGAAGCTCCAGTGAGAGAGCCCAGGCTGTAGGCTGGGCTCAGCCTGCCACTGAAGCTGCCCTTGCGGGGTGCCAGGGGCTCCCCGAGCGTGGGCGAGGGGCTCCGTGTCCTACGGCCTCGCGCCCCCAGTGTCAGGGAGAAGTCCTCCGGTGAAGCTCCGTGTGCTGCCCAGCGCCGGGGCCGGGGACTCTCCGCCACGTCCCTGGTTAGCTTGGGATCTGCGGTGGTCCGGGTGGGCATGGGGGAGAGAGCCCGTCGGGACAGTGATGGGCTCAAGGGCGGGAGCTCTCGCATACTGTCCAGGCCCCGCCGGCCCAGGCGAGGACTCTCAGGAGGCTGCAGGATGTGGGCAGCTGACCCGTCTGAAAATGTTCTGCCCACCAGCTGGCGGGAAGGACTGGTTGTCAACACCCGTTCAGGGCCTGGCGGCTCACGGAAAGGGCTGGGAGGGCGGTCCTGGAGTGTGCCGACCTTGTTTCGGGGAGCAGGGACTGGAGGCTGGATCTTGGGGCTGCCAGGAATTCTGGTGGGTTGGCTACAGGCACCGGAAGCTGGGTATTCACTCAGACTGATAGCCACCATGGGCAGCTGCCCACCCAGCTGGGGGCTCTCAGTGGCTCTGCGGGCCTCTGCCAAGACAGTGGCTGCAGGGCTGTCTGTCAGCAGACCCCGGAGGCCAGGGCTGGGAGGCCTCTCATGACCCCTTTTCCTGCCCAGTCTGGGGCTCTCAGAGGAGCGGGCACCACTTGGTCGGGGCTGTGGGGGCTGCAGGGCCAGATGGTAGCTGGAGGAACGGGCAGGTACCAGTGGGGGCATGCAAGGTGCTGGCTCCTGCCCACTGGGTGACTGGCTGGCACAGCTTCCACTGCTGGCTGGTGAAGAGAGTGGAGAGAAGGCCGGAGAGGTGTTCTCGTAGCTGGAGCCCACAGACATGGCGCCGGGGCTGGTTGGTGGGGAGAGCAGGTAGCGTCCACCGTTAGCCACTGGCGACAGTGGGGAATCTGCAGCAGGCTTCTTGCTAGCAGCTCCAGGCTCCTCTAGCACCAGTGAGTCCATGATTTCCTGCAGGTCCTTCTCAATAGAGCTCACCAGGGAACTGTGGTTGGCACAAGCCGAGGGCCCCCGGGTTGCGGGCTGTGGGGTGTGGTTCCCATTCACCAGGCTTTCTGATTCTGCTGAAGGGAAATACACAGATGCCTCAGACCCTAGCCTTCGACTTCAGGGAGCTGCATATGCACAAGAGTGAGGGCACCGCCCCCCCACCTCCTCCAAGCAGAGGCTAAGAGAAGGCTCTGCGGAAGCAGCCAGATCTGGCTTCCAGTGCTAGCTCTGCCACTGACCTGCTGTGCAACCTTGAGTCACCTGCCCTCAGTTTCCCCTTCTGTGAAGGAAGAGGATGGGTGAGGCTCTTCTGGCTCTAACATATTATGAATGAAGACAGAGTTGACAGCAATGTTAGGTGCTTCTCTGCCTAGCCATTGCCAACTCACCCCAAAACAGGCTCCTCCCTGCCCTGGTTTCCCTAACTTCCTATACCTTCCCTTCAGGAAGAACAGATGGACACTCACTCCACAAAGGGGATGCGGGCATGCCGTGGGGCTGGTCAGAAATTCCAAGAGGGTCCCAGTCTAATAGGATTTTAGGGCCTCCCAACACAGAAGCTGAGACCCGGAAAAAAACATACAGAAAGCCTCCTGGGCTGGGGGTGCTGTACCACTCTGCCCATCAGAGACAAGGGAGGGGCCTGGCACTGACGGCTTATTCCTGGGAGCCAGGCTGGCCAGCAAGGAGGTGTAGCTCAGTGCCTCCAATGAGTCCACTGAGCCACGCCAGCAAGAGCCTGCCCTTGCCCTGCCCCAGCCCTTATCAACCAACCCCAAGCCCCAGAAACTGCTGCCCGGAGCAGCTGAGGGAGTGGCAGGACAAGGCAGGGATGGGAGCAGAGTAAAGCCAGCTGGGTTGCAGACTGGGGACTCAGGCTTCTGAGCCCCAAGGGGCTGAAAAAGACTGAGGGTTCGGTGGGTAGAGGAGAAGAAAAAGCTTTTGCAACACTGAGTTTGGGTCCTAAATTAAGGAGACTGTAGGGGGCCAAGTCAGGAGAGTTGCCATGGACACTGGCGAGCCCAGTGACCACCCAACTGTCCTCAGATCCCCAGACTGTCCATTTAAGCCCCTGATGCCACCCTGGTAGGTGCACTATGTACACCTGACACACATGTCCACCTGCCACCCCACAGCCATCTGAATGCCTCGTGAAGTCTGGGAAGTAGGCCTACTGGTAGCTTCCTGGCCCACATCCCTGGACAGCTGGGCTGAGGAGGGCTGTGCTGGGTCCCTGGGACAATCACTAACTCTCCTCTGGAGATCAATAATTCACACATAAACTGCAGCTGCTCCACTGAGTCACCAGCTGGCACGGCACGGCCTGGGGGTAGGGCAGGGCCAAAAGACACGGTCACCAGCAGGTGAGCCCCACCAGAGCTTACAGAGGTGCAGCCTAATGCCTCCTTCTGTCTCCTCAGGCCACCCAAGGGTGAGGCTCCTTGGTAGTGACACAGAGGGTTAGGGTCCCAGATACTGAGGTAGCATCTGCCAGAGCAGTGGGGTACAGGCTAGCAGAGCCCTCATTCCTCAGGCACATGACTCCCCAACTCCAGCCAAGCAGCAGTTCCTGGATCTCTCCCAGTGGCCAGACTGCCTGGCATTCTTCACCAGTGGCACAGCGGGGGGCAGCAAGCCCAGCTCATGGGCATTGTCCTGCCCTGACACTACAAGTGTGGCTGGAATGGGCAAGGAGGAAGACTATCCAGAGGGTACCATCAACTCAACCCCCTGTCCCAATTGGGTACCTACCTGGGCCAGGACCATAGTGGGGCCCAGGGGCCCGGCCCCCAGTGGGAATCATGCTCTTCATCCACTTGGCTTCAGCCGGGTGGTTAAAGCGCAGGAAGGTGGACTGACCCAGGCACAACATGCAGCCTGCAGAGAAAGGAAATGCTTGGGAGGGCAGGCTGAGGCAGGACTGAGGCAACCCTCACCCCCCAGCACCGGCAGGCTCACCCCAGCCTCCAGAGAACCTGCCCCACCTGCACTCAGTGTCCACATGGCCCATGCCTGACCCTGCCTGTGGTGGACACAGGCCCCAGCAGGGCTCTACAGCACAGGGCAGAGTGCGAAGAGGTCCAAGATGGGAGTCCTAGTCCTAACTCTCACTAGCTGTGAGATCTTCGGGTGGACTCACTTCACCTTCCTCAGTCTAATGCTCTCATTAGAAAAGTGAGGACAATACCAGCGGCCCTGTAGAGCGTGAGGCAATATATGGGAAAGTGCTCTGTAAATGGAGAAGGCTCCTCGGAGACCATGGACACCCATGCCCCCCAGCCCACACTGCACCCATGATCGGTCTATCTGCTGTTTAGGTGGAAGGGTCATTTTGAAAGGCAGCAACTTCCAGGACCACAAGAAAGCTCTGAGAAAGGGGACAAGGAAAAACCATGGGTCAGATGCGTCAGCAGAGACCAGCATTTTCTTCCTGGCTGTCTCCTTATCATTGTGTGGCCTTAGGAGAGCTGTCACCCTTTCTGGAAGTAGGGCGCGTCCGCCACCCTCCTTCTCTCTGACAAAGGTCCTTTTGGTCTGACAGCTTCCTGCTCCTTGGTCCCCAGAATCTAGCCAAGCACATTCCCAGGCAGAAGACACAAGCCCAGTCCTGCCCTGGAAGTGTGAGTGCATGGGGTGGGGTATGTGGGAACCAGAAAATGTAGCCAGGGGCACCCGACGTGTGCAATGGCAAGTGTGCCTACAGCGCCCAAGCCCAGCTGGCACAATGCCTCCTCTGGGCCAAACCAGGTGCTGGAGGGCTCCAAAGATGCTGTGCTGGGAGAAGCCTGAGCTGTGGTGCTCCCCACCCACCCTTCCGATTTTTCACAGGCCTGGCCCCTGGTCCCAGCCTCCTGCCTACCCAAGCTGGTGCCACTTGGCATCCCAAATTTCATGCCAGTCTGAGCTGAGACTGGCAAGGAAGTCTACATTCCTGGACGCTGAGACAGTTCAACCCAGGCAGGCCGCAAGGGCAAGGGGCATCCCAGGCCACGTGGGGATCTCAGCAGGACCCCCAGGGTACATGCTCGAGAGCCGGTTGCTGGGACCCTGGGCACTGCCTGGGGGCGGCAGCCGGGGTGTAGCAGGCTGAGAAGCCCACAGCAGATAACCATAGTAGAACAAAGCCACTTCTCTGGCACACCCACAGGCCCTCACAGGTAGGTGGGCACCAATAATTCTAAAGACTGATGGGCGGTTGGAAGAGAGGGGGCCAAGCCACCAATCAGAGGAGCTGATCCCAGAGTAATCATAACCAGAATAAATAATAGCCAACCACACTGTCCACCTAATTACAACCACACTGTTTCAGGAAGAGCCCTGCCAGGCCCCTCCCCCTCCTTTCGGCAAGCGAATTAATGATGAGTTTGCAGGGTCTAGACAGATCCACGCAGCCCTAGACTGACGGTGGGAGGGGACCCGAAGCCTACCCATGCAGTCAGCCCATTAATGCCAGGCCCACCCAAGAAGGCTCCGTGCACCCAAGGACCCTCGGCCCTGGCCTCAATAGCCGTGTGTTCCCTGCCCCCTTGCCTGCCCCTCACCCGCCTCCACACAGGGGGTATGGCCATGCTGCCTCTGGGCTATAAATAGGTGATGCCAGGCACAGCTAGGTCTGTATTAATAGAGCAGCCGGGAGGGCAACGGGGCTGAGAGCACCCAGCTCCGGCCCAAATTAACTTCCTATTTGCACTCAGGGGGCCCAGGCACTGCCCCAACTCAGGTCCCAACTGCCCCCAGGGGGTTGGCCAGCCTATTTCTGGAAAGAAACCTCCTCTATGCCCACTCCTGTCCCACATCTCCAAAGGTCGGCCCACTCAGGACACTCAAGAACCCCTCTCCTCCAGGTAAAGTTGTGGTCCGTGCCCCGCCCACCCCCAAAGGGGCTCAGGGCCCAGCTGTGTGCAGGTGAGTGGAGAAGTTGCACATCTGGAGGGAAAAAACGGCAAAGGAGAGGGTGGATCCTATCTCTGAGCAACACAGAAGGAAAACACACAAACACACACTCATAGGGGTTCCCACACATTCGCACTCACAGAAATACACAGACACACAGACACAGGCATATATGCTCACACACCACACTCAGAGCGCTAGCCACTGCTCAGCTGGCCATCAGACAGGATGGACCGGCCAAAGGGAGGCTGGGCTGGGGGGGATGGGGGGAAGGGCCTTGGCTCTTCCATCGGGGGCCCCGCTTAGCCGTAACACGGCCTCCGCCCGTCCTAACCAGGACCCCTCAACCCCCTCCGGGGGCGGGTCCCATGGAGGGGCTGCCTGCCTGCTGGGGAGGATGAGGTCTGGCCGGCTGCGGAGTGGCCCCGCGGGAGACCTTCCGGGGACACACACAATTGTGTCTCGGAGCCTCAGGCTCCCAGAGGGGGCCGAGGACCCCCCCCCCGAGGCGCCCCTCCCAGCCCGAGCCCCTCCGCGCCCGGGGCTGGGGACTCACCGCCGAACCCGGGCCTCGGGACCGCTCGCCCCCGCTACCTCGGGCCTCCCGGCTCCCGGCCCGCCCCGGGCCTTTGAGGGGGCGGGCCGACCTCCCGCGCCGCCGGCCCAGCTCGGAGCTGCTCCCCGCGAGGCGGCGAGGAGCCGCCAATGCCCGGAGAGGGGCGGGCCGGCCGCCGCGCGGGGGAAGGGAGCCCGGGGGGAGGGACAAAGGCGCGGAGGAGGGGAGAGGAAGTGATGGAGGAGGGGAGGGGCGCCGGGTGGAGAGGGCGGCGGGGGGTGCGGGGAGCGAGCCCACCCGGGACCCCGCCGGCGGCTGGAGCAGAAGCGGGGCCGGGAGGAAGGGTCCGAGGGGGCGGACTCAGGGCACGGTAAACAGAGGCCAGAGGGTGAGGGGGCAGGAGGCGGGCGTGGGGCGCGGCGGGGGCCCGGCGGGAGCCCTGGGTGCCAGGAAGTCACAGGAGGCCTGGGCCGGGGACAGCGCGGTCCCTGACTGGCCGATGGCCACCTGGGGCCAATCACGCCCTCTGGCCTGGATTCCTTATCTATCCTTATCTACCAAGGGAGAAGGCTGGCCTCAGTTGCAGCAGGGGCCAAGCTCTGGGGTTCCGTGGCTCCCTGTGTTAGAGACGAAGAGTGGAACCCCAGGATGGAGCTGGGGCACTCGTCCCGCCCTGGCCCTCAGCTACACACTGTGGCAAGGTGACTCCTGGGCTGGGCGGGAGTTCAGGCCAAGGCAGGGCTCTGCGCAGTGTGAGCTGCCCTCAGTCCCAGCCCGTGTCTCCATCCTGAACTCCTCAGTCTTTGGCCCCTTCCACTGCCCCCCACAGTCCCAACAGCTCCCTCACCCCACAGCCAAGCAGGACCTGAGCACTGCCCCTTCCAAGCCAGCCCGCCTCCCTGGGGCTCCAGAAACCCACCAGATCTCCTCCCAAACACAACTACCAGTTAGCTCACCCCACCAAAGAGCTCTCCCGCCCCAGTGAGCTTACCCTTCCCATCTGGGACACACAGTGCCCCTGCCTGTGACGTCTGCGGGCTCAAGCTGAGGTTCTGGGCCAGGCACATACCTGCCACCCAGCCTGCGCCCCGGATTGTTCTTGCTCCAGGGGCCTGGCCTCTGGACATCAGAGCCTTAAGGGCCACACTATGCTCTCTCCGAGGAGCTCTGTATGCTCAGGGCTCACACAGCCCCACACGCTTTCAGAGACACAACAACGTGTGCTCAGTCACACCACACAGACACTACCTTGGCTCTGCACGCTCTGATTCACGTAAACACCTCAGTTAAACATGCCCTGTTTCTCACACACACACACACACACACACACACAACCCCACAGGCACCAACCCCCTCTTAGCTACACACTCACTCAGGCAATATCCTTTCACTCAGTCCCTGGAGAGACTCTAAATCAAAAGTCAATCTCTTTGAAAAATAAATGATTTTTCCACCCTTGCTGAACACCTACCCATATTGCCACACTAAACATACACACACACACACTCACACACGCTCACACACTCACACACACATGTGCATCTTACCCCCTTCTGAAGGAAAATGGAAGAACCATATAGGGTCAAATGCAAAATAGGGGGAGGCTTTAAAAAAATATCCTCAGGAAGAGTGATTCATCGGTCTGGAAATGGTGACAGCCAGCTGGACAGACCCAGACAGACATGGAGGGTGCCTGCCAGCGAGAAATAGGGCAGGAGGCAGGCCCAAGAAGTGAGAAGCTAGGACCCTTTGCTTTTTCTCTCCTTCCTCTGAGCTTGATCAGTCAAGATCATTATCAGACTTTTGTAACAGAGAGTTGGCAGCTTCACTCCCATTTTACAGAAGGAGTGACTGGGTAGGAGAGGAAGACGCTCAGTGTCCAGGATCCTTAAGGGAAGCAGCTGGGTAATCCCAGAATCCTGGCTCCTCAGCCACATTCCAGGGAGCGTCCCCTCCTGGCCTCCACACAGCCACTGCCCCCCAGTGAGGGGCTTAGGGAGTGAAGGAGACATGGAGAAAGGGCTGGCAGCAAATGCTGGGAGTGGAAAGGGACCTACTGTCTAGACAGCCTGGGCCCTGAGCTGTGTGGCTTTCTGCGTCCTCCCCTACTGAGTCCCCTCCCAGATCTTTCATGTGGTCTGGCACTGTGGTCCCCGGGTGGGGCAGCTTAGACCCAGAGTGAGATTCCTCCTCATTTCCCTGGTCCAATTCCCAGCTCCACCTCTTGCTCTGTAGAGGGCAGTTTGCCAGGATACCCAGGTATGGGGGCAGACAGAATCAGGATCTTCCTGGCTCCTTCACCTTGTGCTCCTATGCCCCTAGCTCTAGCTCAGTTAAAGGCTGGCATCTGCTGCCTGCCCCCCCCTCCCCCAGCCCAGGCATATTCCTGCCGGGAGAGCCTGTCACTGCCGTCTCTGCTCATCATGACGTGTGCCTCTCCAAGTTGCCTGTGGCTGGGCACAGTGCCCAGAATTATGCATCTAAGGCCTGGTCCAGTCACAGCGGGCTCCTTGTTATTTCTAGGGTGGCCCTCCATTTTTCAAAGAGGAGGATCCCCTCTACAAGGCTGGATCAGGGGAAACAGGGAAAATAGTCCTCCTGCACAAATGCTCCCAGGTAGGCATGTGGCCGATGAATTCTCACATACACATAGGAGTGCACACAGGAACGCTTTGCTACCGCCAGTCCTGAGTTCACCCCTGCCCCCCACTCGAATACTCTGATCCATAAACACAAGGAAAGACACAAACAGAGATACACAAGCTCAGAGTCACAAACACATCCGGAGATACATAAACACACTCCAGTTACACAGGCACACAGAGATAGCACATGCACCCCCGAGCCACCCAGTTTCCAGGGAAACGTACTCCCAAGAATGTCCGGAGTGGGGCCAGGCAGGGCTGGGCTTGGTGCCTTGCTCCAGAGAGGAGACAAGGAAACCCTCAGCTCCCCAAGCCCAGGGGAGGGTGTGCTAGGGAGAAGAACACCCAGTCCTTTGTGCCTCTGTCTACCCCTCCCCAGGCTGCCAAGCTTCTGAGAAAGGCAAGCCCAGACAAGAAGGCTATGAAAGTGGGAGGGAGAAAAAAGGATGGGGGTTTAGGGTCAGAGGGTGGGAGGGCACATACTTGGCAGGGTGGGCTTTTGGCTGGGGAAGAGTTGGGGATCACTGAGTTCACAGGAAATGCCTAAGGATTCCATCTTGTCCCGGCCCTCCCTCTTCCCAAGGAGCTAAGTAATGCACTGGGAAGGCAGGGCAGGAGAGGTTACATAGCGTGGGGTTCTCCGTCCTGCTCACAACACACAGGAAGAATGTTCTTGCCCGTCAGCGTGAGGGACTTGGGGCCTGGGGAGTGAGAGCTGGGCTCTTTCTCCTGCCTTCTTTGAACTTTGCCCCTTCCTCTCCTTGCTGCTCTGCTAGTAGTCTCACTTCCACACACCTAAATCTCGGAGAAGATGCTCTCTTTGAGACTGAAGAGGACTGTCAAGAACCAGATGGACTGTTAAGAACCAATGTATGGGGGTTCCTCTTCTCATCTGGAGTCAGGGACCTGGACGCCGTGGGGGAGGCAAGGGCCTGCCTGCTGCTAGCCTCCCCGAAGCCAGTTCTCCTCAGCACACTCCCAAAGGGCAGGAGGAAGGAGCAGGGCGAGGCTGGGTCTCCTGGCTCTGCGCTGAAGGCAGTAGCATTTAAAGAGACCTCAAGGGGTGTCAACAGAGAGGGAGGGGAACAGTGCGGTGAGTGGGATTTCCACTATAAAGAAGCTTCTAGACAGTAAGAGGTAGGAGTCCCCAGAAAGCGATTATAGGACATTCGTGGTCCTGCTCAGGGCCAGGCCTGTACCAACCTTCCCATCCTCCCGTCAACCCCACCCCTACCCACCCTCCCAATCTGCTTCTCTCATTCCCCTACTGTGAAAATTCACTGTGTAAAATTGATGCGCAGCATAAATACACCTGATCTGTCAAACTGCCATCCAGGCTAACCCCTTACCTGCCTGGTCCCCACAGTAACCAGGGTCCCAGTTCTTAGAGCTACCTTAAAAGACAGAATGGCCCGTTGCTTCGGGAAACAGGGTCGTAATTCTACTCATAACCCAAAAGCTGCTGTCAACATATTTTAGCAGGAGTGGGTATGTCCTCCGATTCTACCACCGGCTTTTACCCTTGCCCCATCCCATCAGGCGCTATCGCCCTCCTCTCCTGGACCTTTACAGCTTTTCAGAACAACTCCCCTGGGCACTGTGGCCACTGTCTCCCACTGCTGGTCCAGTTGCTCTCCCCTATCAACCACTGATGGCCACCGCACCAATCCCCATGCCCTTTGACAGCAGGAATCAGAGCCTCTTCCTGCGCCTGGTATGGGGAGGCAGGGTGGAGGTGGCCAGAGAAGAAAAGCAGGTTGAAGACAGGTCTGGATGTTGTCTAGGCAGCTCAGATGCACCTGAGCCCCCACCCGCAGCATGGCCACTCAGGCAGTTACAACAACCACAGCGGGCCTCCCCCGCACCTATCAGGCACAAGCTTTTAAACTTGAGGCCCCCTCTGTTTGGGACTATCCAACCTTACCCTGAGTGAGCCGGGTGGGCTTCCGGACAGGGAGTCCATCAATAGTGCAGGCATTGCCACAAGGGTAGAGGGTGAGGGTACCACGCACGTTCTCAATGTAGCAGTGCTCTGGAGCCAGGCCTGGGCCCTGCAGGGAGATGTCCCTGGCAGCAGAGCCAATCACCGTCCTCCCTGCAGACAGCGGGCAAACTGAGTCAGAGGGCTTGCCCAGGCTGAGGAGTCAGGGACAGGGCAAGGAGGGCCACAGTGGGAACACGTGTCCATCTCCTACTCCAGGGAGAATCACTGCCCACCCCAGGCACCCCTTTTGGGGCCCTGAGCCTGGGTGAGTCAGCAAGTGGTAGGAACTTTCCCAGGCAGAGTGCACTCTGGCCCAGAGCTGGGAGGGCCAGGGGTGGGCTGGGGGTGGGGGTGCCCAGGAGGAGATAGACTGCACAGCATGAGTAGACGCCTGCAGCCCTTCCCTAGTCCCTCTGTGCCCCCCGCCCACAGGTCCTTTTTCTCCGTTGTCACACTTCCCCCTTTCCTTCTAAATCTTGCCATCTCCCCTCCCTCTCTCCCTCCCTTCTGCCACCTGCAGCCCGGCTCTCCCCTAGCCTTCTCTCTTCTGGTAGCCTCTCCCCTCACTGCCTCTGCAGGAACAGCCCCTCCCCCTGGCAGAGCCCCTGGGACTGGTATTTGGAGAATGTGGGGAATGTAGAATCAGCCAGGCATCAAGTGCAGCCCTGAGAGCAGAAAGGAAGGGTGGAAGCTGCAAGGTGAACGGGGCTGTGCCAGAGCCTTATCTTGGGAGGCCTGCCCCCATGCCCATCTCCCTGCTCTTCCACCAGTACCTTCTCCCATGCCAGGCATTGCCCTGCAGTGGGGCCCCCTTTCTTCTTGGCCACACAGGTTGCTAAGAGCAATGTGCTACCCAATCTCAGTGCTCCCCTCCTTGTTTCTAAACTGATCTTTAATCCCAGGCATGGAGCCAGATTATCTACCAACAAGGGAAGGCAGCCTGGGGAGGTAAATACGAGGGAAGCAAGCTGTAGGGGGGAGGTGTGGGGGCGGGGTGGCCCAGTGTCCCATGTGGGGGAGGTGAACATCACCAGCAGACAGCAGAAGGGCCCCAACACACGTCTGGGCTCCAGGGCAGGAACGCCAGTGAGGATGGAGGAGTAGCAGGTGGGACACCCTTCCAGACTTACCTTCTTCCAGCGGCAGAAGGGTGATAGCCGTGCTTAGTCGCCCACTGCCCAGGCTCACCAGATGAGGTTTGTCCGTTTGCACCTTCAGCCCTTTGCCTGTCTCAATCAGGTCCAAGGGGCCTTTCTGCAGGCAGTGGGGGTGGAGAATGAGCATCATTAGAGTCCAGGCCAGAATCTTGCCACCCTAGTCCCAGTCGCTCTGGCACTCTCTCCACACTTGCCCTCTTCAAAGGGCTCTGAGGGTGTCAAAAGGCTCAGCACAAAATCTTGCATGGAGCCTTATCCCACTAAATTGTAATTAGATCTGAATCTAGGCCACTAACTCATCCCACCGGATTTATCTCAAGTCGTGGCTTAACTGCCCCCTTTGTCTGTTAAGACACAAACAAGGAGAAAGTAAGGGGAGTGAGCATGGTGGGTAGGAGGGGGGGGTACTGTAGGGTGGGCTAATCAAGATTTGTCCCTGTAGACGTGTCTGTGACGATCCACTTGGCCATCGCTTGCCTCTGTCAAACTAAACTACAAGAGGTGGGGGGAGGATGAACTGAGGAGAGGGATACAGCCCAGGGTCAATCTGTAAGCTGCTTCCTGACTTTCACAGGGTATTTTCTGGGTGAACCAATTAACCTGATTCAGATAAAGTCTTAGCTGTTAATAGGCTTGGGAACTGGGGAAGGGCGGAGAGGAATGGCTGCCTTCATCTTTGAGCTGGGAGCACGACTCAGTGGAGCAGCTGAACCCATCTGCACCAGCAGCCCTCTGGCCCCACGGTCCCGACTCCGCTCACCTGAACCATTGCTTGGGTCTTGCATCCAGGGCCTACCTGGCTCCTACTGAGAGAGTCCATGGTCCTGGGACTCCAGAGCTCCTGCAGACACAGCAGAAAGCAGGTGAGGAGGGGAGGCCAGGGGAGAAAAGGAAAAGGAGTAGGCTCTGTGGTGGGGTTCTCAGCCCCAGTCACCATCATTCCTAGCAAGCTCACACAGAAGAAAAAGTGGAGGCAGTTCAGGAGCTTCCTGGGGGAAGGAAGTGCCACAGTCAGCCACGCACGGATACCACACCACACCAGCCGTGGCCCTCGCCACCATGCACACAAAAAGCCCTGTAGGGCCCGACCTGTGGTTCTGTGCTTTTTTGCCTCTGACATCTAGGACCCAGGTCTTGGCAGCTGAGGACCCGCAGACACCTAGGCTGTAAAAGCAGGGTGGGGAAAATCTACCTCAGCTGAATCCAAGGAACTCCCTCCAGGGACACGGGGTAGCCAGAGGACCCCCAGATGGGTGGCAGGGCTGAGCAGGAGTTCCCTCCCCCAGCTTTTCCCTCTCCTCTTCTCCCTTTGTCTCTTTTCCCAGGGGTCTCAGTAGGACATTTTCTTAAAGGAGACACAACACGAAAAACTCAACCATTCCTGCCATCTCTGTATGTCTCAACTCCTGCACCCTCTCTTCCCCAGAAAGCAATCTTGCCTCCATATAATCAGCAAAAAAAACCCTCAGTGGTGACTAATGCTGGGAATACAGGACCCCTGGGTTCTCGACCTGATTTGGTTGTATAGGAAGCTTAGGTTGTTAGAACCAACAGTAAAATAGATTCCAGAGCTAGAACTTGAACTCTGCCCCACCCATCCCGTTCTCCCTGGCTCATATTTTTGGTACCTGAGAAACATGAGGCAGGACCTTTGTGTGCCAGTGTGTGCCTACATGCCCATGCCGCCATCATCTTGCTAAGGTGAGGAAATTCTCACTGCTGAAATGTGACCGGGGAAAGCTGACGAGAGTGTGGTTGAAGGTAGGAAGGGAAATTGAGGCAGGCAGGCCTCCCCTTCACTTTCCCTTCCAGCCCTCTCCCAGGCGACTTGGAGAGGAAGTGACGGCGAGAGCCAGCATTCCTAGGAGCGTCTGACCCTGGCAGTGGGGCCTGTGGGCCTCAGCCATAGACTTACTAATTTTACCCGCCCAGCTTCCACCCTTCCGGACTGTACTGCATCATCTCTGTCACCATTTCCACCCAAGCTGGCGGAAGAGAGGCCGGAACAGGGCCCGGGGCCCACCCTAAGTCGGCCCAGGAAGAGCAAAGGGAAAAGCCACTAACCTACACCAAGCTCCAAGCTGTCCTGGCACCTCTTCCCCATGGGGAAGAATTTCCAGGGACAGAAACTGCTGTACTGCTCCCTTCAACTCAGGAAAATCCCTTAGCGTTCTCTGAGGAGGAGAGGCAGAGAGAGCAGAATGGGGAATTTATATAAAGGAGGGGGTAAGAAAAACAATGCAATAAATAATGCAGAAAAAGCCTCATCATTCAGTGGGAAGAACTTTAGACTGGGATGCAAGGGCTTTAAATTCGAACCCCAACATTATTACTTATTTCCTGTTAGATCTTGGACAAGTTACTTCTCTCAATGTCAGGTCATTCTCTATAAAACTGGAATAATGATTTTAAGAAAAGATTGTTTGGATCAGTGCTTGTCTGGGGCGAGCAGTAGAATGGGGATTGACTAAATGGGCACAATATTTTTTTGGGGGGTGATTGAAATGTTCTAAAACTAAATTATGATGATGGTCGCACAGATCTGAAAATACACTAACATTTATCGACTGTACACGTAAATGAATTTTATTGTACATACAGATGCCTCAATAAAACTGCTAGTTAAAAAAGCACGAATGTCTAGAAATTCAGGTATTATATTAAATGACACTCTGAAGTGCGGAGCACTATAAACACACCAGCTATTAGGATGCGCTTCATGACCTTGAACAAGTCACCTCACCTTTCTGGACCTGTTTGTCCATCTGCCAAGTTTGTCACTATCGCCCTGTGAGGCAGCGGTGAGTGTGTTCATTTATTTACACCAAAGAATTTCAAGTGGAGATAAAGACTGTGAAGGAGTAAGTTTAACGGGGAATAAGAGTGATTACGGGAGCTGAAGGGGAGGAGGAGATAAGGAGAGAGGTGTAGGGAAAGACCGAGAAGATAAGAAAAGATGTGGAGATTGGGAGGGGTGGGGCTGAAGTCCCGGCTCGAAACCCAACCCCGGTGGGGTGGGAAGGTGCACCGGGCCGGCGCGGCCGCGGGCGGGCGGGGCCTGCGCGGAGGTGCTAAGCCGCGGCCGCGAGGGCCGCCACCCGGGGGCGCCCCGTCCTCGAACCCGCCTCCTGCTGGCGACACGGCCCTGCGCGCGGCGCCCCCCGCCCGACCCACCTGCTTCGGGCTCCCCAGGCTACCCACTACTCGGCGCGGTCCTGACCCACCCCGCCGCCCCCCGCGGCCTTTCGGCTAAACCCCGCCCGGTCCCGCTGCCAAAAACAGGCCCCCGCGGCGCGCAGCGGGCTCTGGAGGAGGGACGCGAGGGCAGCGCTGCGGTCAGCTCGGGCTCCGGCGGCCCTCCCGCCCGCGGGCGTGGGGAGGCAGAGGCCCGGGGGCCGGAGGCGGCGCGCTCCAGGGAGGGCACCGTGCGCAGCGGGGCTGCGGCCTCCTCGCCCGGCGGGAAAGCGTGGGCACCCGGGCCACGCGGGAGGAGCGGCCCTCTCCGCGCAGCGGGTGTCGCTGGGCTCGGCACCCGAACGGGGGTGGACGGAGCCCCGGGGAAGGGCCGGAAAGGTCTGCAACCACCCGGCCCTGGGGTTGGTCCAGGTTCCAGACCGCGCCCCAGACGGAAGGGCCCGGGCCGGCCGCCCGCCGCGCCCCCGCCCTGGGGCTTCCCCCGGGGGCCGCTCGGGGCCTCACCTGTGCCCCGGGGGCCCAGCCGGGGCCTCGCCGCGGGCGTCGCATGGCTGCGGCCGGAGGCCTGCGCGGCGAGCCGGGATCCTCTGGGGCCGCCGCCTCCGCCCTCCCGGCGCACATCCGCCCTCGAGGAAGGGCCCCCGGCAGCGGAAAGAGCCGGGAAGGGAAGGGAAGGAAACTGAGGCCGGAGGCTGCCCGGCGGGTCGCCGGAGCTGGGCGGGGGCCGGCGAGTGGGTGTGGAAAGGCCCGGGGCGGACAGAATTTAAGGATGAGAAAAGAAGGGGTCTGCGGGGTCTGCGGGTGGACGGGACTCGGAAAGGGAGGCGCCGGGGTTCGAGGGGAGCCGGAGGAGTCCGAGGGGTGAGGAAAACCGGAGCCGGGCAGGGGGCGGCGAGGCGGGCAGGAGGGCGCGATGGGAGAGCAGGACGGAGCGCCTGCGGGGTGTAGAGCGGGGGGAGACGGTGGGACAGACGTCCGGGGACGGGGGAGGGCTGAGGGGACGGCGGCCAGGGGATACGGGGAAGGCCCGAGGGCGCTGGCGGGGGGAACCGCGAGGCGGGGAGAGGCAGAGTTACGGAGAAGAGGGCGCCTGGGTGCGGGCCGGCGGACGCAGAAGCCGGGGAGGCTGCGGACGTCTAGGAAGACGGGGGCGGCGCGGGGCAGAGCCGGGAAGAGGGGCGTGCGGACAGCCTGGGGTACGGCTTTTGCCTGTGTGCGGCGCTGGAGGCGGGGGTGCTGGCAAAGAGCGCCTCGCCGGAGTCGCCGGGCGGAGTGGGCTTCGCTGCCCCGCCCCGGGGCCGCCAGGTGGGACAAGGCCGCAGTGTTGGGCTGCGGGCCGGGCCGCCCCGCCCGCCGCGGACGCCGGACAAGCGGCCTTTCTTTGGCCGGGCGGGGAGAGGGAGCCGCTTGTTTGCGCGGCCGGGGAAGGGGCGGCCCCACAGACACCGCCCGCTCCCCGCGGGGGCAGCTGCGGGAAGGGGGCTGAGCGAGCCAGGGAGGCTCCGCGTGGGGCGCGTGTGAGTGGAGGGCTGCGCGCGGGGCGACGGGCAGCTTGAGTGTGTGACGGGGCTCCTGGGGAGCGGGAGCGGAGTGTGCGCGGGGTGCTGCTCGGGTGAACGGCGGGTGGAGGGCCGTGTGTGTGGACGGCGCGAGGGGTCCACGCGCGGAGCGGCGGCGACAGGCAGGGGCTGGGCGCGGGGTGGGGAGGGTGCGTGGGTGAGGCGCGGTGGGGCGCTGCACGCGTGTGCCGCGCGGGCAGCCTGCCGTGGAGGGACTGTTTCTGTGTGACCTGTGGGATGAGTCAGCCTCCGGGGCGGCTGAGCTAACGGGCCCAGAATGCAGCCCCGCCCCGGCGCCCTGGGTCCCCCGCCGGCCACGCGGTCCGCAGGCCTAGTGCCCCCCGCGTCCGCCTCCGTGACCCAGCACCCCGCGGCAGCCCCCAGTCCCCGCCGCCGGCGCCCGCCCGCCTGCACTGCTCCATCCCGGCGGGGCCCGGGTGACCCGGCTCGGCCTCGCCCGGGGAACTCCGCGAAGGTTTCGAATAGGGACGGTGCGTGTGTGGCAAGAGCCGGGGACTCACTCCCCCGGGGTGTCCCATCGGCCTCACTGACTCCTAAAGACGCGGGGCCTCGCAGGAGGGCTCCTCCGGCTCCAGACGTGCCTCCTACCTCCAGAACACCTATCCAAAGCCCCTCCCGGACACCCACGCCCCCGGCCCGACTTCGCATGCGTTTCTTGTCGGTCCAGGAGGCCCGGCGCGGACTGGAGCGGAGATGCCCCCAGGTCACACGCTTACACACACACACACACACACACCCGTGCAAGGCTCTTAGTCCTGCCGTCGGCAGGAGGTGGAGGTGTGGGGCGCTGGCGGATGAGCCCCCGCGAGTGTCCCCTCGTCGGCGGTCTGGGTGCCCGCAGGAGTCTTGGTGGGGGCCAGGCTCAGCGACCCTCCGGGGGGCGCGAGGGCCCCCTCTGGCGGCGGCGAGGGCAGCCAAAAGCAAACAGGAGCCAGCTGCGCACAAAGCCCCCACGCACTCACCTGGGGCACCCCTACGGGTTGCTTCGGGGCTTACTAGCTCAGAGCTGATCTGAGGGCTCTCGCCAGGCCCCTGGGACTTTCCCTTAACAGTCCCCGCCGCGCCGCGAAAGGAACCCGCAGGCGTAGCGGGAAGAAGCGCCCTTACCTTGGAGGGAGAGGACAGCGGTCCCTTCGGTCCCTTCGCCTGGCTCCGCCGCCGGGCCTCAGGCTCGGAAAGACACTGTTGCTTTTCCTTGGGAACCCGCTAAGTAGGAGGAGAGCGAGCGGGTTCCGCCCCACCTCCCCGCTAGTCTCCGCCCCCATCCCCCGTCCCGTCCGCCTGGCGGGCAGAGAAGACGCCCTTGTGGGGCTAGAGCCCAAGGTCCCCCCACCCACCCTTTCCCATAGCAGCACCTCCCCCAGGCCCACGCCTGCACAGCACCCGCTTTGTTCCTCTCTGCAGCTGGCCTCTCCACTACCACCACACCACACACGCACCCCTTCTCCCCCTCCCCTCCCCTCAGGACTCTGCTAGACCACCTCCACCCCTGGGCTTCAAGGCTCTTTTGAGAGAGCATTTTGGACAATATCTCCCCTCCTCCTTTTTTTAAAGACCTTAGAGGCCTGATCCTCCATCTGGCTACCATAAACCTCTTAGTTGCAGCCCTACAACATGCTGTCAACATCTCCAGAACATCTGAGAGGACTCAGGTCAGCCTCCCGCCACCCTTTCTCCTCATCTACCCCAGGCCCTGCCATGAAGAGCTGTGAGTGGGGTTGGTAACCCTGCACATCCAGCTGCGCGGATTTTTCTAAGGATGAGCATAAGAAGACTTGATGAAGTGACATGCAAACTATAATGCACAGGAAAGGTGAATGGCATTATCTTGCCTCCAAGTAGCTTCACCCCCAGCACAACCTGCTGGATTACAATTGGGAGGCAAGCTACAGATACACTATATGTGAAGCACACCGTATTAGTTCGGATCTGTGTAGTAGAGAGTTAATAAGGAAGTAAAGGGGGGATTAAAAACCTGAAAAGAGCCTAGAAACCAAGCCTGGTTTTAATCATTCTTCATTTCAACCCCCATCCCAAAATCCAGCCAGGACAGTGGATCCTTACCTTGCAAAGCCTTCTCTTGGCACAGGAGACTGACTCAGGAGGCCCTAGGGAGCTGCACTCAGCTAGACTGGACCTCTTTAACCCGCCCTATAGGGACCCCTGGAACTATTGGTCTTTGGGGAGGGAGCAGAAAGCCCCTAAGCCTGGCATAAATTCCAGCTGGGATGGACAGCAGAAAGTAATTTTCCCCTTTAGGATGGACAGATACTGTTCCGATTCAGTGTCTTCAGTCCTTGCCCTGACTCCTAACCCAGGAACAGCGGGAGGCTGAACTGCAGGAATCTTTGGTCACTCATTGACAGGGTCAGCACCGGCAGGAGGCCCCCGGGAGGCTGGAGCTGAGGGCGCCAGGCAATTGGCAAGAAGCAGGCGGGGCTGGACCCTCTTTACCTGCTGCAGCTAACCAAGGTCAAACAATCAGGCTCCAGCATGCGCTGCAGGTACCGGGGAGCCCCAGGATTTGGAGGGGGTACAGAGGCAGCTCTTATACTTCCTTTTTTCATACTGTTTGAGGCTCATGGAAGTATTTTGACTTTGGCCACCTTTCATGAGGCAGATCATAACAGTAATTTCCAGGCTATTCTGGTAAAAGAAAAAGAAACAAAACCAAAACTACAGTATCCTATGTGCCAAGACCCAGTATTTTGAGGGAAGGGGCTCAGACTGGCGTACCTTAGACTTTTCACGTTTCACGACTCCCAACTCTTCTTGGTCAGGAGGAATTTGAGGGAATAATCAAGCCTGCCGCAGAGGCAGCTGACGCTGAGGCAAGGGGTTGAAACAGCACCCAGCTTCTCACTGTCCTCCCAGCCCAGGGACCAGATGACCTCATGAAAAAGGCTCTCGCCAATGTGTCCTCACTGCTGCTGTGTTGAGGCCCTGTGTTCCCACAGTTAGAGCACTCAGGGGACTACAGACCTCCCACCCCCACCCTGATCCACATCTGGAGCCCATCAAAAAAACGCAGTGCTCTCACAGTTATGCAAGAGGTCCAGCAGCTGGGAGCTCAGGAAAGGGGGGGCAAGAAAAGGAAGCAGAAAACAGCTTTCCAAGCATGCTTCAGACTTTCCGAAGTGGAAGCAGGGGGAGAGAGCAAAGGCTGGGTGTGGAAGGAAGAGTGGGTTTCTTAAGGCCCTCTGCACTTGGCTATGAATGTCAGGAATGGATTTCCACACCCCTCCTGCACATTTTCCATCTCTGTCCCACCTCTCAAACTGTACTCTCCAGCCCCAGGAAGAGGCGATTATTGCTCATTACAGTAAGTAATCCCTGGAGATACACCCTATCCCAGGAAGCTATCCTTTCTGGCCTGTTCCAATCCTGAGCTCAGGCGTCAGTGTAGGTGTGGTGGCAGCAGTGATGCCAAGTAACTCCTCTCTGCATCCAAGTTGGAAAAAAATTCAAACCTTTCTCTTCAGCAGCTGCAAAGGAGCAGAAGCTCTCTTCTCAGCTTGTCTTAGAAATTGCACAATCCACACTTCCACCCAAAGCTGAGACATCCAAGCTGAGCGGGAAATTTGGGTAGGAAGACTTGGCTCTGTCTACCTCCAAGGCTCAGGACCTTTTTATGTGCTGAGAACAAGTGTTACTTGGACAAAAGAATGGGAAAGACCTACTCCATTTCTCTCATCCCCTTGAGTTTTTTCAAATAGCCCCTGTCCAATAATCAACTTGACCAGAGTATGCTTATGGGACCATTCAGAATTTAGCCAAGCCCTAAATAACCACTTAGCCCCTGCCCTATGAACACCAAGGCAAAAAATCTTTCCCTTTTGGTGGGCGGTGGAGGGAGTGAGAAGTGACCCAAGCTTGTAGAAACTTTTGTGTTGTTGAAAACTGCCTGGTTTCTTGGCCTCATGTTTGAGAGAGGGTTAACAACTTGGTTTGGAAAGGTAGTCTAATTTTCCTAAAAGCTTGCCTCCGTATCAGTCACTAACTCCCCAGGGTAAAATCTTAGACTGACACTTGTAGAGATGCCCTCTGCCCTTGGGTTTAGAGCAACACCCAGTAACCAACCTACTGTGGATCTTCCAGGTTCAAAGCTTCATCAGATGCAAGTATATTTGCCAAAGGGGACAAGAGGGAATGGAAGGAGAGAATGGTTGCAGTAAGAGATACACATAGTAAAGGGGAGTCAATCCTGAGTTTTTGCTTTCCTTTAAATTATTCCTCTAAAACCTACAAGACAGAAGCCCTAGTTCTTATACTCACTGCGACGTATGCTGAGCATCACTAGTTGTAGTATTTGTCTTAGAAAAAGAGGCTTTGTTAAAGCACATACAGCCACTACTTCGAGCTACTTTAATCTTCTTGAGGATGAAGACTTCTTTTTCAACCTTCCTTCAGAGTCCTGCCACATGACAACTTTCAGAAAGGCTGCTCCGTATCCACCCTGGAAATCTCTCAGATCCTACCCAATGTGAATAATTTTAATTGCTCTTAACCCAAGGGCGGAGGGCATCTCTACAAGTGTCAGTCTAAGATTTTACCCTGGGGAGTTAAGTTTCCACTGTCAGAGATAAGCAGATTCATATATTTGGGGTCTGAAACTACCAAGTAGACAAATGACACATCTTTTTTAAAAGGAATGACCACAGAGGAGGTATATGCCCTACCTCCTCTAGGTGGTATTTATCAATCCAGAGCAGGAACCACTGCCTCCTAAAGAGAATGCTCGGTCAGATCTAATTATTTTGTAAAGTCTCCGTCACAAGAGGCCAACAAGAAGTCCACTTGATGCCGTGGACAGAGTAGCTGCCAGCCGGGGGGTATAGCACGGTTCTGGTGTGCTTCACGTCATGGGATTAAGGTTACAGTCACAGAAAGCCCAGCCACACTTCAGCAACATTAGACCAGGTACTTTGTTTCTTATGGAAAAAAAAAAATCTTGGCATCCACCATTAAAAATATTTTCATGCCAAAGTATTATTCTTTAGAATAATTTGCCTTCCAATTTGTTGATATCCAATAGTTTTTCAAGTTAAAAGAAAATGAGGAAGAAGCCTTTGCTGACAGAATTACCAACAACTCCCAACGCATTCCTCATTTACGCCTGGACTACTTACCTGATTTTTTTTAGTTGTAGTTGACACTGGGTCATTTATTTCTTATGACTATTTGTCTAATGGCGAAGAGAATGCTCTAATATATCAACCACTGCTATTCGTTAAAGATGAAGCCTCATTTTTTACTCTACAACTGCCCCTGACAAAATTAAAACCAAGGATTTAAGTAGCATCAAATTCCAAAAGCTATGCTGTCAGGTGCATGTGTGCTTGTTGTATATGCTCAAATGTAAAAAAACACAAGGAGGAACAATACTACCTGTAATATGGGGGAAAGGCAATGAATAGAGATTCTTTTCTCTTAAAAAAAAATACCATTAATTTTTAACCTTAGATCCCATTACACTCATTCTGAATCAGCAGACACCAAAGTATGAAAGAGTCAAGAGTCTAATATTCATTTTATAATACTCTTTATTTGATTAAAGAATTTGCCTTCTTTGTGTACACTGGAATGTTATATTCCCTATGTATTTTACAGGGTTACAAAACGTCTCATTTTAAATATTACCCCAAAAAGCAACTTCAGGAAAAAAAGTTTTTGTGAAACTAAACCTGACTTTTAAAAAATCATATGGACAAACAACTCTCAAAACTGGATTAATAAGATTCCTTGCCTACTTAACTACATGACAGATTTCTTGTCCCAGTCCCCATCCTCAAAAAAAAACCTCATGTGGAAACAAGCTAGAGATAAGGATTCTTCCCTGATGCAGTTAAGGGAAGGGAAAGGCCGGAAACTTCTTTGGCAAACAATTCCATCCATGGCCATTTGTGTATGACTGCTCTGATTCATTCACGGATGCACTCTCTCTGCAGGAAGGGCCAGATGATGTTCTGAGTGGGAGTGGAACTCGCCAACCAGATGAAGGTGCAAGGGTCACCTAGTCATCTGTCTTCCCCCTGCTGGTGGCTGCAGCCCAGCAGCACCCCAACCAGCACCACTGAGCACAGTATTCAGTTAAAGCTGACACCAGACTGGCTGAGTCATCTTCTCTGCTCAAAAGTAACGGATGAGATGGGGCTAAGAAACCACCACTACATGATGACGCTCAGTAGAAATGATGTAGGGGAGAAAAGGGAAGGACTTCAGGAGACAGCAACAGATAGGCTGGTGAAAATGTATTGGGCATGCCAGGCCTGGAATATGTATCAGCAACCCTTCCATACAAACATAACCAGCTGCCTCTTGAAATGCTGAAAACCTGGTGGTAGGAATGAAGTGCCCTTTATAGTTCAGGGCCAACAGGACTGGCATAAAGACCTGCTGAACCCACAGCCTCCGAAATCATAACCTTGTCTCTGCTAGAAAGGAAAGGACTGATAACACAAAGAACAGCCAGAAAGAGGAAGGCGGTGAATTTGAGGAATGTGAATGGATTACAATGACCATGAGTTACTTTGTTTTAGTTGAAGTTACCAAAATGTGGAGATCTGGAAGCCTGGGCAGTGCCAGCATCAGACACGACTACCTCTGGAAGTGAAAGCCCTAAGTGGACATAACCATTCTCCTTCCAGACATCTTGAAGTGGGGGCTGTGCTCTCTGAAAGCTGCTTCTCAGCTGCCTTTCATATTGACCCAAGTGGCACTCGCACAGTACTGCTCTGAACTGCAGGAACAGGACTTGAAGGAAAACAACTTGGCAAAGGAATGGAGCAATGAATGGATTTAAGAGAAGGAGTAAGACATCCTTACATTTAACTTCTAGACCCCGTGCCCTTAAGCGATTCACCTTTACAGTCCAAAGATCAAGAATGGACTGGATCAACTTCTTCCAGGAGTGACAAATACACTACTTCTATACAGACAACCCCGGGCTTGACTCAATGTATGGAAAGAAAAAAACGGAAGGTAAAGGAAAGGATATGGCAGGCTAAATCTTCTGCAGAGAAAACTTGTTAAAAACAAAGTATGAAATGTAACTCTACTGAGAGATTAAAATAATGGAGCAACTTAAACGAAGCAAAGAAGATGTTTAGCTGGGGCGTTCTCTGGGGAGCCTGCTTTCCTGTTGGCCAGTAAGATCTGCCAAAGAAATCAGCAGCCTTTCCCTTTATGTTTGTGTCATTTTTTTGCCAAAGAACGTCTCCATGACACTGAAACACTGAGGGTGAGGTGAGGGTCCTTGAGCGCAGAGAATCGTGCACTGTACCAGAAAGAAAGGGTCTCCAATGGCTTGTAGTTGATGACGCTCAGTAGAAATGATGTAGGGGAGAAAAGGGAAGGACTTCAGGAGACAGCAACAGATAGGCTGGTGAAAATGTATTGGGCATGCCAGGCCTGGAATATGTATCAGCAACCCTTCCATACAAACATAACCAGCTGCCTCTTGAAATGCTGAAAACCTGGTGGTAGGAATGAAGTGCCCTTTATAGTTCAGAGCCAACAGGACTGGCATAAAGACCTGCTGAACCCACAGCCTCCGAAATCATAACCTTGTCTCTGCTAGAAAGGAAAGGACTGATAACACAAAGAACAGCCAGAAAGAGGAAGGCGGTGAATTTGAGGAATGTGAATGGATTACAATGACCATGAGTTACTTTGTTTTAGTTGAAGTTACCAAAATGTGGAGATCTGGAAGCCTGGGCAGTGCCAGCATCAGACACGACTACCTCTGGAAGTGAAAGCCCTAAGTGGACATAACCATTCTCCTTCCAGACATCTTGAAGTGGGGGCTGTGCTCTCTGAAAGCTGCTTCTCAGCTGCCTTTCATATTGACCCAAGTGGCACTCGCACAGTACTGCTCTGAACTGCAGGAACAGGACTTGAAGGAAAACAACTTGGCAAAGGAATGGAGCAATGAATGGATTTAAGAGAAGGAGTAAGACATCCTTACATTTAACTTCTAGACCCCGTGCCCTTAAGCGATTCACCTTTACAGTCCAAAGATCAAGAATGGACTGGATCAACTTCTTCCAGGAGTGACAAATACACTACTTCTATACAGACAACCCCGGGCTTGACTCAATGTATGGAAAGAAAAAAACGGAAGGTAAAGGAAAGGATATGGCAGGCTAAATCTTCTGCAGAGAAAACTTGTTAAAAACAAAGTATGAAATGTAACTCTACTGAGAGATTAAAATAATGGAGCAACTTAAACGAAGCAAAGAAGATGTTTAGCTGGGGCGTTCTCTGGGGAGCCTGCTTTCCTGTTGGCCAGTAAGATCTGCCAAAGAAATCAGCAGCCTTTCCCTTTATGTTTGTGTCATTTTTTTGCCAAAGAACGTCTCCATGACACTGAAACACTGAGGGTGAGGTGAGGGTCCTTGAGCGCAGAGAATCGTGCACTGTACCAGAAAGAAAGGGTCTCCAATGGCTTGTAGATTTGGAAAAAACTCTTCAGCCACTGTTGGCTTCTTCTTTATTAATTTGAAATTTTTCCTTTTCGGTTCCCTCTTCTTGGTATTACAGGATTTCATACTTATCCACTAGGAAAGTGGTCTCTGTGGAAAACCTTACAGGACTGTTGCCATCTACCAGGGTCACTTTGGTAACCTAAGAAAACAAAGCGTAAGGTACAGGAGAGGTGAGTGTCCACAAGGTACTGACTAAAACCTCAGCACAGATCAAATTCCCTAAAAGCAGTATTAAAAACAACTAGGAAATACTTTAAAAAGTTCACAATAGTAGCTTACAGCATCACTCTTCCCCACAAACATGATTAACCTGCTTTCTACATAGAAAAGGTAACTGCTGGGAGATGTAGAGTGGTATCAACATCAAGTAAAAGGTCCAGAATGAGTAGCCACTGCCTGCATTCTGCCCTAACATCTATGAGGCTCGCAGACATTCTGTCAGGACCATCCATTAACATTTTAACCCCAAATGCAATATTCTAACTCTTCATTATTTGTTTGATTTACTCTTCAAGTCTCACTAAGCTGCTCTGTCATACTTATTTTCTAGATATGACTGGGTCCTTCTAATGATATTTTGCTTTTTTTTTAGTAATAATAAACATCTAATTTAATGAATTACCTATAACAATAATGCCTGTAATGGTACGAACACAACACTTGAACCATTGATTCATATTTTCTAATGAGGTTTTGAGAAAGCAATTTATATTGTCCTGGTCTTCAAATGGTCCTAACAAGAAAATGTACTAATTTCTATTCAATTATATGCTTCCCCATCCTGATGGGGTTATGTCAGTAATTGAGAGGGGACGGAGAGAGGGAGGGGGAGGGGGAGCTGCTCTTTGGAATCATCCAACAGAGGAAACTGTAACTTTTCAAGCACTTATGGGAGAGACAGAGACCACATGAGAAGACAGTGCCCGAATACCAAGGAAATCAACAGAGAACATGACGATTTAAACTGGGTCCTTGCAATATAATCTCAAAAACTGGAAGAACTATGAGTTAAAAAATTAATGATCTAAAGGACCAGTCAACAAATTTCCACTGCTTTGCCTACTTAAATGACATGGTTTAATTAACAGAATCGGCTCATGATTATCTGTATTAGTGAAGGGAAGCTGTGGGATGAATAATGCACAAATTGTATCCATTTGCATTAGAATCACTTTTTTGGGCAGTAATGTTGCCTTCAAATAAAAAACTTTCTTTCATTCCAAGTGTTACTGCAAAAGGCATTAAAAAAACCATGTGGGGGTGTTTCAGCAAATAGATTTTAAAATATATGACTATAAAAAATAGGCAACTAAGAGATATAAATCTTGCACAATCCCTTTTATATGCATTCATATTCAATTTCTTCCCCCTAATATTCAATTTAGGGGAAAATGGCGGTAAAGCACATGAGGAATTTGACCGAGATCATATAGCGAGTCAGCAGTCAGCACTGGGATATGCAGGGACAGCAGCTTTTCTGATTTCTTTGCTTTGCACATGAAGATACGCTGCCTACCTGGCATCTGTCCTACCATTTTCCCCATGTATGATCTCTATTAAAACGGGGTACCTGTATGTTACAGTAATTTTTTTTGGAGATGAAGGAGACTTGAACAGGGAAGAAATCGTTGGGCTGCCCAGCAATGCTGAACTCAAGGCTGCCACTCTTATTTTTGGCATCAATCACTGGCAGGCACCACTCCAAGGTATTTCGTCGACTGTCATGTCGATACTCGCCATCGATCTCTCCAATGACCGGTGCGCCAACACCAGATCTGTCAGGAGAAATATCCAGGTCGAGTTAGCTGTCCAGAGCTGAAAGAACTCTGCCAAGGAAAACCAGCCCCAAATTTGATTATGTTCCTCAAATTCTGCCCACCCTTTTATCTAGGCCCGAGAAAAATGAGGCTTCCTCATCACTTCAAGTAACAAATTCCTAGAGCCTTGGCTAGAGGGTGTCACTCATTCCATTTGTAGATAAGATATATGCAGATATTGGTGACTGGCAGATATGCCCATAAGCTGCTTCAACTTGTGGACCAGATCTGGAGCCAGCAGGGGACTAAGACTGACAGAGGTGGCAAGTGGGATATAAACAATTCCTGCACAATTGCTTTGTTGCCCCATCAAGAAGGAATTTTAACATAATGTGTCTTCATAGGTGACAATGGGGGAAGAAACACGCTGACAACAGAGGGGGAAGCTTACTGGGAACAGAGATGAATCTGGGACTTTGAGAGGACTTTTCAAAAGATTAAAATGTTTCAAAATGTATCAGCTAATGCTAGCAGATTTTTGTAATTTGCAGTCCAGTAAGTAGACTTTTGATGTATGAGTAACTCCTCTCTACCAGTTTATGTTCTCAGTTCTATGTATGTTTCTTTTTTGCCCTTGTTTCCAATTCTGATTCTGGTCTCTAACTTGATCAGTTTTAGACAACAGGATAAAATTGTTGTCTAAAGATCTCTTCTGGAAACTTGCAAAATGGAACCAAGACACAGGAAACCACCATAACCACAATTGCATGGTGGATAGAGAGGCCTAAAAATTATGGCATGCTAAAAATAGTCTAGTAAAATAAAATCCTGACAGAACAAAACCCACACCTGTCACCAGAGCCCAAGTCTTACAATGATTCAAGGCACCCATCCACTGCTCTGAAAGAATAACCAGGATGTGAAGAGTAAAACGTTATCCCATTAAAGGGGATATTGGTAATAAATGTATTTTTTTTAATGGAAATAAGAATGATCAAAACCAGACTTGGCCATATAAAGGTCTGAATTATCAAAAAGGGAACAAAATTACAAATTAAATTAGTGCCCTTTTCTCTGCAATAACTAGCAATATAACAGCAAAGATACACTAAGAATACACTTACAGGGTGTTCATAATTAAGCCCTATATTTAATCATGGGGGAGGTGATGAGAGGTAAAGGAGAGGAACCAGGATTTATTGGGGAAGTAATAACAGTGCATGCTCACTGGAAATGCTAGTGAGGAATGAAGTCAAGGGAACGAGTATTTCCAATGATGCCTGAAGTAGGTCATTTCAGCACATTAACAAAAACTTACTAGAATGAAACTTTTAGCAGTGGAAATTTTTGTTACCTTAATTATGGTGGTTTCACAGGTGTATACATGTCAAAACTTATCAAAGTATACAATTTAAATATGCATAGTTTATTGCATCTCAGTTATACTTTAATAAAGCTGTTGTAAAATTTACTGAAACTATTGTAGATATGTTTCAGCAAGACGCAATAGTTGCCTTGAAAACATACTCTCATCTTTAGCTGAAAGTTTAGAAAGCAGAGTGAACGAAAAATTCAGTCTGACCTACTCAATTTCTTTAAGAGTTATAAAACAAAACAGAAAGTTTGGCTGAGGAAGCGGCTCCTCCTCCTGGAAATCTTCATACAAAGTGAGGACCAACATCTAAAAACAGCTCTAGAACTACAACTGGCTATTAGGTTTGGTTTTAAAGTCAGTAAAATGCATTCCTTTTAAAGTATACAGTTCAATGCACCCTGACCAATGTATATCCTCTTGTAAGTACCATCGCGATCGCAGGTTATAGAACATTTCCCTCTTCCCCAAAAGTTCCTGTGCCCCTTTGCAGTCACATTACTTTCCCTCTACCTCCTGATTTCCAAGAGTAATATTTTTCAGAATGTCCTGTAAGTGGAATCATTGAGTATCATAGCTTTTTGTATCCAGCGGCTCATACAACGGGCCTTTTTGTGAAGCAAGTATTTTAGAATAGATAGCCAGCTAAGTGCTGCCCCCAAACCATGTCCCAAAAGACTAGTTCTATAAACCCAATATAGAAAAGATGAGTATGACACTGATGAACAGTGACTTCAATGGGGCATGGGGGGGACTTGATAGTATGGGTGAATGTAGTAACCACAATTTTTCATGTGAAACCTTCAGAAGAATGTCTATCAATGATACCTTAATAAAAATAAAAATGAAAACAAAAGTAATCAAAAAAAAAGAAAGAAAAAGAAAAGATGAGTATGTGGGGGACACACTTACGGGAGAGGGATGGTGATAACCACATCATTCAGTTCTAAATTGTCTTCTTGTAGCTCGTACTCTATGTTGACATCACAGCCATTTCCACTCTCTGAGGGCCAGCAATTAACTGAGGAGAGAAGCAAAGCGGGCAGACTAGAAAAAGGTGTACATGAGAGAAAGAGTGGAGGAAAGTTAGATGGCAAATCAGGGCTGACAACTACAGGCCTTAAGCATCCTAACATAAACCATTAAAAATAATAGTTTCAAAATTAAAGCTACTTAGTGATTAAAATACACAAAACGCAGCACTGAGTCCATTGTGAAAGAGGGCCAGGATGTCAAAAAGAACTTGGATGTGACAACGAAGGTAGGAGTGGACGCACCAGGGCTATTTCTAGTTGTCAGTGCAGACTAGCTTAGTGGGACTGGTCGAAGGCACTTACTTGTCAGAGGAATAAAAGATTCCTCTGTGGTTTGTAGTCTCCATTTCAGCACCCCTACGTCACTATTGACTGGAAATGACTTCTCTGGATTCTTCAAGCCGATTAGAGATTCTGCAGTGAAAAGTTTTTTATCCACATTTGGATGGGTCTGAAATGAGAAGGGAAAGAAAACTTGTGGTGAGACAGGAAACAAATTCCCTCTGGTCTTCCATATAATCTAAACATCTAAAATAGGGCTCTTAATTCCGTTCTGATTTTGAAAAAAGATTTCCTTTCTTCAAAGACTTTTAAAATGATTCAAGACATTTAAAAAATAGTAATAAAATGTAATTTCAACTCTAAGCCATTTTGTTTGTAATTGAACAAGTTAATAATTTTGACAAACTTTTAATTATTGAAAAATAATTGAAAAATTTAAAGAACTTTAACTAAGTCCTTTCCAAAATTACTTCACATAGATCAACTTCATGGTGGGGCCAAGCCTGCCAAGTATAAGACTGGGGTCAGATGCTGATCAGCTGCACGGATCAGATGGCAGCCTTGGCCTCACACTCAGGAGGCAGGAAAGAGAAAAGCTCTGTGGAAAGCTTAGTTGCAATTTTTCCCAGAGAGCTTAAGTTGTTCAAATTCTGGCCAAGTAAAATGGACTAATCTTTTAAAAAGAAGTGTTATTAAGAGAAAAAAAGTAAAAAGAAGTAACTTTTGGATAGCTGCCTACATACACCTGAAGAGCCAGCAAAGCTGATGTCAAGTAATATAAGCATTACTTTCAAAATACAACTCTGTGCTGATTATGGTGGACGGGGGAGGAAGAAGTAGACAGAAAGCACACTCCCTTCCTTGAAAAGGCTTTGTTCTTACAACGAGAGAATGAGATCAACCAGCTAAATAAAATGTGATAAGAACACCTGTAATAATATAAAGAAGCTCTCCTATGTATCCAGCAGGAGGAACATACATTATTTATTTTAAGTATTTTATGCAATTTTCAAATATACCATTAGATACTGCCCTTCAGCTAACAAAACAAACACTGGTATATTTATATGGTGGCAGAAGGAGTAAACTTAGTATCATAATCTGTTTTAATGAAATACCTCTCTATTAAGAACTCTGCTGTGTTTTTAAAACTATATTCCAAACAATATCCTAAATGTATTATTTTATTTTTCATAATTTTTGTTTAATGGTAATCAGACATTAACAACTTATTTTGAGGTGCTGCTAACTATATGTATCAAAATAACCAACAGATAACCATCTCTGCATCTTTGTATGAAGTCATTTATTAGATTTCAAAATGGCCTTTCATTCAATTCCAATATTAAAAGGCAAATATAGCTGCTGTCAGTCATGCTCAACCAGCCTGGGAAGAGATTTATTGCCTCAAGGAATCCACTGCATGTAATAAATTACCTTCTTTCCTATGCATCTAGAATGGTACTAGTTAAACAACTTCAATAATTTTCTGTGGTTCCTATGAAGAACTCCAGGTGAGAAAGACTGTGCTAGGTAGAAAAACAAAAGCCTTAGTACTCCCTCAGCAAAAGCGTCTACATACCTGCAGCTGCACCCCTTTCTTATCTTCATTTTCCACATGAAGACGAATTCGGCTGAACTTATCATCTGAGATCCTAAGCATGATCATGCCATGCAACTCCATATTCTGCAATCCTCCATCTCGTCCACAGGTTAGTGTGATCTTTTCCTCAATCTTCATGTGCACACTGTGGAGAAAAAGAACTAAAGTTGTTCAGAAAGGCAGAAACCAGAACTCCCTTTCTCCAGAGTTTAATGGTAATTAGACATTAACAACTTATTTTGAGGTGCTAACTAAACGTATCAAAATTTTAAGCAGTATCCCCATTAGTCCAATAATTACTCATCTTGCAGATAAATTCTCACCCATGCAAACAACATACTAAGTTATTCATTGAAGAACTGTTTGTAATAGCAGAAGTTTGGGAACAGTTTAAATGTCCATTAACATGGGACTGCTTAAATACATTAAGGTATATTCACAAAAATGAGTATTAGGCAGCTGTGAAAAAAAGGAGTAATAAAGAAGATTTTAATTTGAAAATAATTTCAAAAATTAGAATTATGCCAGGAATACATGTATACCCCTTTTACGTATCGTTAACATTTTATCCTATTTGTTTTATCATTTGCATACTCTCTCTATATTTAATTTCTTGTTCCTGAACCATTTAGAGAGAGAATACATGTATCATGGCCCTTTACCCCCAAATACCTCAGAATACATTTTTTAAAAATAGGGATATTCTCTTATATAACCAAAACATTGTAATTCACTTCATAAATTTACATTTATATAAAACTTTAACCTACCATCCATATACCAATTTTGTCAGCTGACCTAATAATGTCCTTTAAAGTAGGACAAAATCCAGGCTAGGATAAGGTATTGCATTTAGAGGTCATATCTCTATAGTTTCAAATAAGAAAATTCTTATCTTCAAAATAATTAAGTTAAAAAAGCAATTGGATAATCTGCCTAAGTATGCTACCACTTATGTATAAAAAGAAGAAATATATGTGATACTTTTATTCATCTATGATACACACTATCCTCATCAGAAGGCTATACAAGAAAAAAACCTAGTTATTACTACTTGTCTCTCAAAAGAGAAGCTTGTCTGGCTAGGTGGGTGGAAGACTTTTTGCTGCAATACCTTTGAACCTTTTGAATTCTGAATTATATGAACATATAACCTAATTTAAAAAATAAGTAAAACAGAAAGTGCTGCTGCTATGGGCAATTATTAAGTACAATCTATCCATATTCTTTACTAAGGCTATTTTTAGCTAGGTAAACTGTAAAGGCATTTTAGTATTTTATATTCTGTTCAGAATACTCTGGCATCCTACTTTATTCTCTATTCCAACCTCTAAGTCTTCCCAGAAACAAAGACTTGAGACTCAAGACCACAAAGGAGTGTATCTTAAGATAATACAGAATCCCATTTGTGTTCACAAGTTTGCTCCATGCTCAAGAGGCATTTCATTATTTAGAAAAGAGTGTCAAGTCCTCTCTAATAGGTACTTATCTCCAACATCTTTTTAAAATAGTGTCAAGCCTCTGTCTCACTCAAAGGACCAACTACGATAGCACAGGAACTTTACTAATTTGAGAGACTTATCCCAATGTGACCCTGTTCATTTCACAGAGAACAGGACATACTAAATACTCCTATGCACACCTGACAGAGGTATCCTTCCAGACTCATTTTTCACCTGACCTCAAAACCATCGGCAACAGTAGAAGGACTGGGCTTCAAGACAAGAAATCTGAGTCATGGATATGTGAACCTGATAACCACCACTTAAAAATGTTATCAACGAGTACCATAGTCCTCAGAGAAATCAAAATATTCTATACTGGGTTTAAATACTTATAAGCAAAAGATAGTATGTTAATTTGCTGTTAAAGATACATATAAAGTTTGTAATTGGTTCTCCTTAAAGTTTAATTAGAAGACGACATGCCAAAATACAGCACACGGATCATCATAGCTTTAGCCCTCTAACTCACGTGCATTTTAAGAGATAAGGCACATACTAGGCATGAACACAAGTTCTTTTTAATTCAGACAGCAGAGTTCTTAAAGGTAAGTTCTAAACTTCATGGAAAATAGATGACTAAGAGCCCCTAATCATGGTTTAAGATTCTTGCTGAAAAGTTCCTACTTACCTTTCCATATTAATGGGGGGAGCATGCACTTTGGTTGCCTCAGAGGTACGCTTGCCCAGATTGGAGGACATGATCGTTTCACCTTCAGATTTTAATTTATCTACAAAGTTATCTACTTCCTTTCCTTTGGCTCCAAGTTTCAGAGCCTTGCTGGGGCCTGAAGGCCTAAGTGAAAGAATACAAAATAAGAAAAAAATACACACGATTAAAAACAAACACCAACAAACAAAAACACACACACAGACATCAACAATCCTGGATCAATGGAGCTTTCCCTGAAGCTGTTCTTTAAGAGGAATGTAAAGGTCTCAAGGGAAAACCCCAGCATCCTAGTATTCAGGGACAACTAGACCACTTCCATGAGCCCAAACTGGCAGCTGTGTCCCTGTTAATACGTAAGCTTCAGGCACTCAAAGACTAAAGGCATACTTTCATAAGCATGCATGATCAGATGAAAATTCTGTGTCTTCCATCCAGATAAATATGCCTGTATACAAACAAACTTTCACACACAGTTCACAGACTCTCTCTGAAATCAATCCATGCAGGAACACCAAGATTAAAAACCGATGCTCTATAAACAGTTAAGTATCCCCTCCTCTCCTAAAATAAGGCAATTAATTCTCATAGGAAAATGAAGTCACAGTATAATATGTAAAAGAACTCTCTTTTAAATAAAAAGAAAAAGGCCACATTCAGATTTCTCCTTTACCCCCATACAGTAGGGCCATATCTAACATCACATCTTACTTCATCGTATCACTCATTATTTACAGCTTGCCTAGAAATCAGGTCTATCACTCCAAAGATATATGTATATACAGCCTTCACCTGCCATTCCAGGATTGCTGGGGATACACCGAGTCATACCTGGCTGGTGCAGGTGCCACTTTTGGTTTATCAGTTTCAATGATGGTCTCTGTGATTATGGCAGCTGTGCTGCCTCCGGACACTGCAGAGCTTCCAAATCCCCCAAATCCTGGTGCTTTCTTGCCCTGTCTCTCTGCATCTCTTCGGGCCTGTTGTAATTCCTTCGCTTTACGCCGCATCTCAGCCTTGGCTTCACGTTCTTGAGTCTATGAAGAGATATACATGGATGTGGCTTTGAGTACAGTCTATACTAGCAAATAACAGGAATATGAGATGAAGCCAAAAAGACATAAAAACCAGAAGTCCCAGAGAAGACCCTATTTACCTCTCTGACTGCTCTGAACACCTTCTCCTCATGAGAATCCATTTCTGTGAAGGTTCTGATCTGTGCCAGGTTCACATTCTCCCGGTATCCCAGGGCGACAATTTCATCAAAAGCAAAAATCAAATCAAAACAGTGCTCAGATATTTCATTCTCCTCTAATGCTCGGCAATATTCAGGAATCTAATCATGGACAGCAATGGAAAAAAAAGATGTAGAATTTATCTACAGTTATGTTTTCCAAGTCTTATCCTTTAAAGTACATAAATTTCAATAAACTTGAATCCCTTTCTTAGCTCCTACTCTTTAAGCAAGATCTTGGCATAAAGTCTTTGAGTGGCTATATCAGTAAGTCTTATCATCTAAGGAACATTATCTAAAAATACGGCCAAACACACGTCAAACCACAAAAGCAGATTAGAGTAAGAACTAAGAAACCAAAGGGCAGTCTCATATTCCCTTTTGAGATACTTACAGCCGAGGAGAACACCCAGTAGATGTCTGCTGAATGCGTATGTAGCATTAAGAAGCTGAGGTGGTTGCTGGGGGTATGGAGCATGCAAACTGATAAGCAATCAGTTGCTTTGGAGGTAAAAACTGTTTCCCACAAAAAATGTAAAGCAAAAATCTGTAATCTACTATCACAGGAGGACTCTTACCACTCTTGAGAAGAGCCTTAGGGTCTCCAGATCTTCTAAGATGTTGCTGTTTTTGGTAGTTATCAGTACCATGTACAGTTTCTCCATAGGCTGGTAGACATATCTTACACTCTCTGTTTCAACAAATGTATGTTGCTTTCCAGTGTTCATGAGCTTTGGAAAAGCTGCTAACAGGCCCTCAATCCTAGTTCGGGTCATCTCCACAAACTGTCGGGAAACAATAGCCTTTCCTGCTTTTGTGCAGACTGCTGCTGCCAACAGCACCTGCAGGAACATATGTATAAAAAGTATTATTAATTATTTCTTCACATCTGTTTTCTCAACATCCTCAGATCTTCCACAGAATAATGCAATCAGTTATTTGGTGACATTACTAATGTTAGAATGCTGAATTTCAAACTCTACTTCATTGCTTTTTTCATTATAGTCATGTAATTCATAAGACAAAGCAAAAGTAGAAGAAAATGAAGGTATTATTCCTATTTTTCAATAACATACCTAAAGAAAACTCGGTCAATAAATTAATTTTTTTCACATCTACACACATACTATTAATGGGTCCCCTGTGACTCAGAACTGTGTTGCTCTTTGTTTTGCCAGACACATTAAGAGTAGTTTAAACTTCTAAAAAGAGATTTTCCACAGCCAAAAATGAGGTCTGATTAGGCAGATTAAAAATTTATAAGAAGCCCCTGACTCTTCTTTCATTTTTTAGCGAGGACATGGAGTCAATCAGTGAGTCTAAATTTATCTTCTGCTCTTTGATTAACCTTCCCATCCCACCCTATCCTAGCTCCAGATATGTAAACAATCTGTAAAATGAAAAACTAAATGACTATGTTTCACACAGGTTTTGACACTGGCCAACAATCAACACCAACAGCCTTTTCTGAGTCTGGCATTCATTAAACAAAACAAATAACCAAAGAAGAGACTTCAAAAATGCCATTAGCAGGGGAGTAAGAAAATTAGGGACAGTGTTAACAGTTTCTCCAGGGTAGGAACTCAAGAATTCCTAAGTACAAGTAACAAAAAGACTATACATTTTGGAAGCCTCACACAATATCTGAACTATCAACACCCTATTGGGAAGGCTTCTTAGCCTTACAGAAACCTGTCTTCTACAGATGAGCAACTTGGAGGAAAAAAACAAGTTTGTCAATTCAAATAAACATTCTAAGAGTTTCAACACATCAATAGTTTTATAATAATTATAGAACACAACATCCTTATCCATCAAGAATGGATAATTAGGGTATTTGAGAGATAATTACCGTCACCCTTATTTCCAAGATACTAGATAAAGACAATGTATACTGGAAATGTGACCTATAACTACTACAAATAACTTCTATCAAATGATTTTTACTTTTACTGACTGATTTACTCCCAATAAATACAGATTCTTTTCATGTGAAATCTCAACAGATGAGATTTCACATGAAAAGTTAACTGCTCTATTTCCCAAATAACTGCAAGTTTAGAAAGAAGCAGATTCAAGGGAGTAATACAATTCTGTATATGTTTGTTTCTGTCAACTCTACATTGAAATTACCTTATCGTAGCCTAAAAAGTTTTAAAAAGTAGTCCTAAATCATACTTAGAATCTTGTTTTGTAAATCAGTTCCTTTTAAAAAGACCAGAAAAAATTTAGACATATATAGAGAGGTATGGAATATAAAAATTACCACTTATTACTTTAGGAGTGGCAAATAAACTAGCTTAAAAATCAAGAAACATTTTTTTCCTGAAATATAATTTTTCTAAATAAATAATTTGTACTTAAGAAATATATCCTTCACCATCACTGACTACTTAGGTGGCTTGTGCCTTCACCTATGGAGGAGGCACGATGATATACTGAGGGTAGTCAAAGATCCCAGAAAAAGAAAAATGCAAAAATGGTTATAACCCTTATTTCCCAAAAGAAATTCTCCACTTTTTGTTATTTTTTGTTATTGTTACTATAAAATTTTACTTTTTAAAATTCAGTTCTATTAAGGTACAATCGACATATAAAGCTATAAGATATTTAAAGTATGTATCATGGTGAGTCCATGTCTTTAACTTTATTTTTTATTATTATTATTTTTTAGGAGACCAAGGCAGAGACTTTTATTTAGAGAGAAAGTGAGAGGACAGAGCTCCTCGCTCAGACCAGGAGGGGACAAGAGAGTCCTCTCCATGTCTTCACTTTAAATTAACAATGTGAGATTAAGATTTCTTCAAATAAGGGCAAGGTTTCCTGTAATTTTTAGTACACAAATAATAAAACCTTAATCCCTAATGAGAAGAAATTGACCTAAAATTTTCACCAGGCAACAGTATTTGTTTAGAAGGCTAAGACCCAATGTACTCAAGAAACTTCATTTCACGTTAGTTTTTATAATAGGAGGTTCACATTTCAACCATCTACATATTTCTGGCAAAAATATAAAAAAATAAAAGTGTAGTAGCTGCTTTGCCTTACCAGTGACAAACAGGTAAGTCTCTGTACTGGTTCACTCAAGGTTCAAGTGTTACATATGTCCAAATAAGGTAAGGTTTATGCCCCAAAATGACCCCCCAAAAGGAGCTGTTCCACAAAAAACTTGTATACAAATGTTCATAGAAGCATTATTCATCAGAGCTAAAAAGCAAAAACCCAAATGTCCACCTGATGAACAGAGGAACAAAATATGGTATACCATCCATTCAAAGGCATATTACTCAAGACATGAAAAGGAATGAAGAACATGCTACCACGTGGCTCAAGTTTGAAAATATTATGCTAAGTGAAAGAAACCCGTTGCAAAAGGCCACATTTTACATGATTCCATTTATATGAAATACCCAGAACAGGCAAATCTACAGAGACAGAAAGTAGATTAGTGGTTGCCAGGGGCTGGGAGGGGACACGGGGACTGACTGCTAATGAGGACAGGGTTTCTTTGTTGGGGGGTGGGGGGTGGAGTATGAAAATGTTCTAAGTTTAGATAGTGGTGATGGTCGCACAACTTTGTGAATATACTAAAAAATCATCAAATTGTACACTTTACAAGGCTAAATTTTATGGTATGTGAATTGTATCTCAATTAAAAAAAAAAAGGAATGGAGGAAAGCAAAACCCAAAGCTTAGAAAAGATTTAAGACCCATGGTAAAGCAATCGCAATATATAGATCTTATTTGAATTCTGAGTCAAACAACTACATAAGTTTTAAGACAACTGGAAAAATCTGAACAGTGAATGAACAGTTAATGGTATCAAGGAATATTGATCATTTTTAAGGTGCAATACGCATTATCAATTAAAAGTATTTTCAAAGTAAGGAATACTTTCCTTAAAACTAAGAGTTGTGTAAATTCAAGTCCTTCTGTCCTACAACCTCTCATTAAAGATGCGCCCTCAGTCACTTTACGTTGAACATCTCGATGAGCTGCGTGGGGTGGACATTCTCCAGTGTCGCACCGTACTACTTTTGCTTGTACTGATATAGGCTCGCCTGATTTATTAACTATCCTGAGGGTCAGAACTCAAAATTTCATGTGTTGGATACCAACTGTAAGTATTTCTCTTAAAATCAATTGCACTAATGTTACACAAATGAATTTTTATGACTTGAGATAAAATTTCCGAAGTATCAATATCATATTTGGATTAAAAAGATGCTGAATAGCAAAAAACTTTCATATAGTAGTTCTAAAAACCTGGTGATTCAAAAACTGGACCTAGTGATAATGATACTTGTGAAGAATTTGGATATATTGTTTCATGAATGTAAGAATGGAAAAAAGCAATTAAATCCTCAATTGAAAATCTTATGTAATTTTAAATACATATGTATAAGTAAACAATTAAGTATTTTAAGAATACATTGGACTATTTGTACTACACTCCTAAACATTCATCTATTCCAACCGGCAAAATACTTTTCTTTATCTTCTTCATGAGGAAAATGGGGATTCGCTTAAATCTGAGATCACCTCACCTGGTTTTTCCTTTTTCCAAAGACTAAGTGAACTAGAAAGTGTTCTGCATCTGCAAATTATCAAGTTGATACAGCAGAAAAACTCAATGACTGGAAGTGAAAGGACCTGAAGTCCAGTTTTTGTTGTTCTATTTACTGTCTGATCTTACGTTACTCACCCTCTTAGCCTCAGTTTCTTCTATGAAATGCAACATCATCTGGCCACCTCACAAAGCAGTTCTGAGAGCCAAAAGAGCACAGCTGACCCGTGAACAACAAACACGGGTTCGAACTGCATGGGTCCACTTACACACAGACTTTTTTCGATGAATACATAGGAAAAATTTTTGGAGATTTGTGACAATTTGAAAAAAATTTATTTTCTCTATCTGTAAGAATACACAGTATTAATACATATACAAAGTATGTGTTAATTAACTATGTTATCAGTAAGGATTCTGGTCAACAGTAGGCTAGCAGTAGTAATGTTTTGGGGGAGTCAAAAGATGCTTTACTGCGTGGGGGCAGGGGAGTTGGTGCCCTTAACCCCTTGGTTGTTCAAGGTCAACTGTATAATGAAACTGTACGCCAAAGCTCTACACAACTTACATCACATATATTCATAATGCAGAACAGCACCGTTAATAATAAACTTGTAAGAAATGCATTTCATTAAAAAATGGTATCACTTCAAGACAATAGGTTTTTACCTTTATGGGTTTGTCAACATTTTTATATTCAAATAATGGACACAGACTCTCCCTCTAAAATTTTACATATAATTTCAAGGAATTCAGCTTTTCTAGAGCAGGAATTCTCAAATGGCCCAGAAAACCATTTTATGCAGTAAGAAATATCACTAATAAATGGCAGTATATTGTAAATGTAATCCATGTAGAGCCCTTTCCCACCAAAAAAAAGTCTGAGAACCTCAGTCCTAAGAAGTTATGGTTCTCACCTTACAATTTTATGAGCCTTTAAAGGAATAACGTTAAGTCCCAGTTAAGTAAAGATATTAAGTATAGCACAGTTTAAACTCAGGCAATCAGGTGTCCATCTAGAGAAAGGATGGCTTAAATCAAACCTTCAGATGTACAGACATATGAATTTTAATACAAAGCCCATATCTAAAATATCTAGTAACAATAATCTTGTTAGAAACAATGTTTGTAGGTTTCAGAGTAGTTTTCAGGCAGCTGGAATTGATGTAAAAATTAACATCAAAGGCAACGTGAAAGAGAAAAAGGAACAAAAGGTAACCTGTAAGTAGAAAGGTGTATGCTGTGGAGAGGAGCGATTCATCTACTGGGCTTTATTGAATGGAGTAGTCAAAGGCTAATTAGAGGTATTGGCATCTCCATATTAGCAATATTATGATAGGAAGTAACCAGATTATTTATTGAGCCTACTACACACAATAGATGCTCTCCAGGAAAGCTAAGAGGAAACTAAGTGGAAACAGATTGGCATTCTTCCATCAAGAAGCCTAGTAGAATCTTAAAAGATTTTTTTTAACTATATATGGTGACACGTTAACGAGACTTATTGTGGTGGTCATTTTGCAATATATACAAATATTGTTATCATTACATTGTACAACTGAAACTATACTGACACATATCAATCAAATCCCAATAAAAAAAAAAGTCCAGTAGGGATATGACACAAACATAAATAACTGTAACACTAGGCAAAATGTATTAAGTAATTTGCTATAGGAATTCAGAGGAAGAAAAAATTACTACTAGGGTCCAAGAAGCCGACACAGGTTTCTACTCACTGTATAACTCATGTTACAAGGCTGGGAGGTATGGTCACCTCTAAACAAGATATATTTAACCTATCCACACTAATATTCATCTTCTTAAATCCTCTGAAACAATAAAGCTTATCTTCACATCAATGTTTACTGATGCTTAACAATTATTAGAAGGTAAATTAATTTTCCTTCTATAATTAATCTGATTTTTTTTGGGGGGGAAGAATGAAGTATGATTCTCTATAAAGTTATTTTATTTATTCTCTACATTTTTGGGAAAGAACTTAGACCTAAAAGGAGCTTTCAGGAGTCCTTGATTGTTTTACAGATGTAAAAACTGAGGGTCCAGAAGCTAGACAGCTCTCCAAAACTGTTCAAAATTAATTGATTCCCTACTAAGTTGAGCTTCGTCAATTTTTCTCTTAATAATACTTAAAATGTTTTAAGTATATTACTGTTTTGGGATTAAATAATAACTGTCTCCTACCCAGGTTTAACTACATAGACCAGAAAGTTCCCTGAGTAAAGAAACCTGGAGAATTAGGTAATTCTAATTACCTCTGCCACTAATTATATGACCTTGGATAACTTAATTGCTCTTTGAAATATCCCTAAAATAAACGTTAATTTATATGAAACCTGAAGTGCCTTTGCATATTTAAGATTCTGTAATTCTAAGCATTGAAAACTTTACAGCAATAGAAAATGTACAATACCTTCACTTTACACCCAAATACTCCAGTAGTTAACTACATTGCAACCATACTTTTACATTAATATTAAGCAGTTAGAAGGCAAACTGCCAATCAAAACAAATCATGTGAGATAAGCTGCATGTCATCCCTCCTCAATCGTGATAGAGGTCCAAGAATAACAGGTATAAATACACATAATTCCCTAAAAAAAAAATGTCAAGGACTTCCTCAAACCTCTAAATGTTTCAGTATTCCTTACTTCCAGAATTAAGCACTTTCTTCTTCATAATTCATTGTAATGATTATATATACATAAACACATATATATATCACACATATTTATGATTCATGAACATATTAAGGCTGGTTTCTACAATGGTCACAGAGGATCATTTTATCTTTCCTCTTTGTTTACAATCAGATTAATCATAGTATGAAAATAAAATCAGAGGGAAGATCACAATAAAATCTAGACCACATGCAAAGCCTAAAACTTTCTGAAAAGTTACTCAGTGAGTTTCACACTCATCACAAGTTTCTAGTCTAAAACAAAAGCTTGTAGAGAAAAAAATAAAAGGACATCGTTCTCAGTTTCTGCAGTAAACTTCCTATTTGGACCGTATGATGGCAAATCAATGGAAACTCAAGAAAATCCTTCTCATTCTTTGTTGTCCTCTCAAACAACAATAAAAAAGATAAAGAATACCACAGCTGTGGAGCTGCTGTATTGTGTATGACAAAGGGAAAAAAAGGAATAATAATCCCCTAATTGCGAACTGTTACCACTGTGTAGGATTTCAGTTTCTCCCCTATCACGTGTGTATCAGCCACACAAACCCAAACCTAGCTTTCTAATAACTAATGACTCTGGGGAGCTAAACTCAGTATAATCATTTATACTTCATGTGTCCACTATAGTGAATTTACTCATTGCCTATACTTAGTAAATAAGACAAGAACAGCACTCTGTAGATAAAGAGATTTTTACAGACTGCTGCTACCATGAGACTTAATATTAAAGTTTATACAAATGTAAGTTTACTAAGAAAAAGAAAGATCTATAATGATATCTGACAAATGTTAAGAAAGCAAGAACACGTTCTCACTAATGTGCAGAAAACCATAAAAAAGATCAAGTCAAGAGATGCCCTTTTTTATACTTCATTTTATAACAAAATCATCGTTTGTTTTTGCATTTCTTCAGTTATTTCTCCACAAGGAAGGGCTTCACAGTGTAGGATATTTTGCACTAACGTCAATAACTAAAGCTAAAGGAAATTTATTTTTCCAAACTCAACATTTATGTATTGATAACTGCAATTTACTCCAAAATGCATTTAAAACAAAAGAGAGGGATGGACATGTGTGATAAAACAAATACAGTGAAATGTTAATTACAGAATCTAGCAGGTGGTTACATGGGTCACTAAGATCTTTCAGCGTTTCTAGATGTTTGAAATTTTTATTAAAAAATGTGAAGGAATAATCAACTTTCGGAAGTTTGACACAACTTTTAGATCCAAGAAATCTTATAAAATGTCACCCTATTTGGACTTTTCTATTATACAGGGATCTCTTCATAAGAGTAGGACCGAAAAATATTACACAAAAATAAGAGTTAGCAATGTGTTAAGACTTAACAGAGCAGAATGTACTGAGATAAATTGTTCTCCAGAGTACATAAATCTGTGGGTATCTGGATCATGCCAAGTTCCTAGTAATTCAGAATAAGCATATTTAAACATGACACAACTGTATGTATAAGCACGTGTTCAAATAACATGCAAAATTTATATTTTATGACCCAACACCTAGGGTTTTACTATCCCTTGATTATTGATGTATTACTCAGACCCAACAGTAACTGCAATGGGGTATGGGGGGCGGCCTCGGTAATTAGGGTGAATGTAGTAACCACATTGTTTTTCTTTTGAAACTTTCATAAGAGTGTACATCAATGATACCTTAATAAAAGAAAAAATACAAAAAAAGAAAAATACCAAGTCCCAAGAACTTTTCAACAAACTTTTGTAAAGATTACCTATATTTGGTTTATGTAATACAAAGCTTTAATTTTGCTATTAAAATTGTAATATGCTCTAAAAATGCGGTACAAATACGCAGGATGTAAAAGGAAAAGGAGTTTAAAAATCACTATGCAAATACTGAGCCTCCTAGTAGAAATGAAAAAAGGTATTTTCGGAAATTTTATGTCCAACATTAAAGTTTTATGAGGCACACCTGCTGGATCTAATTTATAAGCCTGAAGCTGTAAAAAAACCTTTCAGTGGTTTAAAGCCCAAGCATGAATTCCCCACAGCCTAAAAGTTCTCATTTTAAAAAGTTGTCAGTAAAACTTGGCATGACTGCCACCAAAGTATATTGTCACCTCTCAAGTGTGGAGGAAGATGCTTTAAATAAAAATATTAATCTACTGGCAAAAAGAGAATGAAAAAGAAAAAGAACATCCTTCACAAGACTGAAGAGCATAAAAGTGCACTGAAAAAATAAACTACTGGCTCGTCTAGAATCAGAAGAATTTTTCCTACTTCATAAATACCCACAAACAGGAGAGATAAAGAAAGAGTTCATGGGGTCAGGCCTGTGTTTTGTCCCATCCTCACCCACACTGACTTCCCCCACCTCTACAAAAGATGAGAACATCTGATGGCCAGTAACAGGTCCCAGAGCTCTAACCCCTTCTTACTCCTGCAGGGGGACACCTGACGATATGCCACATACACATTTCATTTCACCTGAACGGTTACGTTCCTAGGAGAAAGGCCGTGTTCTCTGTAACTCGCGCACATTTCCCCAAAGCTCTATACGCTGCGTATACCCGCTGGGTAACACGGACACATGGACACTGCTCGGTTCTGCAGAAAGCACGGAAGGTTTCAGACACTTGGGTCCTAAGAACTTAGTCGTTTCTGTCCTATACCTCCTTTCGAACTTCCATTTCCCCCTTTCGAAGAGACAAAAGAATCAGTCTTGAATACCAACGGACCTGGGTTCCGAAAGTGAATGGCCCACCGAGCACCGAAGAGGAGAGGTGAACCCATCACAGAAGGCAGGACCCCCCGAGCCCAGGCGCCAGGGAACCAGCTGGACATTGACGAGGACCGCGGCGCGGCGTCCAAGCGACACCACCACGAGGTTCTCGCAGAGCAGAGCCCCGGGCCCGGGGGCCCGGCAGAGAAGGCCGCCCGGCTGGCAAGGGGCGGGGTGTGGGCGCGACCCCAGAGGGGCTGGAGTCAGGTCCCCGGATCGCCCGGAGGGCCGGGCACCGGGCGGGGAAGACCACACCGCTCCCCGAGGCGCGGCCGGAGCGCCCGACTCCAGGACCTCGGGCAGCGAGTCCTCTGCCCCGGGACCAGGCCGACCGGGAGGGAGGGCGGGCGAGCGAGGCGGGACCCCGGAACTCGGCGCGGCCCGGATCTTACCATGGCGAAGGCGGTGGTGGGGCGCCCCCGCGCTCCGGCTCCACTGGCGCTAGGGCTGGGGCAGGGGAAGGGGAGCGCCGGCCGCTCTGGACCCGCTGCCCCCCTGACAGGAGCCGCCGCCGCTTCGCCTCTCGCCAAGATGGCGGCCTCAAGCCACGTCTCCAACCGGAAATGGCGCAGGTCAAAGGGCGAAGGGCGGAGCGCCGTGGGCGGAGAAATTGTAGGCACCGGGCAACGCCGCCGCCCTTGCCAAGGAGGCGTGGGGGCTCGCCCTCCAGCGTGGGGCCTCGGCCTCTCCTCTCTGTTTCCGTTTGCTAGACCCTCGTTTGCCTTGCGACACCTCTTACAGTTTATAAAGCTCTCATAGCCACTCTATCATTTAATATACAAAATAACTGGTGTGCATAAGGGACTAGTACCCAGAATATACAAAGAATTCTTACAGCTCAGTAATAAGAGAGTCCAATTTAAAAATGGGCAAACTAGACATTTCTCCAAAGAAGATATACAAATGACTAATAAGCACATAAAAATTTGCTCAACATCCTAATCCTTAGGGAAATGCAAATTAGGGCCACAGTGAGATAACACTTTAGTAAGGCTGTAATAATAAGTGTTGGTGAGAATATGGAGAAACTAGAACCCTCCTATGCTGCTGGTAGAAATGTAAAATAGTGCAGCTGCTTCAGGAAATAGGCAGTTCCTCAAAAAGGTAAACATAGAGTTATTATATGATTCAGCAATTCCACTCCTCAGTATATAACCAAGAGAATTAAAAACATATGTCCACACAAAAATTTGCCCACTAGTGTTGATAGAAGCATTATTCATAATAGCCAAAAAGTGGAAACAATCCAAATGTCCATCAATAGATGGATGGTAACAAAGTGTAGTATATCTATCTGCTATCTGATGGAATATTACTCAGCCATGAAGAGAAATAAAGTACTGATACATGATACAACATGGATGAACCTTGTGTTATTTTAAGTGAAAGAAGCCAGTCACAAAAGACCACAGCTTATATGATTCCATTTATAAGACAGAAACTAGGGCTACAAGGGGGCCCATTTTTTTTGGAGTGATGAAAATGTTCCAGAATTAGACAGAGGTGGTGGTTCCACAACTTCGTAACTATACTAAAAACCATTGAGTCGTGCGCTTTAAAGGGGTGAATTTTTATGGTTTGTAAACTACATCTTTAAAAACAATGTGAAGAATACATGGCAGTTACTGTGCTTACCTCCATTTTGGTGAAGAAAAAGATGAAAAGTTTAGAAAATTTACCCAAAGTTCTAGGCCAATATATAATGGAAATAAGACTCAAATCTAATCTTTTGAGTCTCTTGGTGTTCTCCCCTGCCAAATGTCAGACTTAGAGTATATGTGAGTCAGCAGTTCTTCCCTATATTTTATTCCCATATCATTGGCTCACCTCTACCACACTCATCCACTGCTGCAATGATGGATAAACAATCTTTTATTGTTTATTTGGGGTCATGTACTTTACACACGCTATCTCTAATCCTTTACGACAATCCTGATAAGGTCACTTAAGATTTAAAAAAGTGAAGCATTTGCCCAGTCACTCAGCCAGGAAGTGGTAGAGCCAGGATTCAAACCCAGCTTCTCTCGTTATGACATATTCCCTCTTTACACCTCCTGTGTATTCCTTAATGTTTATTGAAAATTTACAGTGTACCAGGCATTACTCTAAATTCTTCACACAGATGATTTCATTTAATCCTCACAAGAATTCTCTATTTTACAGGTGGGGAAACCAAGGTACAGAGAGGAAAACTATTCCACCACAGGTCTCAGGGCTAGAAAGGACCAAAGCTGAAATTTGAACAAAGGCTGCTCTACTTAAGAACCCGTCCCCTTAAGCACTGCCTTATAGAATTCTTACGCTTACTCATTTCAATTCCATCTCCAATGGCTTTCTAGCGGAACCTTTACAAAATTTGCATATTTGAAAACTTTGCATGTCTGGAAGGATAGATGTCAGAGTGTATTGTTCATTTTCTTATAAAAGCACACATATTTTTAAAAAAGATAAACAAATTCCTAATTTAAAAAAGGGTAAAAATTCTGCCTGGAATTGTTGCTTGATTGTGGCAGCTTCCAGGAGCCTTCAATATGGACAGATGAAGCTTGGCAAAGATCAATTGATGCTGATTCTTTGGAAATAGACGTTAGCTGAATTACACTGCATAAGAAAAGCATTCCAGTAAACATACTTGTGAGGAGGGCCTTAGAGGCAGTATGTGATATGGTTAAAAGCAGAGACTTGGGAATTAGATTGACCTGTGTCTGACTCATTTTCAGCACTTACTAGCTAAGTGACTTTAGGAGAGTTACTTTAAATCTCCTAAACTCAATTACCTAGGCTGCAAATTGGCAGTAACATCTATCACAATGTTGTTAAATTAGAGAACAGATTAGTAAAACTATATAATCTAAGCGCTCCCACATAGTACGTGCTTAACAATACGTATCCATTATTACTAGCAATAGCAGAGAAAATTTTTTAAGAAATATTTTGCAGTTCCATTTTCAATCAGAAATGTTTCAGAGAGGTGCCTCTCATTTTCCTTTTTTAAAAAAGCCACTTCCCACTTTCCTCCGAGGGGTTTTCAGAGTCAAATTCCCAGTATTCTTTTCTGTTTCTCTCTCTTCAAAAATTAACTTTGTCAATAGTTTTGAAATATTTGTTCCTCACATAGTCACTACTCCATTCATCCATCCAACGAACATTTTTTAGAGCACCTCATTTATCCAATGCACTGAAGCCAGTCACAAAAGACCACAACTTACATGATTCCATTTATATGAAACATCCAGAATAGGCAAATTTATCCAATGCTGTGAAGAACTTAAAAATTAGACACAGACCCTACCCTAAAGAAGCTCGGTCGTCTTTAGCAAATAAACGTATAGGACTCCAGGTTGAATTTGAATCTCGATGGATAACGAGTAATTTGTTAGTGTACATATGTTCCATGCAATGGGACACAGTGAAGGGAAAGAACTATAACGTAATATAAATATAAATAAAAGGACATACAAAGTGTTGTGGAGATATTTCCTGGAAGTTTGCCTAAATTCTGACTAGACGGGTTCACGATGAATTGCATGCCCAACGGTCCGAGTCCTAGAGGCGAAAACGCACACCGTTATCTCCAGATTGGAGGGCTAACTATACGAACCGAAATTCATCAACCCGCTTTGCCACCCTCGGCCGCTAGATGCCGCCACAAACGTGTGTACTGAAACCATAGACAAACAAGCGACTTGATCGCCCAGAGAGGCGTCATCCGAACCCCTCTTGATCTTCCTTGGATCCTCCGCTGGTAGAGAGGAAACGCGCGCGTGAGTGGAGAAAGTCTCACGAGAGTGAAAGCAAGATCGCGCGACTTTATTATTTTATTTTATCCTAGCGACCGACAACAGGACGGTTGCACCCAGTTGAGCCCTAAGGTGGCCTGGCCTGAGATTGGAGTGAGACCTCAGCCCCTGGCTGGGGTTCCTTCCATACCGAGGAGACGGATTCAGAGGGGCTCCAGGTAATTCGCACTCGCCCTAGCGGAAAGGGAACTCCCTTTCTCCCTCCCAAGAGGAACGTAAGGGGCTCCCCTTTCCCCCGCCGGTTCCCCGATCCCGTTCCATCCTCATGACAGCTGCTCCTCCTCCCCTTCAAGCCACCACCAACCATCCCCCTTTCTTTACTCCCCAAGGTCGGGAGGTGGAGAGGGCGGCGATGCTTTCGGGATTTTTAGAGGGGACCGAGAGACTGGCATGTACCCTCGTTCGGCTAAACGAAGTGACCGCGAGGGGACTCCAGAGACAGGACCCTTTCTAGAGCCTCTGCAGCCTCCCCTGGGAAGCCCCGACAGCCCTGGGAAAACCCGCCGAAGCTGAGGAGAGAGCCGCGGTCTGCAGACCTGTCCTAGCGCGCGCAGCCTGCGGCTTTGGCGGAGCTGCTGCAGAAGTTGGCTGTCCTTCCCTTGCACGATTCCCCAGTTCCTCAGCCAGCCCGCCGGCGGCTCCTAGGGGCTGCGGCCGAGTGACTTAACTGTTCGACCTGGGGCCCGGAAGCCCTAAGGAGAGTTTGAATGGGGGTGGTTTCATGTGAAACTGGGTAAGGCAGAGGAGCCAAAGCGGGTTTGGAATCGCACCTCTCCACTGAGTGCTTTAGGTCGTCTCATATGAGCTACGTAACCGTGTGTCCTTTTACTTAGACCCAGATTGTTGAAAACCAGACGTATGATGAGCGTCTAGAGATTAACGACTCTGAAGAGGTTGCAAGTAATTATACTCCATCCCCAACACCCAAAGGTAAGAGAAGAATGAAGAGGAAAGAAGAAAAATGGTTCTCAGAACAAAGAGCAGGACGGATTCATGATTGTCTCCAAGAAGTTCATATTTTTATAATAGCAAATATTGGCTTTCAGAGTCAAATTACTTCGCTTGCCATTGTTTCTGTTTTCTAACTAGTTAAGGGGAGCTAAAACACAGCCATCCAGATTGTAGGATCTTCTTCCAACCTGACCAGTGTTTGCTGTCACCATTTATTTAATGGTATTGCTCTGCTTGCAATCTGCCAGAGGTTCCTGGGGTTTTTTTTGACTTACCAAAACTGTTTTGCCCAGTTTCAAAGATGCTTCAGTAATCTGCCTTTAACCTGCAATCTGAGTCAAAATCTCAGTGGAATATTTTAAGAGGATTTAATGCTGTCATTTATTCAACAAATAGTTTTTTGAATGTCTACTAAGTCACCTTATGCCTAGCACTAGGTAGGTGTACAGTATTAAAGAGACATTGACCCTGCCATCCTGATGCTTATAATCATGAGAAACGGATGTTAAATTACTGACCTCCTTTAGGGGTGGGAATCCTGAGACTCAGAGGTTAAGTCATTTGGTGCAAGTGATAGAGTTTGTCCTTCAAACCTAGTCTTCTGACTATAATCCCGCACTTTTCACTGTACGAATTACTATCCTCATTTTACCAATGTATAAACTAAGGGCAGATTTTATATTATTTATATAATGGCAGATAGTCAATTAGTGTAATATCCCAGTGCCTTAAGAACAGTAGTGCTTAGTAAATAGATCTTGAATTGACAGAGCTATGACTAGGATTCAGTCTCCTGTCTTTTGGTTATATATTCTTATAAACCTTGTTCCATAAAACCATTATAGCATAGAATACAAGCTAAAAATTTTTGTCTTTAAAATCATTTTAATAATAACCTAAGGAAAAAACTTTCCTTTTAAGGACCTCTTCATTCTACCCATCTTCCTCACAAGACTATGGCGGATAACAGCAGCAACGATTTTGAAGAGGAAAATAACAAGGTGAAGTATAACCCACAGCTTCTTGTGGAATTTCTGCCTTCAGTCTTTAGAACTGTTTTACAACAATTCACCTGTTATAAATATTTCTTGAATACTCACCTCCAGTGGTTGGGTACCTTTGCTCATGGAGGGAAGTCAGGAGCAATGAACCGTAAAATTCTGACTCTCCTTCAGGAATAAAACCAACTATCAGAGCAGACTTTGGAGAGGAATTTCATCTAATGTAGACCAGTGCTTCACAAACTTAGGATCGTAAGAATCACTTGGGGTACTTATTTTTAAAGATACAGATTTCCAGTCCCTACCCAGAACCACTCAAGCAGAATCTTGATAGTAAAAGCCTGGAAATTTATCTTTTCAGTAAGCACTCCAAGTAATTCTTATAATAAAGCAAGTTTGAGGTATTGGGCTAGGCATTTGTTCATTGTCAGCACTTGTGACACTGCCAGTATTTTGTAAAAGAGGCTTTACTTTGAAGGCTTAAAACCCAGATGTCACTCTATTGTCATTTTGTGAACTTAGAGGATTGCCCTGTGTCTGAAAAAAGATTGAAAGATGCCTATAGCTCTAGTCAGATAAGACCTTGAAGTTGCACGTGTGCTCTGCTTACCGGCCATTGTGTTCAGCTTAGCACATGATTCAATCATTACATTTAATTGTCCTTCAATACAAGAGCTTTGAAAACTCAGGGGGTGAGGAATATTTGAAGTAATACAGAAAGCTGCAGTGCTCTAGACTGATTTCATAAAGAGCCCCCAAAGTGACATTTTAAAGTAGTCCCACTTTGTGACTAGTGTGATGTTTTAACATCTTACCCACAAGGTAATTTTTAGACATTTGTGTGTGGTATAGAAAGTCCTCTGCTTTGAGATCAAGGATTTTGCAAAGCACAACTTTGAAGAAGTGGACAAAAGAAAAGTGAGTAATTTTCTTAAATTGAACTCCTGATTTTGTATATTCACCCTAAATTGGTATAGACTTCTCGCTGTGATCAATATTCAAGGCTCATTTATCTTCCCAGTTGAGTGTGCATCCAGAATCAGCAGAAACAGCCTACTTTTGAATAGCCTTTCAATTGGCAGTTGACATCCTTAGAAAGCCCCTTGTGCCATACTGCTTCCCATGTGACCAAGGATAATTTTGACAGATTGTGAATTAAGAGAAGACTAACAGATTGTTACCAATTGTTACCATTAAGGAGTGAATAAATTCTGTGTCTCCTGTCACACACATATTACCTATTAGTTAAAATATATTTTTAACTGTGTATAATAAATCTGTGTTATGCTTACAGGAATATGTGACCAAAAGCAGGTTTTGATGTCCTGCAGTGTACCCCAGTTTTATGTGTTAACAGCTGCTTGACTGTAAAAGAAACATTAACTTTTAAAACTAGAACAAAACATCTGTTAACCTCAGTATAAACCACATGGCATATGGAAATCGAGCTTTCAAAACCTACTTTAAAAGGGGGCCAACTGGTCATCCTTCAGGTCCTAAGTGAGGGCATGCCGCAGGCTCGAGGCTACAGAGGCAAAGACGGGGACCATGTCGCAACTTGCCCCTGCAAGCCCCAAGTTCCGCCAGACCCCTTTTCGTGGGCTTGAGAGGGTGGGATGGCACAGAGAGAACCAGAAGCTCAGAGAGGTAGGTTATAATGCGGAGAACGGAAGAGGCTCGTTTCGTGAGGTCTAATGTGTAGTCATTGCATTCAACTAACGGGGGAAGGGCAGGAAAGTGTGGACAGGTCAGACACCCACGGAAGAGCAGGATCACTGAGCAAAATAGAAAACCCCCAGTCTGCGGAACTGCGGGTCCCATTTCAGGCACAGGGCTGACTATGAACTGTCTTCTTTTGATAACGCAAGCAGCTTACTCTGGGCAGTCTTGCAAATTAAATACTAGATTTACCTCCCTGAGATCTTTGTATTAAGGTTCCCTAAAGGCATCTTTTCACTTCCTCTTCCCCCATTTCCTACCAGAATAACTCTTAGGGTTGTCTTCCTGTTGTTCAAAGTGCCTAATTGGTAGGGTTGAAGCTGACCTGGTAACATTTACGCAAGTTCTTGGGATCTCCTAGCTAATAGGCAGAATAGATACATACTGGATAAAAGTTATATCCAGGCCCCAAATAGAGAAATAGAATATGGTTATAGCAAGGGGGGGGCCAGTTTGTAGCTAAACAGGACTAGAAGGTTCTCGAGGCCCCTCAGGGGAGTGCCACCTCTTTCTGGTGATTGGGTGCTGGGTGGGAGGGTACTGGGCAGAGCACTAGGAGAGAACTGGGCATGGTACTCCTGAATGTCCCCCTTATGTGGACCTTTCTGTGCCTCCCCCCCCCGACCTACCTCAGGAGAAGAAGACCGCACAGCTGACCCCTCAGCGGGGCTTTAGCGAAAATGAGGACGATGATGATGATTCATCTGAAACGGATTCTGATGCAGACGATGATGATGAAGAGCACGGGGCCCCTTTGGAAGGGTGAGGAAAGCCACGTGGTCCAGGGCACCCAAGCGGAGGAGGAGAGCACCTCCTTCAAGACGCTGGCCTGGGGGGCACCAGTGAGAAGGGAAATTCTAGCATCTCCCTTCATCTCCTTACTTAGGATTTTTGGATGTCTCAGAAACCCAACACACTGAAGTCTTCAATCTTTTCTGGCTCCACGGGCTAACTGAGTCCTGTGGTGTCACGTGCACCATCTGAAACATCTGTGCGCTTGGGGACTTTAAAAAGACTTACTGAGTAAATCTAAAGGATAGTCTCTGCCTTCAGGGAGCTCACAAATTAAATAAATAGATTAACATTTATTTTAATTGTACTTTAAATTTAATTTTAAAATGCATTAAACACATACTAAAGCATTTCTGTTTCACAAGGAAAACATACATGCAAAAAAGCATTTCTATTTGAGGCTCAGGTTCTTTTTGGCCAGGTAGAGAGTAGATGCTTCAGAAGCCCCACATGAGGTAAAATACCCCTCGGTGATGCTGAAGTAAAAATACCTCAGCCTGTTCCAGCCATGGTGCTAGGTTAGTCAGGACGGCCATCCCCCTAATAGGTTTTAATCAAAGTGGGTTCCAAGCCTCATCCATTTAAAATACAACTACTGGTTAAATAAATGATGGTATAGCCATTCAGTAGAATTCCATCTAGTCGCCAAAAAGTGCACTATAAAGAAACAAAGAGATAGGTTAAATTTTTAAAAGGTGGAAAAGTGTTTACGCTGTGTTACCATGTGTATAAAACATGACGTAGACTAGGATACGCTAGAGACTGATAATAGTGATTCTGCAGGGAGGGCAGCTTGGTGGGGAGGGGCCTGGGTGGGAGGGAGACATAACTTCACTGTGTGCACTCTGTACCCTTCCCTTTGTATCGTGTGTGCATTATTTATTAGAGAAAGTTCTTTAATGAAAATCAAAAGTTACCTTTAGATTATCCTGCAGGTAGCCACTAAATAAATTAGGCAACTGTTTAATCCCAGACTGACTTTTCGTGCTTCCCAATTTACTTCATGATCATGCTTTCATAAATTATAGTCCAGGGAAATGAGAATTTTAAGTCACTAATATATTTAATTCTTTTGTTAGGCAACTCTCCCCAAAAGAACTTCGTTAATAACCTTCCAAGTCACTTACATAGTTTGCTAATATTCATTTCATTACATTTTACTTAATTGTAATTAATATGTGTTATATACATATTTTTTACCATATACATTTCTTATATTAATACAAGTACTTTTTAAGTAATTATACAGTATTCAACTTGACATACCTAACCATCTCTCAAATGTTGGATATTTTGTTCCTAATTTTTTACTTTTATAAATAACAATGTCAAAAAGATCTTTTTTAAAAATTCCTTTTTTTCTTGGGGCAAAGTCTTTTCATGTCAGAAATTAAAATCTCACCTATGTCGATTATACCTCAGTTTTAAAAAAGAAATTAAAATCTCATTCCATCTTTTCATCCCCTTCTTTCAAAAAAAGGGGAAATAATCTATGAACATTCTAAAATTCTGTAAAGTTATGTTTTGGATTTTCTGCAGTTCTGTTCTTCATGGTCAGAGATAACTGAGCTAATTATAATCAATTTTAAAGTTGCCCTGCAAACCAGGACACAGCCATTTGTTCTCCTCTGGCCACCTTGAACCACGTTTTCCTTTCCCCAGGGCCTATGATCCTGCAGATTATGAGCACTTGGCGGTTTCTGCTGAGATTAAGGAACTCTTCCAGTATATCAGTAGGTGAGCACTTGGACCTCCCAGCACAGCTCCCTCGCCCTGCCTTCTCCTTCCCTACCTCTGGACTGAAACAGGGCTGTTCTCCTTCGACTGTTTTAGCCTAATAGCAAAGTTTCTCCGACTGTCCCCACTTTCCCTTGGCAATATCTCCTAGGCACACGCCGCAGGTGATTGACCTGGACCACCGACTGAAACCTTTCATTCCTGATTTTATCCCAGCCGTCGGGGATATTGATGCATTCTTAAAGGTACAGTCAGAACAGCCTAAAAATGACTCCTTAGGTGTTCCTCTGCCCCCTCCATTACTCTAACGATGCCATTGATTTCCTTGACTAGCACTGGCTACCTTGATGTATTTCTTTTCATTGGAGTCCTTAACCTTGCTCTCTCCTCCAAATTATAGTCATTACTATTAGGTAATACTCGATTATCCCATTATGTATTAAATATTTGTCATATATTTGCCTCCTAATTATCCATGACTTCAGCCTTGTTTTTAAGGTCCAATAGATCATGCATTTTTTTCTAGACGGTATTTTTGTACAACATGGTATACAAGCATGCCTTCCAACACGAGTAACAGTGATGCACCAGAATTATTCTTCCTCTTCAGCTTATTGGAAACAACTGTGGCTATTTTATGTCCCTCCCATTTTTTTCTTTGCTTCAATACCTTTCTTTTAACCAGGTCCCACGTCCTGATGGAAAACCCGACAGCCTTGGCCTGTTGGTATTGGACGAGCCTTCTACAAAGCAGTCGGACCCGACAGTGCTTTCTCTCTGGTTAACGGAGAATTCCAAGCAGCACAGCATCGCAGTGAGCCACTAGCTTGTACAGGCCCCAGGGTGGGAGGCCAAGAGAGGGGCCTTGCT